ATGCAAATATTAAACATTTGCAAAGTACATATTATTTGCTAGTCTATGTAATAACTCGATAAACCGGCTATAAAACTCATAGTTGGACCTTTTGTAAATAGTTACACATCAAACACATAATTTGTGTCTGACTAAATTTTAGGCTACATATAAACTCCTACACGACTTACCTTTTTACCTGACCAAACGGATAAAAAAAAGAAAATCGTAAATTGGCGAACAAAATTGTTATCGACCGTATTTGATATGTACCTAACAAATCAACCAAGTATTTTTCGTATCGTTATCATACGGTGAAATAACCGACTCTTATCGCATGTCCACAAACTTTCATGTAGTTGATGGTTTTTTGCTAAACATTAGTGAATTGGTTCGATTGTGAATGTTTATTTTTTTAGAACTTTATAATTATCATAGTAAAATTTGTGACTTATTCCCTTTTTTGAATACCTGATAACTTTTAAAACTCAAATAATTAAAATTTTAACTTTTATTTATTAAGTTTAGATATCACAACAGTCAACATCGGTTATATGCGATCGATGTTCTATGTAGGAGACAACACTGTTTTTAGTAGGAGTTAACATTGTCCGTGTAGGAGTTCATCATCCTTCAAATTTTGTATAAGTATACAAATTTTTTTTATGACACGAATTTAAATTTTAACACATTTCTACTTTAAATAAATTTAAAACGTAATCAACTATTATCAACAAAAATATATTTGCATGATAAATTGAAATTGATCCAGTCATGTAAATGTCTGGCATCATTAAACAACATATTTCTATATCTAAAAACGATAATTCACTCAAAAACGATATTTGGTTAATAAAAACAAAATATGACAACAGCAATCATACAATATCTATTAATTTGTTAGCAATAATTGTATTATGTTAAGTTAACAGTTTTTCGTAATTTAAAAAAATTGTAGCATATGTGGTCAAATATGGTTTTTATTGGAGATTGTCTTGTAAACGAACATGACGTGACAAATCTACATAACTAAGGAATGTGGGGAGTTTTCATTATCATGTACTCTGCGTAGTAATTAAAATTATTTTATGGAAATTAGAAACTTATTAACATACCCATATCACCCATGAAGTTTACTTTTCGAGTAGAGAAACCAGTAAAAATGTCTTAACTTCCTTTAATTTTTCAATATTAGAACAGTGGGGTGTTAAGAACACCCCTTGATATATATTTAAAGATCAAAGTCATCAGTTTTACAAAAAACTGATTAATACTTTGTTATCACCTATACAACAAATAATTTATCAATTGTCATATTAATTAACTGCAACCTGAATAATACATAAATACATTTTCCGAATGAAATAAAAGTTTATTAATGTGCTCTATAATAGAAATGTATAATTTACTTATTAATTTTGGTTTCTATTACATCATAACTTTTAAAGATATAAAAGTTATACATTTTTATTTAAATGCAATAATATTTAGTACCTAATGGTAAAATGGGGTGGGGAAAATTCCATTATGGATAATTTTGTACTGCAAATAGCTTGGACCTGGCAATCTCTTGATTAAATGACCTAGTTACGTCTATGACAAAGACAGTAAACCATTTATAAAGGCTATACAAACAATTCAGTTTAATTAAAACACGTAATTTTTAATTAGCGCGCATTTATTTATAAGTACTAAATCATATTTGTTTTGGAATAAAGAAATGGGTTTCCGATTGCATATAATTTTATATTGTTATTACGGTTCTGAAAATTGTTTTTCAATTGTATAAGGTATATAGTAATAATATAATATAGTCCGGTTGGTGATATCCGGTCGGTCTCAACGCTAAAGACAGTACTATACTATGTTTATTTAGGTTTATACATTTTTCAGATGTGTTCGAAATATTTTCAAACGCACCCAAAGAACAAAATATTGCCGTTATGGCGTAAATATGTTTGATTATAAAACCAAAACTAACTAAAGCTAAATGAAAAAAAAAAAATAATAAACACATACGCTGTATAAACGGTTAAAATTTAACAGAAAATTATATCGAAAAGAACCGGATTTAAGGGGATTGCATGCCGTCAGTTTTTAAGGAGTTTTGTATAGGCAACATTTAAGAAAAAATAGGTTTTAATAAATTTCGACCATGTCAATTAATTTTCCGATTAATTTGTATAAGATTCAACGTGTTATTTTTAGTTAAAATAATTTTTTCTATGAGTAAATGCCTTTTTGGTTTATTTTAGACCAAAAAGACAGACATCATTTCGACTACGAGATTTGAGTTCTTCTTTGGCCAATTTACTATGTTATGTAGAAAGCCGATTTTCATTTAAAAATTTCAGTTTCTTGTAATTAAATAAATTAAAATTGTAATTTTTTAATATTAAAACCCAATTTTTTTACATAAAAAAAGCAAAATATCAAATATCTGTGTCTTACATAACCTAGTAAAGTTGCCAAAGAACTCGTATATCTTAACAGAATTGAAATCAGACCACCAACGTAGTCGAAATTTTGTCTGGCTTTTTGGTCTAAAACGTAAAAAAAAAAAGACTGCATGCAAAATGTAAAATGTATGTACTATTCGTAAATAATTTTACGATAATAATAAGTTTTAACTATAATTTCTTGGAGTAATTTGAATAAAAATTAAAAACATTGCACAATATGTAATAAATTTAATTGCTTTTAATAACGCTTCAATGCACCAATACACGGTTAAGTTTCGTGAAAAATGTATAAGAATTTCTATATTTAGATACTATTGTTTATTTCTCTTTGGTGTATATAGGCTGTATATGTATATATTCATTTTAACAATGCTTTGTAAATAGTTATCGGTTATCATTGATCAAATGTAATCATTTCCGACAAAAGCGGCACTCTTTGAAGTTAATTTGTCCTTCAAAAACGTCTCCATTGGTGGTGGTGGTTCACTAAACTCTGCCTCAGCGTATTAATGGCCGACGACCGCGACGGGTCGGCTAATCTAATAAGGACACAGACTTGTTAATGAATGTCTGGTTTAAACCACAAAATACATGTCCATGATCGATATTGTTATAAGAAGTGAAAAGCCAAACTAATTTGTTGGGGTCATAAGTTTCTTTTATTTTTAATGTTTTAATAAAAAAAAGTGCAATTTAAGTAACAGGAGCTGGGGTGAAATTAGTACCCACAAAATTGTTTGCGTTTCCTACCATAAGTAGTGCGGAAATGAGATTTATTTTTCAGTCCTTCATTTAGCTGTGAGCCGTGAACATATTTGTATTATAGTATCGAGAGAGATAAACTAATTACACGCACTAAAATTCCTAACTGACATTTTTGTTTTCAATTTAGATAATACTGTTTATAAACAAATAGCAACTACCGAAAAAAAATAAACATAAAATAAAATTGCAAACAAATATTTTGAATGTCTAAATGTTAGCATGTATAACATTCTTTTTTTATTTATGGTATCCTTTTTTAGTTTTAACTAACTTACTTACTGATTTATTAGTTAGTAATTACTTGTAAAAAATGAATGATACATTAGTACATACATAGTATTATAATCGAATAATGAAAACTAATTTTAATAATAATAATTTTTGGCCTAGATACAAATTAAGGTACCTACTGTAATTAAGTGACGTTCGGTACCTAATTATAAAGATGTTTTTTCTAACACTCTAGAGTCTAAATACCAGTCTAAAATTTAGTAATTGAGTAATTTGTGTAAACAATTATTTACACTCGGCACTTAAGTGATAAACAGTCAACCGTAAAATCTGAAAAAAGCTTAATTCATCGTTCTGGAATTAGCTGACAGTAGACAATGTAATAAATAAAAAATAAACATTAAACTGGATAGCTCGGTATGTTACAAATGGTGTGCGTTTGTGTAAATGTGACATGTGTACACATCATGTACAAATGACCTCGGCACCTGAGTTTACTACGCCGAAAAATTACATTTCATAGTCTATTCAATACCACCGACTGACTAGAAACGTGCTAGAGTCTCTTTCAATCTATCACCCGTACCTTTAGGAACAATACCTGTACAATACAAACGGAAAATTCGTATTATACTTACCGACTACACTACAGTTGTTAGCTCTATTCAGTAAAAGTTTACCACGCGAAGTACAATAAATAATATATGCTCTCAACTTTCTTGTCTCTTGCATTAAGAACTTGTTTTGTTACTCCAGTAAAAGACAATAAAAGATAAAATATTTTTGGATTATAAAATATGTACATAGAATATTATACTTTCGATTTTTTTACTTTTTCCCAAAATATATGTTATTGTGTAAAACTTTACCAGTGCGAATTCGTTCCGATAAAATATATTGTAGTATTTTGTTTTTGCTTGTTCGATGTTCTATAATACTTTATATACTATAACCATTTTCCCATAAACTTATATACTTAGGATTTATTAATTTATTTAAATATTTGTGTTGACGAAAAAGTACCATACCACCAATGATATAGATGAAAAATACGAGCTAAAAATAATGTTTACAATAAATTAAACCTCCGGACTTTTTAAATAATAGTAATTTTATTTAGAAAAAATTAAGGGTGAAACTTAACATTAACAAATGCAACGACTAAATGAATGTAGTGCACATCGGCATTTTGATTTGAAGATTTACTGTTGAAGGCTTACAGTTAACATACTTGAACTGGTTATGGTCTAATCTTTTGTTCATTTAAATTTATGTACCAATAGTTTAAACAAATTTTAATATGTTATGCAAACATATATATATATATTTAGTAGACTTATAAGATATTTTACATTTGATGTAACTTACCAACCTAAATTTTCCGTAACTCGTATTTAAATTTTAAGTTATTGTTGTATTTGGATAAATAAATTGAATTACACGTCTTATTTGACATTTATTTCAACAAGAATATTAAATTAGAAAAAAATATATACCTAAAATTTAAAAAATAATTGTAGCTTGCTATACACTTCAGCTAATATAAAATCATTTAATTTACAGCAAGACGAAGAAACGAACTCTGATGTCATGGACTTGGATGAGATTTTGGGCACTTTTGGTTTGGGCAAATACCAGGTGTCCATCTGTCTATTGATGGGTTTTGTACTCATGTACTCAAACATATCGCCACTTAGCTATGCCATAACAGCCAGCGATCTCAAATATAGGTGAATACAGTTACTATTATTAGAAATTTTTGCCAGAATTGTTTTTTAGTTTAAAGCTTAAAATATAGAACAAAATGAAATGAGCAGTTAGCGTATGAGAGATGGTAATAAGTTATTTTCTTTAGTTAGATGTAAAATTGTATGTTCATCAAATTTATTGTTTGAATGAATAGTTTAAGAGTTTGAGTATTTTAATTAATTCGATGATAGTTAAAAGTAATCTTTTAATTATCTATTAAAATTAATTTTACTGAACTATTACGATTTTACTTATTATGTTTTCTATTTAACTCTATTAAATTGTTTACTGATAACATTGTGTTTTGTTTAAATTGATTAAAGAACTATTATAAGTATGAAACTAATAACTTATAATTGAAGGGGTCAGTGGATAAAGGTGTTAACTGACATTTTTTAAATTGTTCAGGAACGCTACTTTCGTAACTAAATATTAAAATGCTATGGAACTTTTTTGATAATCATTATATGTTATAACTATGTAACCACGAATCAAAACCTTACTCGACTGATATAATGTTTTTATTACACCACTACACTTTTAATCATGCAGTAAAATGCATTTTCAAAAAAAATGTCAGTTAATACCTTTTATCCACTGACCTTCAATTTGATTAATGTTTGTTGAAATTATAAAGTAAAATCGCTAAGTCTAATAATTGTGATTCGTATATATTTACATGGATTATAGATTATTAACACACACGTGATTAATTTATTCCACGATTAAGTCATTCAAATGAATTAGAAAATAATAAGGTATGAATACATGATATGTACTATTTATTGACATTTCCGCGTAGGAACAAATTAAAATAAGTTAACCTAACTTTTAGTCTTTTTATTCGTTATTTTAAAAATCTTCATTTCTAATTCCTATAGTTGTGCGTTTGTAACAGTCTGGTAACTTATACATAATTTTCCAAATTACAAATTTCCTTACCGTTTATGCACTATAATTGATAATATAGAAATGTGATTTAAATTTGTTTATAAATATTTGTATTGTTATCATCGAATAAAACGAAATACGAATTATTCTCTAATCAAATGGTAAACTCTTATAGATTAAATTTTTTATAACATAGAATAATAATTTTCAGACTTTTTGCAACATGATTGATTACTTAAACAATTTAGTTGTTTGCTCTTGAAGAACGATTTTCGATAGCCCGTTTCGAAGAAATAAGACGAAGTTTTTAATTAAATGCCCTTGAATAAATTATTCTTATTTCAATAGCTTAATTATTTATGTTGGTGAATCAAAAGTTACATAATCAGAACGTTTGTGTAAAATGAGTAAAATATATTTCATTAATTTATCTTATGTATACTTTAGTGTATTTACAATAAAATCATCTAATAAAAATCGTATCATTATAATATACTGTTATTGATTTCCAGATTATTTTTGTAATGAAACCAAGATGTTGTTTAATGGTTTATTTTATTTTTAATTTATTATTGGCACATCTATAATGAAAACTGAAAATAGTATACTATATTTGATTTTTAATTAATTTAAATTCAATAATGAACGATCATAGAATAAAAAATAAAAAATTATAGAAGTAGAATATAAATTGTTATAATCGTCACATATATTATTTCAAAAAAGTATATTTTTTTTAGTGAAATCTTTTTTTTTCTTTTTATCCTTAACCAAAATCAATAATTAAGGTACCATTTTAAAGATTAATTTCCCACTATTATCAATTTACAATTGCGAAGTATAATACCAGAAGTCTGTTATTGTTTTGTTTATCTCATCTGCGGCGACGACAGCAACGTCAGCGGCAGTTCTGATGTATATAGTTTTATTATTATTAACGTTGTTGTTCGTATGCGAAATATTCGCACGGGCCCTCTTGTAATAACTATACAGTGTATTTCTATATAACACTTAAATTTTCCTTTTAATTAGCGAACAGCTATTGTGTACAAATTACATTATAAATCATTATTCATACGGAGGTAATGTTTAAAACTTAGTTATGTTCAAACATACACAGTACACACTTTTGTCTGTAAAATTAAATAAATCTTCGAATCGTTACATATCGGCTTTTAACTCGATATTTAATTGGCGGACAAGGTTAACAAATACACAAACGGCAAACCGTTTTGACATAATGTATATATATATATTATAATGTACAGAATGCTATTGACGTTTGCCAACTTAGATTCACAAAACTACATTAATTTATTGTTGCTTTTAATTTTTATTAAATTAGAATTAAATTTATATTTGCTATATTAAAGCTGATGTTTTAAAAATTAAATATCTGAGGCAGTAATGAACTAAAATAAAAATGATTTTTCTTCCTTGATTCTTAAAATAAAAAATTTTTATAAACATTTTGTAGCGCGTTTTTTTCTTTACGTTACTATCTAAGACATACTTTTCTATGCGTGTCAATAACACCTCATATATCACCTCATTTAAGATTTTTTATGATAGTACAAGTACAATAATAGTTAATTTTTAAAAAAATGAATTTATAATTTAAACAGGTATGTATAAAGCAATATTCTGATTAGACCTATAAATATAGGCACCCTAGTTCAGATACCTAGTTACGGTTAGAAATCAATTCAGCACTCCAACCGCAGGATACTTGTAATAGTCAATTCAAAGTTAAGAATCAACTAGTTTAAATTTCTTTAAACGTCAGATGAACGCACCTTATTGTAGTTTGCATTACTCATAATAGTAATATTTATATCTGTAGAAAAAAAGTAGTACTCATTATTTAAAAGGTAGATTTAACTCAAGTTTAATCTAACTGACGTGAATGGTGAATGCTGCAGTTAATATAAAACGTCAGGCACGTTAAATAGGCAATATCAGTGCATTCGTGTATGTGAATATTTCTAACACTTGTAATTCTTTCGAGAAGATTAATTGAGTACTTATCTATGTAATGTTTGTGTTTATTGATTTTTTACATTATATTGTTGAATCGTGCTTGATGTAGACGAAACTTTCAATAAGATGCACTAATTAATAACACATCACCATTTATTAAAATTGAATATAAAGATCAAATCGTTTTCTTCTTCCTTTTATTTTTGGAGTATTAAGTATTATTACTTTTTTCTGGAAGCATAAAATATCGAATAAACTTTTTGTCATAGTGTACATTACTTTTAAATAAAACTTGATATGTTATATATATATATATATATATATATTTGTAAATCAATGTAATAAGATTTTTTTTTATTATAATCGTCTACACACAATCGCAACTGATAAACTAACATACCGACACACCACATTTGAAAAAAAAAATAGTCAAATCACAGGTTAAGAATGGTACCCTAAAAGAACCTTAAAAGAAAAATCATAAACTTACAAATTGTTATTTTACGGTTGACATTAGAATTGAAATAAAATCAAGGACGTTGAACCTGATAATATTAGTCTACTAGCTTTATTGTTTGTTTCACCTTTGCGTTTTGTATTCGATACAAGTACCTATACACAACACCGTTAAGTATATTTTGTTTCAATAAAGGTGTGCCATCCCCGAGTGCGATGGGGATAACCCAACTTATCGACCGGAATGGTTGCGATCGGCAGTGCCGTTCAACGGAGAATCGGAAGAGCCTTACAAGTGTCGCAGATACCACTTGGTTAGGCCAAACGACAACGACACCGACCCAGCATATTTAGTGAATGGCACGTGTCGACCGGACGCTTTCGATCCAAGTTCAGTGGACCTATGGTGCGACCATTGGGTTTTCGATGACAACGAAAAGACAATTGTGAATGACGTAAGTCAATCCCAGCGGTACTAAGTATGAAATCTACCAATAGTGCTATGTACCAGTGGTACTATTGTCTATTTTATTTCGAAAGAGTTAATACGTTGTACTAAAACAAATCGAAATTTGTTTAGTTATTCTTGTTCCATTACATTTTCCCCAACTCTGTTTATGGTTTAGGCGGAGGAATTGGTTAACAAATGAGGCAAATGCTAATGCACATACATTTTGTTGTCTAGGCATAGCCCACAACAAATTATTATGTTATATTTTATTTTATAGTACAATAAAATCGTATGATCAAAAGGTAAATATTTTTAATGAAAACGATTAAAAATTGTTACATCATTTTTAGCTAAAATTGTATTATTTACATTTGACCCGATTGTTTATACAATTATCCCGACTGACCTACTTGGTACTATATTAGATATCTTATCGGTGTTACCGATGATTTTTTTAATGACATTTTATAAAATATTAATTTTCCATGTATTAGTTTAACATTATGTGCGAAGAAAACAAATGGAAACTGACTATGGTGGGAACAATCAATAGTATCGGACAATTCATTGGAATCCCCTTGGCAGGTTTCATTTCGGACAAGTCAGTATTTAGTGTTTAACTCTTCTTACAATTCGCTTAGTATGACTTGACGATTGCATTTTTTTTTTCAGGTACGGCCGTAAATTCATTTTGATTATCGGGTCTGTGTCATCGGCAGTACTTGGAACTGCCAGATCGTTTACTACGGATTATTTTTCGTTCATCTTGTTCGAGCTTTTCGATTCCATTGCTTCTAGCGGTGTTTATGCGGCTACTTTTGTGCTTGGTTAGTAGTTTTTATGAATGAGGCGTGTAATTACCCGAATTTTAACAACAATTTTTTTAAAAGAGGGGTAGCGACTAACACCCTTGGGACTTATTTCGTGTGTGCCACCGATTATTATTATAACTATGCTTTAGGTCTGGAATTAGTCAGTCCCAAAGCACGGGTTACTGTCAGTACTCTCATGGGATGTTTTTATCCAATGGGCGCAGTACTGATGGGTTTCGTGGCTTACATGGTGCTCGATTGGAGGATAATGCTCAGGATTCTTTACCTTCCCGGTTTGCTCATTCTAAGCTACACGTGGTAAGCTGTTTCTAAAAAAAAAGTTCACATCACATCACCGTATTAACGCCGCACTTTAGGTACGTTCCGGAATCTATGCGATGGCTCCAGACGCAAAACCGTATAGAAGAGATGGCCAACATCTTAGCGAAAATTGCCAAGTCAAATGGCAAAACGATGCCGGTCAGCGTAAAGGAAGCACTGCTCAACGACCCCAAATCCAATAATAACCAAGTGAGAATTTCATGTAAATATTTATATGAGAGCCACCCAAGTCATTTTTCATAGTCCTCAACTCACTATTATTTAGTAGGATTTTTTTCTGAAACTCCTTTCTCAAAAGCATTTGTTCGTTTTCAGGATGAAAATGTTAAACTGTCCTGTAGCACGTTAATGAAAAAAATATTCAGTTCCAAAGAAATATTTTTGAGGCTGATTAATTGTTCATTTTGTTGGTAAGCGATGTATTCCGTCGAAGAACATATTTCATATATTTACATTATGGCTAACTATTCTGTTTACTATTTCTTAGGACCACCATAACATTAGTATACTATGGACTTTCGCTGACATCCATAGAGTTGTCCGGAAATAAATACTTAAACTTCATGTTGGTGAATGCTATCGAAGTGCCAGCTTTTTTGACGTCCTGGTACTTTATGGAACGTTTTCCCCGGAGGAATACTCAAGCATTCTCGTTCCTGTTCAGTGGTCTAGGCTGTATCTTGGTCAACATTACATCTGACAGTACGATTGTTTTGTATTGAATTTTAATCATCAACAAAACAGACAGACATTCCCATGTTTTTAAGAAATTGTCTTTGGATTGAACATAGTTTAATAAAAAGGTTACAAAGCTTTTTTTGTTTTAATTATAGGTCATTTGTGGTTAAAGTTACTACTGTTCTTGAGTAGTAAATATGCGATTACCATGGCTTTCAACACTATGTACGTGTTCACAGCAGAGATGTTCCCCACCGAATTGCGTATGTCTTTGTTCGGTATCACTTCTATGTTTGGCCGTTTCGGTTCCATGATAGCGCCACAAATGTCATTATTGGTAGGTAGTGACATTATAGAATAGTATTACCTTTCGATCAAATAGTGTTGATTTTGCTTTTTTAAATGTTCATTTTTAACAATGCTGTGAAAGTTCATTCAAATTAGGAACTAGTGTATGTCCACCTTACAAAAAAATTAAGTAGTTCAGCTTATAATTTTTTTATATAATGTGATCTCAATTTTCCACAAATTATTATGTTTCTAAATTCTATCCACCTCCCAAACTAGTTTTTTTTTACAGCAACTTTTGAAACTGGAATGGTAACGTATTTATTTTTTCAACTTTTTAAACTAAGAATATTCTACTAACAATTTTGACTGGTCGATAACCTGTTTTGGATAACTATTTTTGAAGTTTTTTGTTTTGGGCAGGAGAAAAGGTGCAGTGTAGTATTATTTTTATTTACGCGCACTTCCTATCCCGTCCTAACTTTTAAAATAATTATCCAAAACTGGTTATCAACCAGTCAACATTTTTAGTGAAATATTACTAATTTAAAAAGTTAAAAAAATATGTACGTAACCATTTATGTTTCAAAAGTTGCTATCAAAAAAACTAGTTTGGGAGGGGGACAGAAACATAATAATTTCTGGAAAATTTAGTTAACATTATATAAAAACATTATGAAAAAAAAAATTGAATTATTAATTAAATCCAGTAAAATATTGAGTGGCGTGATAAAAGAATCACTCTGTATATGATTTAAGTCTAAAATTTAAATGCAAAACTAGTTACAGTCTGTTATTTTATTTATAAGTTTATAGATATAATAAATTTTGGCTTTATATGTGTACAAAATAACAATATATTTTTTAAACGACTAATTGACCTTAATTTCCCATATGGTACCTACGCCTAAAATCAAAAATACAGAAAAGTTTATATTTTATTTGGAGAGTGGGAGGGGGAAATGAATCATAGATTATTTTTGTTTTATTTTACCCATACATAGCTATTGTGTTAAAAAAAATTTAAGATATTTTATTTATGTTTGTAAAATTTTAACAAATAGTGTTTCACATTTCATAAAATTCCAGTTAAATTCCTTTTTTACAAAAAATGAATTCTCCAGAACTCTGGCAAAGTTAATTGAATGAGTTCCTATGAACACATTTCTGATAAAGGATGATTTTAAATATCTTATTACTACAACGTATTAGACATTTTCTGTACAACTATGATATATTTTTTAAAATATACAATATCTAGAAATGTGTTCTTTTTGCTCGATTTTCATCAAAACCATTAGTTTTTTAACCAATAAATGTGAAACATGTTAACAATTTGCTTTATACATTTTCCAGTCCACTTATTTTGGTAGCTGGGTACCGATTATGTTGTTTGGCATAATATCATTCATAGCGGGTGCTCTAGCATTCCTCTTCCCAGAAACTAAGGATCAGAAACTACCGGACACAGTGAAACAAGCTGAACTCGTCGGAGAAGTCTAAACGCATGAATACTCATGACACGTATGACCTATATATATATATATATGTATACTGTATACATATACATGTACTTTGTATATATTTATAGTACACGTATCCAGCTGTAGATCTAATTGTCTGATCCAAATACACAAAGAATGCGGTTCATGTACACGAATACAACAATTGGATAATGTGCCTTAACACAGTGTATTTATTATTTAAAAAGAAAAACTGAATTCCAAACTTTATGTAATATGTATGCAGTGAACACAAGTTTTTATTTGTAGATTATTTTTTGACCTCAAAAATACTAACCGAAAGTTTAAACTTAAAATGAAAACAATAAAAATACAACATACACACCCAAGTACTCAAGATTATTGAGTCATACCCTTGTTAGTATAGGCATACTTTTTATCATATATTTAATGTTTATTTAAACTTAAAATATGTACCCTAGTATAGTGATGTTAATCTTATAATTATATGCATATACACACACAAAACCGGTATGTATAATATCGTACCTTTTATTTTTTGAGAAAAAACCAATTCCATTTTGTCATCCGTTTTCTTTGGGTGTCTCTATTTCGTATTAATATTTCTGTGATATTTAAACGTGTAATGATTACGCGAATTTAATATTAATCTATGTACGTTAATTATATCAATTTACAGTCTAAATTGTAATTTCGGTGCTAAAGTCATACTTTACACTGTAACAACATGTTATTATTAAAGCAATATTGTGCTATTTTTTTTATGTATGATTACATTAACTGTTATTTACTTATATTAATCTGTTTAATGTTAATATGATTGGAGTATTTTTACTTGTTAGAATATTTAAAAAAGACATTATTATTTGTGAATAAATTAAATGATTATTATACCTACTAAACATTTTGTCAATTTTTGTCAACATTAATTTATGATTAAACATTTGTTGTGATAATGAAACTTTAACGTAAAATTATTATAAGATGACCCTTAAGCTTAAGATTATAAATAGTTTTATAATGGTACTTTGTTAAAATGTTTGTTCTTATTCCCAATGTATTATTGTAATATTTAGTTAATTATAGTTATAATTTATTTTAATAGAATCACTGTGTTAATTTTTTGATACCTTACGTTTTTCCAATTATAAAATTACTATAATATGATCTTTTCCGATGAAAACATTGCAGAAATATGCAAAATACTTACTCTTGAATAAAATGAGTGAGCATAATAATAATTATTATCTAGTTATTTTACGACTATACATAAAATGTATCTTACAGTAATCACCCACAGAGGCTCTAGCTTTTGCAGGACCCCGAACAAAAGAGATGATTAAATAAAGAGACTTCAACTCATGTGAAATCTAAGGTTAATTTTTAATTAAAGCAACTTTGATTTTTCGGGATTTGTATTACTATTTCAAAGGGTTCAAATTTATACAATAATTAGCGTACCTGGATTATATTCCTAACATTTTTTTGAAGTTAGACTTATTTACTTATCTAGTAAACATTAAGTAAACAAGAACTAAAAATTAAACAACACTAAATTGACATAATATTAAGATTTGTCTTTTTTTTATTTTGTAGATACATTTTTTTTCCACAAACCATTTTAATCATCACAATAGTTTAATTTATCATAGATTTTGATAAATATTTCTGTACTATTTATAGTTTTATAAAAAAAATTGGCAATTTCATATTTTTAAACATTCATTTACTGAAAAAAAATAGGATACCAAGAATAAAAACAAAATAAAGTTGTACGATTTTATTAAAGAAAAAATATTAATTTTGCTTACTTAATTACCAGTAACTTGAAAATATATATCAGTATAATATTATAATTTAACATGTTATTCTCCATCTGAACCAGAATCATCATCCAATGACGCTTTAGCATACTTAAGCGATTCTTCATAAACATCTTTCGAAACTTCTTCATGCTTCCCATTCGTGTGGCTACCAACCCAACTGAGTTCTAACTCAAATTGTTTATCTTTTAATTCATCGTGCACCATGTAAATACTATAAACAAAGAATATAAATTAACTGTTAGCTTAGTATAATGTTAAATTTTATTTCAAATACATTTTTGCTGCTTCTTTGATTAAATCTTTGCATAACATTGTTTTCAAATTTAACTTTTCAATCTCAGTTTTTGCTGTCTGCTTTGCTTTACCAATGGCACACCCAAAGTATCCCTATAAGTATAAAAATATATTTCAGTTTATCTATTTATTGTTTAGTTTGAATCTAGGAAACCAATAAATACATACAAATGAAACGCCTGCAGGGTCAATCATATACATTTCTGGACCATCGTGATGATCATAGGCACCAATAATTACCGCACAACCAAAGGGCCTAATAGCACTGTATAATGTATGAGCATGTATATACATGGATAATCTCTCATTCAAGTATTTTAATGAAATAGGCACATTGTAGGTTTGACGGAAAGATTTTGCTTCTTCACGTGCAACATCCAATATAGCACTGGCATCGGCCGTTAAACCTCCAACTGCCTATATTAAAACAATTTAAAGTAAAGCGTAATCAAATGATTTTATAACAAAAGTTACTTCTAAATAATAAATGAATTGTAAAATACCATTCCTACGTGGTTGTCGACGCTATGCAACCTTCTACCAGTTCCATCTTCGTGTAATTTGGAAGTGATCAACTTTTCAACAGCAAATACAACACCATCTGATCCTCGTAAAGCTATGGCCGTTCTAAGTACATAAAATGTTAAGATACAATATGTATATTTTACTACTAACTTATCGAGACATAAGTTAACAACTATAATATTTAATTTGTCATACCCGCTATTTTCCACAGCCTTGAATGCATATTCAACTTGAAACACTCTGCCATCAGGAGAAAATTGGGATGCGGATAAATCATACTACAAAGAAAATGTACAAATCTATTTAGGAAGAACTTTTAAAAAATAGCTACTCATTTTATAGTTGTTTATATTTTAACAAAATATGTTCATAATTTGATTGTGTAACTATTTAGAATAAATATGTAATTGTACTTAAAATAACTAATAATCATATTTAGTAATTTATGGAAACGCGCAATAATGTTGTTGCAATTTTCTTTAAAAATATCCCATGCATAAGGGTTTACAATTAACCAGCATATATAAATAATATATGTTTTAAATAATTAACAAATATTGTTTTTTTCATGAGGAATATAGTGATAGATCATGTATACAATAAATATAATATTGGTAAAAAAATAATTTGCCCTTTTAGCTACAAAGGAAAGTACTGATACATTATATAAAATTAATTGGTTTAAATTTTAATAATACTTACACCTGTTCCAATTGAACTCATATTGTCTAAAAATTAAGTAATATCAAAAATAACTATATTGATGTAGAAATATATAAACTAATATAAGAATGACTATAATGCAGCGTTAATAATTTTTATAATTTACAATAGGACAAACGAAAATATGTACCTATTATGAAAATGCAAATATAAAATAACACTGATAAAGCAAATAAATAAGATTATAACTACATAACCTTAAAATTATTAGTTTCCTTATTCCATGACAAATAAACATTTGATCGTGATTTCTGCCAAGTGCTACTAAAAAAAACAAATTATTCAATCTCTTTTCTATGATTCAATATAATATTGATTAGTGATTAGTAATTACTCATTTTTGACTTGTTTTTACGTTTTACATTTTACTTTATAAATTAACTTTTCGTTTGTTAATAAAATAATTTTTCATTTATGAATGATTAACAACTAATAGAATTTAAAATAGTAATTACTGCTAAATTAAGCTAATAGTTAATAGGTACTTAGTATACTACTATAGTAGACTACTATTAGATTACTATTACTATAGATATTATTATATTTATAATCAATGATACTATTATAGTTTACATCATGAAATATATTATATTTTTTTGGCTTAATATAGGCCAAATATAATTGGCCTATAATATGTAATATTTATTATACATATATTTATATATCTTTCTTATATTGTGCTAAAATCGATCCCATTTATTCAGTTCCACCTCTTTCAAATATATATTTATTATTTTGTTTAATGAAGTGATTAGTGCTGCCCAGCTAAAGTCAAAACCCTATAAAATCCATTTCCCAGAAAGAAGGAGAAATAATTTTTCTTATTTGTTATCCCAAATGTCTTAATATAACATCTTATGATGAGACAAACGAATGACTATTGACTGTAATAAATTGTATGTTATAGATCACCTTTGCCAACAACTATGATATACACGTATTGATTATAAGTACTAAATTTTATAATCATTAATCAATGTCATAAAATATTGATTTCAGAGTTCAGAAATAATAATTATTCCTCTATGGTTGAGGCTACTTTATTGGCTTCGTAATTCATCTTAATTGTTAACAACTATTTTATGTAGATTTTAAAAGATTAGTAAATCTAACCAGGTCAATTTTTTTCCAGTCAGCCATTGCCCATTTCCCAATAGGTTTCTTTTTATCTAGGTACCAAAAGAAAAAAATAAGGGGAGCCAATTTCCTGTGTTTAAATTCTGTTTGCATATATATTGTTTTTATTCATAATCGTTTACATACATTATAAAACATAACACAATCTTTGTCATTTAATAGTAATTACAATGTTATACATGATTATTTGATAGCCAATACTATATTTAATATAAATTGTGGCTTATATAAGTACAACTTTAAGTACGAGACACAGATGAGATATATTTAAAAAGATTTTCTTAAATATTAGTGATTTGATCAAGATGCAATCGTTTTAAAATATTATAATTAACATTTTACAACTGGCAAACATGTATAATTATTAGTTAATTTGTTTGTAATTCGCAAACAAATGAATCATGAAGTAATAACAGCTATACAGCTGCAAATTTAATTTCAAATTCATAAAATTATAAGATAGGTATAGCCTAAACGGACTGTACGTAACGTTTTTAAATTCTCGAGTTTTTTTAAATTTTATAATTAATTGTAAATTTTTGATAATTAAAGTTCACACGAACTAAAATTATGTTCATCTTAGTTCGTTATCAATAAACATCATTTATGTATACTTGGTACTGTTTCCTAGTGGACATAAAATATTTTCTATACTCAAATCATTTATTATCACTCGCCAGATTACTTGGATGTATTGATATTTGATAGGGAATTTAAAATTAATTATTATATAGATAATAGATTTGTAGATATAATATACTTAATAACTGTTTTATAATCTTTTCGTTATGCTATATAGTATACTGTATATAGTAATTTATACCTAAAGAAAGTCAGTTGAATGTCATGAAAGCTTGCAGCGGCAAACTGTATTATCTCATCTAGTTTAATAGTGATTTAATGTTTTTATTTTTATTGGATACCTACTTCTCATTGCTACTGTTATATGTACATATACATACTATATATATATATATATATATATATATATACCAGTAAGATTGACATCGGCAAATGAAAGTAAGTATCTAGATGTCCTTCGACCCGATTTTAGTGTATTAATTATATAACTGAACTAATCATATTATTATCATTCAACCACCATTTTTTTTTTTTTTTGTGAATCCAGATAACTGTTTTTGAGTACCTATATTTTAACTTGCCAATGAATCCTTAAACCTATTGATGGTATTTCAAAGAAAATATGCTTCTGACTTTGTTTTATATGGCTACCACTTGGTTTCAGTCCTATAGACTGGCTAGGGTAAAAACAAATTTGAAAAAATACCTATCTAACCATCGTACATTGGTGTTTTATAAAGAAAAAGATTTTGCAAAAATTGATAGTGAAAGTATGTACTTTGTATTTAGTTTAAGTTTTTTTTTTCAACAAGATTTGTTCTTTAGGTATTTGTTCATCATCAGTTGCTGCTGTTCCTTTGTTACTAAGACCTCACGGACTTACCTCGGATAGTTGTAAATACGCTAAATCTGCTCAGCTTGATCAAATTATATCTCTTGTTGGTCATAAAAGATCATGTTCTGTTTTTCCTGAGGTAAACATTAGTATAGACTTATATGTAGTTATTTATAATGAAACAATTTGTCTATACCTAATATAAGTTTTCTTGTTAAAAATAACATAATTAATTTTTAATTTTTTTTTTTTTATAAACAGCAAATATTAAATTTGGATACATGGATTCTTATTCCTAACTATAGAGTTACTTTTCCAGCTCTACTAAATACTCAAACACCATTAAAATTAAATAAAGAGTCAAAAATAAATGTATTGGTTGAAGCCAATTACCGTATGATAAACCAACAAAAAACAGTCCAGACATGTTCAGTAAATAAACACATAGATAGATTACTCTCTTAACTCAAATGTTAAACGTTTAGACTTAAGCTATTATAATGCCATTTTATAGATAGAAAGTTTTGGTATCCCTAAAGCTTGGAATGCTGGAGAATATTTCGGATTACTATTGGAAACTGACCTAGACCATTTTGCCATGCTCAGTATGGATTTTATGGCCAGTACTAGTTCTATATATTTAGGAAATAACATGGAACTTTTTCGAATCCAAGGTATGTATTTTAAACGGGTTCAGACATTTTGGCATACAATCAGTTTTTCAGCTTTTTTATAAAAGAATGCACAAGAGTTATGAGTTTTCTTAAAATTTTAAATCCAAATAAAATAAAATGAATAAATAATTATTTTCTTTATAGAATCGTGCATAACTCATTGATGGTATGACATTTCTTATATTTTTGGACTTATTACCATTTTTATATTCTAAAACTAATTTTTAAAAAACATCTCTATAGGTACATTTATAATTTGTAACATATATGTTAAAATATTAAACAATTTCCTAGAGAAATTGTTTTCATTAAGGATTGTCATAAAAGTTGATAAACCTAATACCTAGTTTAGGGTACTTGTACCTTCTTACAATAGTTACACAAAATGTATTAACACCCAAAAGTTTTGTTTGACTACCTTATATTAATGACTAAAAGAAAATATTATGGGGATAATTTTTAAAATAGTTGTTACCATTATGTTGTACTAATATTTATACATTTTTTTGTATATATATCATAGCTGTAAGAGTTGAAGGTCGACCGTGTATGATTGACAATCCTGAATCGATTGCATCTACTATTGATTTTGTGTATAACTTAGACGATACTTCAGGTAAATTGTAATAATAAGTAATCCCAATAAAAAAACTAATTTTTTTGTTTTTTTTAGATAACACTGTTTTAACAGCGACTCAATGGAAAAATTATTGTGATACACTTCGTGCAGTAACTTTAGCAGCATATAATGTTGCTGTGTCTGGAAAATCAATTAACTTTTGGTAAAATCTCTGTTCATTTTATGCATATTCCATTTTATATAATATATTAAAAAATGTATTTTGTAGCTCAGCAGTGCTGTCCAAAAATATTGATACTATAATAAATATTGATGATAAGATCATTAATAAAAATGTGCCTGATGAAGTCGATGGTGAAATAAACAGAAGTATAAGACCAACTAATTTTAATAGTTTGGTCAATTCACCAAAGGAGAATAGTATACAATATGTCCGATTCAGTAATAGTTTTGAAATGGAAACGTATCAAAATGGAAGTTCAAATTATAATGACACTTCTAGTATTTATAGTAGTGATTCCAGTTCCAGTGATTCAATTAATATGAGAAAATCAATTCTTTCTCCTCTTTCCGAAGTTGAAATGAAACTATCAAACGGGTTAGTTTATATTATCAATTTTTTTTAAATATTTTTTAAATATTATTCTTCTTGTTTTATAGAATGAAACCAATAAAAAGTAGTCCAGATGTGTTTGGAATATTTAAGGGCGGATCCAAGAGCTCTCCAACGATGAGAAACAATAGATCATTTTCAGATTTCACAAACAGTCCAGATTCAAAAACACGGTGTCATACGCCAGTACAACATAGAGGTGAATCAAAAACTGGGAAACCTCCAAATATTATCATTTTCAGTGAGAGTGCTTCAAGTGCTCAAGAAATTGAAAATTCTCTTCAGTCCATCTTACATAGATACAGGTAAAAGTTATAATTTTATTATTAAAAATTGTATAATTTAGAAGAGAACAATGAAGTAATTGGGTAAGATGACAGTGTGTACTGTCACTGTTGCTAGAACGACACTCAGTTACAGAAAGGCTCCGTTTTTCTGGGAAAAAAATTTGCTAGTGAAAAGGAGGCAAGCCCACTATTACCTTTCCGGCGCCCCTCGACCTGGCCTGGAATAAAAAACACTTAAGATAGGGCTGGTATTTTTTAATTGTTATTCAATAAAAACCATATTCACTAAAATATTCACTTAGATTTGCAGTCTGCTGGACAGTCTGGTTGACTGACTGTTGTCTAACAGTAATCTGCTGGTAATCGTAGTTAGACCATTAACCACCCAAAGTTGGCTGGTTAACGGCTAAATAACGATTAAAACTGTTGGTGGTATCAGGATTAATTCATTTTAAATAGTGGGTTTACTGAAAAATTGGCATTGTAAATAATTACCGAATTACTGTAAAATCAGCAAATATTAAATAATCAATAAGTACTTAAAATACTGGTAACTGATTATTATGAACACACAATAATTTATTAAAGCCTAGTTTATCTATTAAAGACTTAAGTATAACGGAGAAAACTATTGTCAATTAGATAACTACTGTAAATTAAAAAAATTTTATATTAGCTTTTAATACCAAAAAACAGTTAACAGGTATACTACCATCATTATTTCAGTTTACCAAAAATACGCCCAACCTTACATATATTAATATTAAGAATAATTTTCTGAAAATTTTGACTAGTCGATAACCATTTTTGAATAAATAGTTTTAAAGTTATAAATGTTTAAAATTTTGGACGGGAGGAAGGGTGGAGTATAGTGTTTTTTATCTGTACACGTTGCTTAACCAAAATCCATCTCCTGTCCTAAATTTTAAATTTAATTAACTTGGAAAGTAGTTATCTTAAACCGGTATTGGTAATCAACATTTAGTAAATTATTCTTAATTAAAAAGTCAATTAAATATATATTTTACCATTTAAGTTTCATAATTTGATAAAGTTCTAAAAAATATAAAAAAAGATAAAAAATTTTATTAATGCCGAACATTGTAATATAAATTAAACAAAAAAGTTTTCCAAAAAAAAACTACAAAATTACAATTATTTTGAAAGAAAATTAGTGTAGGGGGTTAAATATCTAGACTTCCGTAGGTTGTTTTTAGTGTAAAAAAAAATATAATTACATTAAATATGTATTTTATTTATAAATGAATAAATTGTTTCAATACTTTTTTTTACATTGTATACACGTGTCGGCCCATAATCTTAATTTTTATTACAAAATAAATAATAATAAAACTGAACTGTTATGCGTCATCTGTAATATTCGTTGTTTAAAATTATATTCTATGTTAATTAACAAGTTGTAAAGATTCATTTTTACATCTTGTTAAGTATTGTTTATTGTGACTATAAGTGGATGCTCATAGGCACAATTGGGATGGCAGGGAGCTAAAAAAATTATTTAGTTGTCATATAAAATTCGTATTAGGGGATTGCATGAGGTACTTTTTTAAGGAGATTTGTATAGGCAATATTTAAGAAAAAAGGAGGTTTTAATAAATTTCGACCATGTCAATTAATTTACCGGTTAATTTGTTTAAGCTTCAAGGTGTTATTTTTAAATAAAATAATTTTTTCTATAAGTAAACTGTAAAAGTCATTTTACTTTATTTTAGACCTAAAAGCCAAACAAAATTTCGACTACATAGTTTGGTCCAATTTAATTCTGTAAAGAGATTCGAGTTCTTCTGGCTAATATACTATATTATGTGGAAAGCCAGTTTTCATTTAAACACTTCAGTTTCTTGTATTTCAATAAATTAAATTTGCAATGTTTTCAATATTAAAACCCAATTTTTACTTGAAAAAATTAAAAATATGTTTCCTACATAACTTAGAAAAGTTGCCAAAAACTCTACATCTTTACAGAATTGAAATCGGACCATCGTACGTAGTCGAAATTTGTCTGGTTTTTTGGTCTAAAACGTCAAAAAACCGACCGCATGCAATAATTTGTAGTTGTGTGTATCTAAATAAAAAACTAATAATAAGTTGAAACCAAATGAAAAATTCTATGTTATATTATTTTTTTGAATTCCATTGATTTTTTCGTTGGACGTTCTGTATTGTTCTTTAACACACTTTTTGTGTAGTGTATATCTATTTAGACGTATGTTTATTATTATTGCATTCTTCAATATTTAAGTATTATCTATTGTTTTTATATCTGGATTTTGAAAGTCCCATTAACAGTTACAAATTTTAATTTTGGTAACGGGATATTATTACAGAATTAGACGAGCTTCCAGAATTTGTTTGCAATAAATATTCACTTACGTAAACTTTGATAGTTTTATTTAGCATGGACACAGCTAAACTTTTTTTAGCTTACCGAAAATTATGAGGTACTGCTCATTTTTATATTTTAAGGCCGGGATCTAAACAATTATTCGAAAGTTCGTACCAAATTCGAATGCTCAATGTTTTCGTACTAAAGGTTATAACATGTTTTATTTGTCTGAAATTAAAATATTTTCTCAATAGAGCAATATAAATTGTCCTCTTGAATTAGTATTACATTTTTGTTTAAGCTCAGGAAATAATTGGATGTTTGCTCAAAAATATTAGTGTTTTTTTTATTTATGTATGTCCACGACTTATGAGACATTTAATTTCAACATATTTCGATGGCATCTGTTAAGTGTGAAGGGTTCTTAGTGTATTTTTTACCACAGGCTTATGGTCTATGGGAAGTCTCGTTTTCCGGTCTTGTTACCCCCTTTCATTCACGGTATCGAGCACGTTTTAAAGAAAAGTACACCTTTGCATTGTTTAATATACAGATGTGTGCCGTTGAATTTTATTATATTATGTACATAATATACCGGTGTACGCGGCTCATAATATAATAGACCATACTTCTAAGCACACGTGTCATTAATATCCGACAACATTTTAGTGTGTGCTGCGTTCACCCACCCACTGTTTATTCAATACGTTGACAAAATGATCTATTATGGGTTGTTCGTGTAAACTGTTAACGATTTAGTGTAGCGTTTTGTTGTGAAAAAGTAAACTGGATCTTCCGATGATTTTTAGTCGAATGTTGTGATTGCTCAGCCCGGGAAATTCTCGTCGTTATAGTTTTTTATGTTGATAATATATGTATACTAATTGATTTACTATAGTTTTGTAATACAAACCGTTAGCAATGTTTTTGTACGTCTATGCGGCTCTGAGTCTTTTGTGTTTGTTTTACGTGCTCGCTTCTTTGTACGCCGTTATAAGCGATTTGATCGATTCTTTATTTCTGGAAGTTGGCCACAATTCGCACGAGTAAATCTAATTAGATATGTCGCTTTAGGTATACCATATACACGCTGAGCTTGGAAAGGATGCTCAGGTCGCCTTGGACCTCGCAAGCTACCATGGTGGTCATTTACGGGTCGGTACCGAAAGGTCTTTACCCACTACTGGAATACTATCTGTTGGTCGAAGGCGGTCGAGTGCTAAGTCTGTGCTCAGATTTGTTGGGCACATTCCTTCCGAGTGCTTACAGCATGGCCGAGGTGCGTCACGACGAAATTGTCAATTTTACCTACTACCCGTTGTCCATGCAAGCGTCCCTCATGCATCACATACTATGCTACCAGCCGAGCGCCTCCCACGACGGTCGGTTTCAAGCCGACTCACGGTAATTATATCTTGTTGATAATACTACCACGGTTTTAAATAAACTAACGAACATAAAATCATATAACGTTTTTGTATCATTATGTGTATTAGAAATAACAAACCAGCCATTAATCTCGAAATTGTGGACATATTCGATTCCGGCAACAAGCACCATGCGATCACCGTACAAGTTTTGGCGGCGGAAAACACGTGGGAAACTCCTAGTCTCATTTTGGCCACCACTCCGTCCGGCGGACGAGTTGTTTTTTCTCAGGTAATTTCTAATTTACAATTTATATAACGTCTTTGTAGTTTTATTTCTAAAAATAAAACATAATACCCAAGGGCGGAGTGACCAGTCTGGAAACGGGAATTTTATAGTTCACCTAATTATACCTGTTATCAACCGTCCATTAGAGAATGGTCAATGGTCAATGGAGTCCCGAAAGATGTAACTTTTTTAAGGGGTTAAGTATAGGCAGCATTTGAAAAAACGCGACTTTCTCATAATTGGTGGTTAATGATTATAAATTTTAAAATATTGACTTTTTTCACAAAAATCAAATACTAATTAAAAAAATAAGTAAGATGATTTGGGCATGTTCTAGGATAGAATACAAATAAAAAGGTATAATGGGCAAGAGAGTTTAGTGTTGGGAATTTTGACATTGCTACTCGAAGTGGCGTGGCCCCCCATCTGCGTTTCCGGGTTATTTTATTTTGTTCCCAAGGAGCAAGAGAAGTTGATCCAGAAGCTCCTCTATCCAAAAACAAATTCAATCTTTCTATGTGGGCGTTTCCTAATCCTCCACTATATATGGATTAATAATCTAAGAACGTTTCTATTGTTCATGTTATCATAGTTGTATGACAGAGAACACCAGTATTAAACATAATTTAAATGTTCCAGGTACATTTGGAAATTGATCCTCATCAGAATGGTGAAACTCTTTCAAATAATAACGACAGACATATATTACTTAAAGACTTATTAAGTGTACATCTTGGGTTAGACTGTGTGCCACCATCTGACCAAGAACCAAGCCATACACCAGCTTATTTAATAGGAAATGAAAAAGTATAACAATTATTGTGAAGTTTTTTTAAAAATTATTTGTATATTGTCTTATGTCTACTTTACTTTTAGGACAAAGCTGAATTTTTAAGTTTCTTAAAGGGAAAAGGGAATGAAAAAAACGTATTACTCATAAAAGATCTGTATGTTCAATTTTGTGGAAATGACGAAATGTGTATTAACGTTAGCGAAAATTCCCTACCTATTATTTATAATGATGTCCCAGAAAATTTCAATGAAGAGGAATACTTTAGAGTATATATACATACTTTTTAAATATGTAGATGTATAAAAATATTTTTATAATAATTATGTTTGTAACTTTTTAACAGAATCTTCATACCAAATATTTAGGACAAATGGTTATATACGGAGATGTCATGTCAACTTCTATGAGGATTTTAAATGATCCCATTTTGAAACACGGAATAGTGGTTATTCCCAAACTTCAAGTAACTGGAATTGGTAAAATATTTTATCTCTATAAAAATACAAATTATCTATAAATCGGTGGTTGTTTTTACAGTCATAGTAGATTAATGTTGACGAGGGGTTTGAGATGATAAATGATAGGATTACTAATAGGTGCTCTCAAAATTATAAAAAAAAAATGTTTTAAATGAAAGTAATTATCTACCGCAAACCTAAATATAAATAATATTACAAAATAATAGGCTCCAGGGCTCCAATGTTACATAATTGTCAACTTAGTTCTACATATGCCATCGCTTTACATAATATTAGTGTCTAACTTGTATAGTATTATACAAATAGGTAGAGGAGGTAACAAATGGTTGAGTCCCAAAGGTTGTGCTATGTTTTCTATACAACTACACATCCCATTTGATTCAAAACTTGGTCAGAGACTAGCATTGCTACAACATGTTGTAGCTTTATCAGTCGTGTCAGCTGTATGTTCATTACCAGGTGGTTATGATGTAAGACATTTATTTGATACATACATTTATTTTATTTAATGTTATTATATAATATACTATGGTCATATTTTTAAGAAACTCGATTTGGGTTTAAAATGGCCTAATGATATATATGCCGGAGGAAATGCAAAAATTGGAGGCTTAGTTATCAGTAGTTCAGCTATGGGTAATATGGCAATTTGTACAATTGGTAAGTATATTTAATATTTATCCTTACCTAGTTTAATACTAGCTTTATTTATTCTATTTTTTATGTATGGTTATGGTACGTGACAAAATTAATGTTTGGCTTGTGTAAATAATTGTTTAATTTTGCTCTTTATATAACTATATATATATATAATATATAATATATATATTAATATATATATATATATATATATATATTAATAAACTTAGCTTATGGTATTTGTTTACATCTAGGATGCGGTGTGAATTTAAATAATAGTTTACCTACCACATGTATCAATGATGTAATTGAAGAGCATAACGCTAACACTCAAAATAATCTTTCAACGTTGTCACCTGAACAATATTTTGGAGCAGTATTCACAGAATTAGAAAGGTTGTTAAATCAAGTAGAACAAGGCAATGTGGATATTATATTTGATCTTTATTACAAATATTGGCTTCATAGGTAAGATTTCTAAAATAATTCCCAGTTGTTGTTAGATGGAAGATATTCTTTTTTTTCTCACTATCAAATACAGTATCAATTTTAAATCTACAATTTGACCTATTAAGTCTGTAAAAGCCATTATAGTGGGTTGAGGTCGGAGCATAAAAGTCTATCCAAACTGGGGTAAAGGTCATAGATAATTTTGATGGTTTTTAACTAAAGGACTATTATTTTGCCATTTTTTTTAAAAGTGCCTGTAGTTTAAAGTTAAAAATGAATAAATTTGTTTAGTTTTATTTCTCAATTTTTTTAAAAATCCTCGTGGTTGCTAAACCCGTAATGTAGGGAACTTTAGGCTTACAATATTTAACCCTTGGGCACCCATGCCGTCACCTAGATACCTCCACCTGTGGCAATATGCGGCACAGATTGCTGTCGTGCATGTGCCGAGGGTTAATTGATAAACGGTTTGTTTGAAGAAATTGGTTCAGCGGTTTAAAAGCTATGGTGGATTTTATTTAAGAAAAACATCATTGTAAAACCATAACATTTTCTGCTCCGTATCAAAAATAAAAAAATATTTTATCATTTATACATTATTGTATAAATAGTAAGTTACAATAATATCTATTTTTTTTTTTTAGTAATACTGAAGTGACTGTTCTACGTACAGATCAAACATCATTTAAAGCTCTTGTGATAGGTCTTGATGATCACGGCTTCCTTAGAGTGCGTTCAGAAAGTGGAGAAATAGTGGATGTCAGACCAGATGGAAATTCATTTGACATGCTTGCTGGTCTCATAGCACCTAAATAATATATGGAAATACTTAACTAATTGCATATTAGGAATTTGATTTTCTTCAAACTATTGGTGATCGGACTAATTTGTATGTACTTTCTATATAAAAGCTAGAATTTTCTACTTGAGTCAAAATAACACGTGTTTAAATTTTAAGTGAAAAAATATTTTATTGTCTTAAAATTCTACTATTCTTAAATATTATTGAAATGTTGATTTAAAAAAAAAAAGCATTAGTGTGTTCATATTAACTTTAAATTTGGTAAGAGCAAAACCAACAAAACTTAAAAAAGTTTTAATGTTTTCATAAGCAAAATAAAAAAATAAAAAATTGTCGAGCTAGCTTAAAATTATTAAGCTGTGTAATTCTTCAGTTGACAACACTAAAAACTAAAACTGGATTTGGAATTGATGGTAGTTTATAGATACTAATATTTTTTTTTTAATGAAAACTGTGAACATCATAAATGGCGCATTGTAAGTATGTTACATATTATAGGTAATAATACTTTTGGTGTTTTAGTAAGACTGGGTTAGTAGTGTACTTATTTATAAATAAGGCCTCTTAATGTACTTAAAACACAATACTCGCAAGTTATATCTCCTTTAGAAATTTAAAAATTAAGACTAATAATAATTAATAGGTTAGTTATACTTATTTTAAATGGGCGACTTTACCTCTGTACTGTTACAATATCTTAAATATTATTACTAATAGCTAGTTATTTAAATGCTGTGTTTGGAAAACCAAAAATTGTTACCAAAAATGAGAGTCGCTTTTTGTTTTATATTCATATAACATAACTAGTGTAAATATTATTTGAAAAGTATTCTTGTTAATAATTATTATTTTGTTTGTTTATAGTTAATGTTTTTATTATTATTATTATTATTATTATTATAAATTTAGTTGTAAACTTTGTTTGGTTATTCAATTGTATTTAGAAACTTATATATTTTTTATTGGTTTTATTATTCTCATAACTCATAAGGTTACAACTCGCACCCTATATTTATATGTTGTTGGTAAATTTTAATGATTTTTAATTTGCTTTACAATAATTACAGCTCTTAGACTTTCTATAGCAAATTAACAAAACGAGTACATGGAACAAACAATTGTTTATGTTAATTGTTAACTATGTTAATATTTACACTTAAAAGCTTGATTTTTACTGTTAAATTACTACTATTATTTTGTTATTTGATAACTCACTATTTAGGTACTTGTATCTGCTAATTATCGACTATTTAATGTTATAAACTGTACCATTCCATTTATAAGTGATTAAATTATACTAAGTACTCATATTATTAATTATAGAACTATATCTGTCACAAATTAGAATATAGTTGGTGTAATTAGACAGGATTACAAATTATAGTTATTTTGTTATAAAATGTTATGTTTTTTCAATAAACAGTTGACAATAAATATGGTCTTCAGATAACTGTCTCTATTTTAAATTTTCCCGTGCAGGACAATTTCGTGTAATTCGAATTCACGTGTAGAAGTTCGTGTAATTATAAATACACGTGTAGGACAAGTTCGTGTAGTAATAAATATATGTGTATTTAATATTACCCGTGTAAGTAGACCAGATCAATCTCGAAAAAATACAATGGTGGTCGAGACATATATTTAAGAGTTACTCTGTGTTATATACGATCATTTTACTCGAGATTCCACTAACTTGACCCAATGGCTATAATACGTTATCTTAGTGACAAGCATTAATTAAAGAATAGTATTACGTAAAATTACGGTTGTAAGAATACGTTTAGTTGCAAATACACGTGTATTCGAACTACACAAACTTGTTATACACGTGTATTTATAATTACACGAAATCATACACGTGTAATTGACATTTGGCAGCTCTAGTAAATATAAATTTGTTAGTGACCATTTAAGAGGGTTATCGCCCAAAGATTAAGAGACCCAGATTCAATACCACATATGGCAATGAAATTTTAATCAAGCTATACTGTTTTTCAATAATATTAGGAATAATGCATTTTTGGAGCCTATTTAGTTTGCACAAAAGTTGATAAATCAATATTTACAGTACAACCGAATGTTTAATAAATCGTTGACCACTTCATGAACGTTTGTGTAACACTGTATTAATGTTGAACATAACAATTATTGTATTAAAAACTCGTATGGTTTATCGAAGGGACTTCATAATTAATGGCCCAACACAAGGTCATTTATTAAGGAGCAAAATAGACGCTCGATTTGACAAGAAAATTTGTTTTAACATATTTTGATGTGTTGAATGTTGTTGCAGATGTTTGTCGATAACAAACTACTACCTATGGATAATTACAGAAACTCAAGACTTCTTCTGACTATATATAGTAATACCTATGGATTAAATTCTGACGGAGACCTAAATGTTATACCGTCTCTATCTTATGATGATCATGTAGATTTTCCTTGTAGTCATATTATCGGAGTATAATATGTACTTGTTTTTATTCATACAGTAGCTTCAATTTAGAAAATCATTTAGTTTTTACATGACAGATTTTTGCTTAAATATATTTTTTAGATTCTATACGTTAAAATAGTAAACGTATAGAATTAATGTATGAAGACACCGTTATTAGTAAAATCAACAATTGAAAAAGGATTCGATTATCGTGGCAGTTAAAATATTCCTTATGTAGTGCAATTTCGCAATTTCAATGAGACATTAAACTTCAAAAATCAAAATTGGTTATAATTCTTTTTGTATACGACAGATTTAGAACCACAATGGTAAAATTATGAACAAAAAAATCGAGTGGAAACATTGAAATAATTATGGCTGAAAAATGAAAAAATTGTAGTTTTGTGTCAACTGAAATTATGGCAGAAGTCGGTAAGTTACTTTTTTGGCAAATTTTCTGAACACGATAACCTAGTAAACGTCTAAAAGATAGATTTCAACATGTCTTTATATCCCAAACATTATAACAATAATTTCAAAATCGAACATAATTTTTCATCATAACGTCAGAGTTTAATAATTGTATTTAAAAATATAACACATTTTTAATGTAAGATAGAACCACCCTCGGCCTTTCCCCCCTCTGTTCCCTAGACGGATACCAAACTGAAATACATTTGTTCTACGGTATAATAGGTATATAGTGTACTATAAACCTTGATTTTACTGTATACTACGACTCGGGAGAGTAATAATAAAAAAAATGTTGGCAAGAAAATCGAAAATACCTTTTTTTTTTGTTAAAATGATATCTGATAACAAGGTCAAAATGTACATATTTACCTAGTCTATAATAAGCAGTGATTTAGGAAGTTTGAATCCCATATAGAACTTTTAGGTTTACATGTTTGACTGAAATTTGTTTTCAACTGAATTAATTGCTGAATTGATTTTTAACTAGTCTGTGGCTACAAAAAAAAAGTGAGTACAACTCATACGAGATAGTTAATTTTGAAATTTCCATAACGGAAACCGAATTCCTAAACCACTAAAATTTAAAAAAAATAACTCCTACTTGTAGCTTATCTTAGAAACACTAGATTAATTTAATATAATGAAAACTGCAATTATAATAGTACATAGTCACTAGTTGCATTTTGTATTATTTTCTACTTTACCGCCATATTTTTAAACAGTATTCTTGGAGGGATAGAATATGGAATGGATCTTTTTTATCATAAAAATGCCAATTGTTATCAGCAGACATCAATCATTCCATAAAAATTAATATTCCTCAGTTGTTACTCCACACTCGTCCGTGTTTAACGATTATCGGTCAACCGGCAAGTGGTCACTATTCACCAATCTAAAAAATACTATTGAAGTAGGACGTTCTGATCGCTGTGAGTACTTAATGTGATAATGAATCACACCACAGTTATAGTGCTACACTTAGCATGAATTAGTATGTTCGGAAGCCTGCCGACTGTTTCTACACTACAGAATACGTTTACACTCTAGTTCACTATTCATTTTTCATAAAACCGTGCATAGGGACCGATTAGTCATGGCTCTCGTGTTTTACATTGTCATTTAAAATATTTTTTGTACATAATATATTTTATGAATAAATAAACAAGTTCCTTTGCCCACCACTACCACTACGATGAGTTTTAAAACAGAAATTGAAACAGTTACTACGTAAGTAACGCATCCTAATTTAATTTACCTACATGTAATTATTATATATTGTGTTATGTGTTGTATATAATGTAATAACTATTAATTTTTTCGGTACTCTTATAAAGTTCTGACAAATACTCTTTATTTCTGTTTTTTTTTTTTAATTATATAATTTTATTTTTATTTTTAAAATATATCAAACGACTAAATGTAATAATTTCTATTCAATTAAGTTTAGTAACTTAATTTATCAATGATATATGAAAGTATTACGAATTTTGTTATAAGTGTAGCAGTAGGTATATTAAAAAGACAGCCACTGGATGGTGACTTGATGGATTTGAGGAAATTGTATGTATTTTATAACGACTAAAAGTGATAAAATAATAATAAGATTGTCTAAGATTTGAGTCCAAAACACTATGCTCAAAAATATAAAATAAGATCATTTTTTCGGGATGATAACATTTTTTGACAATCGGCTGTATGTCAATGTTAATTTTTAGAGAACAACTCAATTTTTTAAAAATATATAGCATGTCACCATTTTAGTTGATTAAACATTTTGTTTTATGTCAATCTTGTAAGTATTTTTTCTCAATATTGAATAGGAGGGGTGACATTTTTGTAGCTTATAGCTTCAGAAGGTCATTAAATAATATATATAAAATTTGGTTCAATGTTTAAAAAAACAAGTGTCGGTCTAGACATAAAAATAAATGTTGAAAAACTTTGTAAGCATAATACAGTCTAAATCAAAGGTAAAATTATATTTTTAAAAAAATAATATTTTAGTAGTTAATAGTATTAGTAGTTTACCATACAATATAAAATTTGATTTCTGTGTTTAATTTAAATGTTTAATTCATATGCGATGTATCAATAATTCATTAACTTTATCAGATTAACCGGAAAATAGTTAGACCTTTGATTCACTGATTACTTTTTTTTTTGTTCGGTAGTTTTTATCTTTGTTATGTTCGATAAATAAGTAATTAAGTTTATTTGTTACTGAAAATTACCTAAATATATACACTTCTTCAATTAGTAAATTATTTTCTGTATTATTTATTAAAAAATGTTAACGTAGTGCAATTGAGTACTATTTAGTTTTATTCGAGTATTCTATATGACAAATTAACACTTCATGATATAATTATAAATAGTCTTTAGTCTATAGAGCATACATCGTCATAACTTCTTAATGTTCATCTTTTAACAACTAATACATTCGTTAATCAATATGAGGTAAGGTTAGTTTTCAAAATCAGTTTTGTTAATTATTCTTTATTTATTCATTTTGTAACATAGTGAATTAAACATAATTCAAACTTTTGTATTAAATTGATACAAAATGTAATAAAAATTAATTGTAATTTGTACTAGAAAATATTATGTCATAATAATGAATATATCAGCAATATTTAAAGTCAATAGTGATATGCGAGTAATTTAAAACAAATATATTTTAATAGTTGAAAGAAAAATTATATGATGCTGTTAATTGTTTTTGTCTATAGAATTATGACCAATATTATTCTGTCTTTCTGTTAAGTTGGAAACTACATAGGTCATATCTATTATTCTTTTATGACCTATTTTATTTTTATTATGTCTAATTGGTCATTAATTGTAACAATAAGTGTTTACAAACTTATATTAATACTAATGACCAATTAAATATTTTAATTTAACTTTATTACATTACAAAATATCTATTAAAGGGATTAAACCAATAAATAGTACAAGTTAATTGTAATTAAATTATAAATTAATAAATAACTATAATATCAATATTCAATATTATTATATTGATAGTTACTCATGATGGAGAAAAAAGTGTTTAAAAAAAAAAAATGATTGTTGGCCCTTGGAAACTAAAAAAGGACTTAGACCCTTTTGCTGTGTAACCATTGATAATATAATATATTACTGTAGATTAATAATATTTTTTATTTTCATTTTTCAGTAAGCCATTGCCGTCTAGCCACAAATTTGCGTAAGTATACATGTAATTATTTATTTAATAAGGTAATATATATATGTATATATAAGCTATTATATTTTGAAAAATAGGTGCCTACTTTCCAAAAAAAAATAAGTTCTATAATATAGTGTGGATAATGATCTCATATAACGGATAAAAATCTTGTAATCTTTCTTTAAATGTAATTTTCTTTTTATGTAGAAAATACTTTCCTGAGTATTTTATTTTTGTTTTTTTAAACACTGAATGGTGGATCTAATAATAATTAACTTATTTTTGTATTACTTAGTTCCAAAAACATTTTTAAATCTATCTAAAGGGTTAGAACTCATTGTCAATTCAATATGACAAATTAATTTTAATATTAATTTAATGATTAATGTAGTTCATTTTTAAAAGTAGTTGTATTATATGTCAATTATTATATTGTAAAAATGAGTTGTGTATTTTTTAATATGACAGTATTTAACTATCAATGTCGTTCATTCAATTTAAAAATGAGCTTATCTTATCATGTATTTTTTTCATTTATTCTTAATTGGTACTAAAGATAAGTAATGCAGTGGATCTAAGCCTATATTATTAACTATAATCATTAAAGAAAACACAAGTTAATAATTGTATTGTACATACTGTGTTTATATATATATATATATATATATATATATATATAGTTATTATATAAATTAACTAAAAGAAATCATCACTCAACTTTTTAGAATCTTTTATCTCCTCTTAAACCATCACTTAAAACTACTTTTACATTTTCCATGAACACATTGGCTACCTTTATATTATTATTGTTAATTATATTCAACCTTTTACTGTACCTTTTTTCCATTTATATTTATTCAGTTACCTCTATTATTAAGCCTCTATCATCTCTTGGTACAAATAACATGTCCATATCACCTTAATCTAATACTCTCTTTGGCTTCACAAGTTTCTTCTTGTATATATGTTTTAATTTACTAACCACTTTTTTTTTTAGTTTATTACCCAAAATTATAAATGGAGGAATTGCTGGAATTATTGGAGTTACAGTCGTATTCCCATTAGATCTTGTAAAAACACGTTTACAAAATCAAAAACCTGGTATAGATGGATCCCTTATGTATAGATCAATGTAATAAACATATACAAAATTACGTAAATATATATGTATTGTCATTGTATAGCTATTTATGTTACTTTAAAGGTTCGATGCGTTTAGAAAAACATATGCGGCTGAAGGATATTTTGGAATGTATAGAGGGTCTGCTGTTAATATTTTATTAATTACCCCTGAAAAGGCAATTAAATTAGCCGCAAATGATCAAATTCGTCATTGGCTAAGTCGACCTGGGTATGTTGTGTTTGTATACTAATGTTAATAACTTTTAAGTAATCAAAAAGATATTATATATTAACTATCGTTTTGGTTAAGAAAGCCCTTAACGTTAGTTCGTGAGATGCTAGCTGGTGCTGGTGCTGGCCTTTTTCAAATAATAGTGACAACACCGATGGAACTCTTAAAAATACAAATGCAAGATGCAGGACGAGTTGCTGCCCAAGCTAAATTAGGTAACACTCAGGGCTAAACTAAATGTAATGCCGTCAGTTTTTTTGCTGTTGTTTTTTTTTTTGAAAAGATGTTGAGTACAACTTATCATAGTCTAACAACTTAAAACTATTTTAGAAGGGAAAACGGTGCCAACAATTTCAGCAACATCAATAGCACGAGAACTAGTAGCATCAAAAGGATTATTGGGCCTTTATCGAGGTGTAGGAGCAACTACTATGAGGGACGTTTCATTTTCTGTTATATATTTTCCTATGTTTGCCAGATTGAATGCTTTGGGACCGCGAAAAAATGATGGTTCAGGTAAATGTTGTTACATTAACAGATAATAGAATATTGTGTTAATGTACATTTTACAATTAGGAGACGCAGTTTTTTGGTGTTCCTTTGTATCCGGTTGTGTAGCTGGTTCAACTGCTGCTTTATTTGTTAACCCAATTGATGTTATTAAGACTCGGTTACAAGCTATTAAAAAATTTGAAACTGAAGTAGAATATAAAGGAGTTGCAGATTGTTTTATGTAAGTTCAAATTAAAATTTTAATTTATGTCTACATAATATAACAATATGTAACTATGTGGTAATTGAGTATGTATTTTTATTCTAGGAAAACATTACGTAGTGAAGGTCCTCTGGCATTCTTCAAAGGTGGAGCATGTCGTATGATAGTGATAGCGCCACTCTTTGGAATCGCACAAACTGTTTATTACTTAGGTGTAGCTGAAAAGATTTTAGGCTAGAAATACTAAAGCGACAATATTCTTATTCAAGCAATAAAATATCTATTTGCATTTAGTGTACTTGAGCTTTTACACAGTATTATTGTCAGTTCAGTTTTCAAACATATGTACATCTTTAGTCTACAAAAACCAATATCTTTAATTTTAGTATAATTAATTAATTTTTTAGCATATATTGGTGTTCAATAAGTTTAGAAAGTTCGTAAGTTTATATCATGCAGGGAAACATTCCAAACTTAATGAACACCAAATATGTACACCTTGCTAAGATTTGCACGTCAATTTGTATTAAATGATTTTACTAACAAACTAATAAAATGTCAGGGTTGATTGATTTGACTAATTTTATATAGTTTAAACAATGTTACGAGGTTTGATGTATAGTAATTTACAATATTATTGGAGACATTAATATTAAACATAATCAAAACAATCATTAATTCTTAATACTTAAGTATAGGTTTATTGTTTTTTTTAACTAACTGTGATTTTATGTAAACTACACCCTCCCTCTTTTACTTAAGTTTAATAGATTCAAATTACGTACAGTTGTACTTAAATTCTTTTATTTTTAGTATTTTTTTTAAACATTCCGTGTCAACACAAAACTTTTAAATTTAAAGTTATATGTTATATAATTTTATTATTACCATAATTATTTATTTATTGTAACCTACTAAATTACCACATTAGAATTATATTATTATATTTTAAAATAAAAATTGTATTTCTGACAACCATACCGCTTTTGTTTGTTTTGATTTAATGCGTTGGTGTTATCAAAGGTTAATGATCTGGAAAATAAATATATGAAGGGCACAGGGGAAGAAGGTTAGTAGTCCATTTTTTTCAATTTCTAGATAATGACACCAATCAATAGTAAAATGAGGCTACTATTAAATGTCGAAATCCATTTGGTGAAAGAAAGATTATAGTATAGCCAACTTAGCACTTTACAAAAACGGTTGTCATACAGTTTTGTACGTGCAAACTTTGTTTTTGCTCTCCTGAACTTTGAGAATTTAATACAGATGTTGCATAATTTTTTTTTTTAAGTTCAAACTTAGTGAAGCAGTCTAAGCTGTCAGAAAATAGTACTACATTTATATTAATATAAGTTGTAGCATAGATTAAATATACTATACAGTATACTATATCGCTATAGTAATATTAAGTATCTTAATCTATGGTTGTAGTTAAAACAAATAACCATACATTGATATATATATATATATATATATATCAGTGCAAATAACGTACATTTTGGCTTAGTAACGTTGTTAGCTTCAACATACGTTGAAGTATGGATAGTGGATAAGTAGCACGATAAAAGAAATTTGCCAACCATTTTTCGCATTGGTTTAGTTGATCAACCAAAGTTGAATGAAATTTATAGTGCGAACCTTTGTTCGCAAAACTGATCTACTTTTTGGTGGATTAAGACAAGATTGACTCAGTCAAACTTTATCGTTCAAGTGTAACATTTGTTTTCAAGTTTGATACCATTTTTAATGAATTAAATTGAAGTTGTTTTTTGAAATTTCTATTGAAACGTGTGAACAAAATCTGATTCAACTGTTCGTCATGTTTAACTTTTGATGATCGACTATAATGATTAATGAATAATGATAATTGGTAATCGCCAATCGGTCAATTAATCTTGATTCGTGAGAACGCACCTTTAGTATAAACCACTACTTATCTTTTTATGTTACTATACTATACAATATTTTTATACAGTTTAGCCAACAAGTGAACTAAAAATAGATTAAAATCTTTACAATATTTTTTAAAAATTTTAAAATGTAAAACAAAATGCAATCATAAAAAACTTTACTAATTTGTATGTGATAAATTATATATTCTTAACAAAAATGTGCATTAATTTGATTAGTAGTATTTATTTAACTATACTGTATTTAAAAATATTTTGGCGGCAGTGTAACACGACCTTAGATATAATATTATGTCAACGCTAGTCAATTTCACCGTTGACTGTTGACAATTGACACAATAAACAGGTTAGTTGTTTATTAATTATTTACTTAACGGTTTACCAACTACAAAAACTACTTACTACTTTTTATAGTTATTAGTTACTACTTACTGACCAATAAGTAGTAATGGGAATAGTAATAAATTAATAAACAGTAAACGGTATTATGATGTAGTTTGTAGGTATTCCGTATTTTTGTCATTCAAGTTCAACTTTTGTTTACGTTTTGGCTGGCACGTTTTTTGTATTTTTATTTATCAAATAAATAAAATCATGAATTTGTACAACAATTTTTTCTACTACACGGATCAACTAGACGAGGAGTATGTTCTGGGCGATGTTTACGCCGGCTTTAGCAGTGCTAAAAATGCCGAGGAAAGGTTTGCATACACGCTGGATGTCATGAAACGATATGGAATATTACCCTCGAAGTTGGATTCCTGCGAAGATTACCGAAAAGATCATAGGTTTTCACAGGGCATTCGTCAGATGGGCAATGAACATTATAAGGCGAAAAATTATTCATTAGCTATTACCTATTATACAAAGAGTTTGATTGAATCTGGCTCAAGCAAAGAATGTTATACCTATGCACTTGCTAACCGATCCGCTGCACTCTTTTATCTTAAAGAATATCATTTATGTCTAATAGATATACATCGAGCTATACAGTCTGGTTATCCGACTGAGTTGGTTTATAAATTATACAAAAGAGCTGGCAACTGTGAAAGCTTGTTAGGCCATGGTGAAATGGCTAAATGTAGTTATAATAAATGTGTGATCTATTTAGCAAACTCAACTTTGTCAGAGGATCAGAAGAGTAAATTAGAAAAAGATATTATAGTAGCCATCGAGAAATGTAATGGATTGATACAACAAAAGGTGATAAATAAAAACAGAAACGATGAACAATTGCTTGGTGGAAAACATAAAAACATTCCTGCATTGTCACAATGTGTAGAGTTAAAAAGTTCAAAAGATATGGGTAGAGGCGTATATGCAACTTGTGACATTAACCCAGGTAACTTTAATAACTTATTTTGTCTATGCGTTAAAGTTTATGATAGTATTATTTGTCTGTATCCTATACCTGTGTACTATCTCCAGATATGTTATTGTAAGTCTTAGCAAAATACATAGTAATTGTACCCTGCTGTAACAAAACTTTAAATTAAAAAATTAATGTTTGTCATTCAACTAATCTTTTTTATTTTATTTTAAGGTGACGTTGTAGCCATTGATGAACCATATTTAAATGGGTTTTCTTCAACATCTGTTTCTAGCTGTTATTATAGCAATTGCATGAAAACGTGTCTTGCTGTCATACCATGTTGCAAATGTTCATTTGTGAGTAATATCTTTTATGTTCTAAAAGAGGACAATATAAGTCAATATTTGTTTGGTCTGTCCCTCTTCATGTGATAGTCTGGTGCCGAACTTTATAAATAAGTAGTATATATATATGTACAGTTTATATACAGAAGTACTTCTACTGTAGTTATTCAATGTTTGACAGGCATAAAAATTAGGAAAAAATAGGTTTCCAACCTATACCACAGCTGGTAACTGACCTGATAATATGTTCTCTTTTAGAACAAAGTAAAAAACACAATTCACTGCTATTTTTTCGTGTAATAATAACTATTAGAATGTAAAGGTTATTAAAAAAAAAAACTATTACAATTGATTTTATAATGCTATGATTTGCCATCCTACTATTCAAAATGGCATTGACTAGAATGCATTCAAGTGGTGTAAATGTAGGAAACTGGTGTACCATGATTCTTATATTTGCCTGCCTAGAATGCACATTAACCATTGTCACTTTTTAAAGGTTGGCTTATTTGTTTAAATACAATCACCTTTTACAATCTGTTTAATTTTTAGGCGGTATATTGTGATGATTCATGCATGCAAAAGGGATTTAACGAAGGTCATTCTTTCGAGTGTCAGATTTTGCGTAAAGTTGTCAGTATACCAGGAATACCAAAAATAAATCGCTTTGCTTTAAAATGGTTTTTAAAGGAATATACAAAATTAGGCATAGATCAGTATTGCTTAACAGTACATTCTTTTTTTACTACTTCAATTGATCTATTAGTCAGAGGTTTCGATAGTAATGGCTTCTTTCTTTCAAAAAACTTCTGTGCTGCATTTTCAATGGAGACAAATGAGGACAAAATGTCAATGGATGTCAAACTATTTTTTAATTGTATAGCTGTAGAAATATTAAATTATTTAATTTTAAATGGCTTTCAAATTCACGACCATCAAAAAGCTATTGTTGGTGCATCTTTAGTTCATATGCTTAGTATTTTAGATTTAAACTGTCTGAAATCAAGTGCATGTTCATATTCTATACCCACGCTTATTGAGGATGATTGTAGGCCTTTTTTGGCTTCTACAATGTACCCGAGTTTGAGTCTATTTAATCATTCTTGTGATAATAATGTATCCCATAGTGGAACATTACAAAGTACACGTAGAGTTTTTCGAGCTTTACAGCCAATACCAAAAGGAAAACAGGTATTTTATAATGTAAATTTTATTATGATTTAGATTAATTAAAAATGCTTTTAATTACTTTATGAAACGTATAACTTCACAGCTTTTTGTTTCTTATGGAGTTCACTTTTCTCTACATAAAAAAGATGATAGAAGAGCATTTTTTAATGATGAGTGTAGATTTAATTGTTGTTGTCAGCCTTGCAAGGAAAATTGGCCAATTGAACGGTTCATACCAAAACGACTTTCTTCCTTGTATGTGAATTTCAATATTCATTATTTTGATAAATTATAAACTAAAGTAACCCGTAATTATTTTCAGGAACCTTCTGAACTTTAATTTGGCCAGTACTTTAACGACAGAATGTGCTAAGTATGAAGAATTTAGTGCATCAGTCAGAGCTAAAGATGTTGTACCGCATTTAAATTATCTGTACAATTTCTTAAAACTGATACATGTTAATGTCAAAAGACCATTTTCGCTCTACGAACATTGCGTTGCATTGATATTGCATGTGTATACATGTCCGGAAATGAAGTATTGATTATTAATCACTGACAAAAAATCAATAATATATTAATTGTTATGATGTAAAAAGTTGATTTTTTTTTCTTGTTAAGATTTATTGTTAATTCAAAGGAAAGAAATTTGTCCGTTTATATAAGGTATAAAATATTTTCCATTTATAAAGAATAATAATATTACAATCTAGCTTAATCATGTTTTCACAAAAACTAAGAAAATGTTTACATTAAGTATTGACAAATGCGCATCTATATTTTTATAATTATGAGTTGTTTTTATTTTTTTTATAAGTTTCGAATAGAAATATTTGAACTTTGTATTATTATAAAAATAAGATTTAAGTTTCATATGTTATATATATATATTACAAAATCCATGTTTGAACAGAAATGATGAAATTTTATTGATATTTACCTTTGTCGTTGCAACTAAAACTTTTTGGTAATTCACAAAACTTTAATTTTTATTTTCAAAATAAAAGAATTAAAGGTATAAATGTTAATCAAATCTTTATAATCGCATTCAACATACATTTAAAAAAATATATATGCCCATAGATTGGCTATATGTAGGTATCGTGACGGACATAAAACTCATCAATGTGCAGTGTTCTACTATCGCATAGAAAAAGTTACAGTTTTAATTTTATAAACAATTATTTATAAAAAGTATAACTATTATCACAGTGATCACTTTATTTTGTTATAATTATAACACCTCTGACTTAAGGACTCGTATAATTGTCTCAAATTTTATTTAAAAAAATATTTTGCCTAGAACCTTTTAATCAGTTAATCTTCGATTCTGACAGTTCATTTTTATCTTTTATAACCCATTTTGTAATTCTAGTCTTATACACCATCAAGATTACAAGAAGATATTAAAGGCATAATACGAGAAATTTAATAATAAAATACAATTAAAAATGATGTACGTAACAATACCAATAAAATGTGTATATTAATGATTAAAAACAACAATTTACAACTGTATAACACTATTCTACAACAAAGAAAAATTAGAAATAAACTCAATTTAAAACATAAAACTAGGTAATTGAATAAATAAATGGATATAGAAGGGAGGTCTACATAATGCTTATGGGGTAGTTATAATCTATTTTAATGAATAATTATGAATATGGAATGCGAAAAACTGTAATATTTAAACGGTTTTTTTTTCGAAAATTTATTGTCTGGAAATGTTATGTTTATTCTGCGAATTTACGATTTGGGTTACGACCAAACAATGCGGTTCTAACAGCTGGAACCAACTGCTGAGCAATCAACTCCAATCGGGATTCCAAAGTATTACAAATTTTTATTTTATTTTTTTGAGCCAAAAGCTCAATACCACCACATGTAATTGCTGGCAAATAATTTTCTGTATCCAGATTTAAAATAACATCTTTTTGAGATGCTGCTTTGTAGTTGGCTGCCACTTCATCCAATAAGTCTTCAATTACATTGACGTCAGCTTCACGAATACGCAATGTTACATTCTTTTCAAGCAACTAAAGAAAACAAATTTAAAGTGAAAAATAATTAATTACTAATATAATTAATATAGGTTGATAATGAACCACCTAAGCTAAAATATTTGCTATTTCCATGAACAAATAAATAGGTAATATCACAATTTGGTGATTACCATACTGCATAACCATACTGTTCATCTCAAACTAATACAATGGACATGATGTACAAGCTGAACTAAATAAGGATATTTTGATTTACATTTTAATATTATAACGAAATTGAGCATCAAACCAATAAACAAGCATTGCTTATTTCTAATATTTTCAATCTATAGCTATATTTTTATTGTAAGTTATTAAAGAAAAATCTTTTGTTACATTTGGAGTTATCATGGCTGTAAGATTAAATAATTTTTATTCCAGTAATATTAATTGATGATCTTTAATCAAATCAATGACATTTAATTGATACAGTTAAAAGAATTACGACAAAAATGAGTATTTTAATCATCATCATAATGTAGTTTAACAAGCCTTGAAGGCCCAACACAGACATTAGATGATTTCTTGAGGAATTTTTTATCAGAGACCGGTTGTCACTTCTCTTTACAGGAGAGGAGGCTTCTTTCTATCTGACAATTACAGAAAAAGGAGCACCTGTGACCGAATGTCAAGCCAGCATATAAAAAATATGTTTTAATGCTACATACATTATTTACATGGATATTATTGTAAATCAATTAGTTTTAATTAGCTTAAAATTTACATGATATAAGAGTATCCAACCTGTAAAATAGCTTGCAAAATAAGCTTTTTAAGCACATCTCTATACAATTGAGAATCATTAGTCACTTCCACTAAACGCTTTCTTGCATCATCTAATACTTCTCTAACGTGATCTTCTCGAACTTTTAAAGTTTTCAAACGTGCTTGATTCAACATATTAGAAGACTGGCTGTAAATGGCAAAACAAATTAATTAGGTATAAAATGTTTTAAAGCATATCATTATGAAATGATAATTAATAGACATTATACTTTTCAAAATAATGAGTTTTGAAGTAAAAAAAAAATTGATCCGCCCAAATTTGACCTTGATAACTTTTTTTTATTAGATTTTAATTTCTAACATTTGTACTTTCAATCAAGCATAAGTTTGACCTGAAGTGGCATGCAATTTATTTTGCAGTGTGTATTAAGTAAAAATACTATTTTTGGGAATAAATCTGAAAATCTTATACATTGTATAAACATGGTCAAATGTTGAATGATGAAAGGTAACTAATTAATTTTATTTAAATGAAGAATTTTGAAAAATAATTTTATATAATTAAATTATTATTACATGTATTAGAGTACAGGTATAATAAAAAATTTTAAAATTAAAAGCTAATTATGAAGTAGGTATAGTATTTTTGGCCAAATGAATTTAGTCAGTTTAGATAAAAATAAATATTTTTTTTCTACTTGTTAAGAAATACAAAACCATTAGGACAATAATGAATTATAGTTATCATATATCTTACATTTTTTTTTGTAATTCAACTTGTTTTTCTTTGCGTTCGAAGTATTCCATGATCTTAAGACGCTGATGTTGAACCAATCGGCCTTTTTCAATGTTGAACTCCTCCTCGGCTTTAGCATCGATTTCTTCAGCCTTTTCATTGGCTTCTTGTTCGATGAAAGCCATCATGTGTTTGATCTAAGTAAAATAATACAAATTAGTTGATCCATAGACTGGTATCGGGCAAACAGCCAACCAGTATACAAAGTGTAAGCACAGACATTTAACTTACTTGTTTTTGAACATCAGCATCACTGAGAGCCATTTTTAATTAGTATTTGTTACAAAATACAAGTTATAAAATGTAAAATAAAATAAAATTTCAACAACAAATTGTTAAATCTCCACCTGAAGCGTAACCGACGGTATTAAGAAGAGACTATTTAGTAGAACAACCAACGCCCAATGGTTAAATGTAAAATGTTGTGTAAAAGTTGGATGGGTTTAACCGTAGAAGAAGATGTTGGTCCGTTATCAGTACGTTATCAGCGAGGTCGGTGGAAAAATTGCAAATTCTCCAAAAAGCTTTGGCTAAAAAAATATTTTTATGGAAAAATGATTTTGTCTGTATGAATTGCAATCAAAAAGTGGACAACAATAATTTTTCGGGACGTTTTTTGCAAAAAACCTGTTAACGTGTTTTTTCTTCCATTGCTATCAGCAGCGCTTTGTTTGCCCAATGTTATTGAGTTTGTTTTATTTTCTCGCAGATTCGCAAAAGTCCCGAGTTGCTTCTATAATTCGTACGCACAACACCGTGTGTGCGCTCGACAATAATATTAGTGTGAAACAGGAAGAAAAAAAAGGCGCAATTATTATTTTTTTTCAACCGTTAATTATTTTTGCCCCGAGGAACAAACGCCGTTCATCAACACGATTTTCCGTCGTCGTCGCGTTTGTCGCGATCACTTCTGATTTGACTTGGGGCACGTAAATAGTATCGTCCACGAACAACAATAACACAACGCACCGATCGCCGTGGTCGCATTTAATCGTTCCCATCGTTGCCATACGGTTACCGCCGTACTGCAATAATAATAATAATATTTTAGTGCTACCCTCATACAACGATCAACATGTTGGTCGCCGGTGAACGTTGAGCAGTCGTCGATCATCGCACCACCTCACCACCACCACCGCAAAGGGTCCCAAAGGTAAGTGGTATCGAGATCAACATTTGATTCTAATTGAAAATAAGTTATATGTAGCTCGTCCTACGTAATAATGTCGTGCTTTGGTGCATGAGATCAATTTTTTTACTTTTCGCAAATTAATACGAAAAATTTCAATGGGAATCCAATCAATCGGTGAAAGTAATACCTAGTACTTGTATATGTTTATTATTACCGATTGTTAGTCGTTCGCATGAGAACTCTTCGACTGTAACCGGGGATAAAGTCTTAATTTTTTTTAATTGTTTTTTGAACAATTATATTATATAATATAATATGCAACGAGCCTGTAGATTGTAGACAACTGTTGAATAATGATTTTTTTTATTGTTCATCATTAAAGATTTAGTAGAGTTTGTTTGCTTTCATAATACAGGCTATTTTTCATTATGTCTTGACTAATCTTTTATTACTGTAACTAGTATATTCATACAATTGTAATTTTTGTTTTCAATTATACCTATAGTGTATTATTGATCTTTAGGTGTTGGATGAAAATACATAATGTTTTTTTCTCTTATCTCTATTTATAGATACCGCTTAAACATATTATATGTTATCTCTTTTCAAAATGATAATTACTTAATATTAATACGTAGAAATGATGTACTAAAATAGACAATTGATAGCTAATGTTATGGTACTATGCCGCAGTCTAGTATCAACGGCTTTTTTGGTATCTTACCTAAACATTTGTCTGATTAGTTTTATAGATTCACTTATTAATTGTTTGCTCTTGTATGTAATATGTACATTGGTAGGTACCTTAAATTTTAATTTGTTAATAAAAGAAAACTATTCAATTTCTAACATCTACATTATAGTTTTGAGTTTTAGTTGTGATAGTTTTTACAAATGATGCTTTTGAGCTGTCTTGGCAGCTCTTTGTATTTGTATTGTTACTTTTTTATTCTGTTAGTAGTTAGTATCCAAGAAATATGAACTACTTATATTATTTCACGATGAACACATTTTATCAGTACCTAAAATATATAAATTTTACATAGATTAAAATTAAACTCATATATTTACTTTCAAATTTTTTTTTTGAAAAATTTAATATTTTTAGTTAATACTTAGTTGTTTATACTTAAAAGTATTCTGTCAAAAAACAAATATTTTTAACCTTTTCCAGAAAGGCTGTGTCTTTGTTCTCTTTGAGATACAAACTAGGGAATTAAAATTTAAAAAATTAACTTTAGCTAGGAGTGACAAGTGTTAGAGCAATGAAAAAAATATATATATATATATATTTATTTGACTTGAAGACTCCAAAATATTCGATTATGAAACCTGTTTATTAAAGTTAGGTATAGTAGTTTAGTTAAATATACAAACTACTAAAATAATATTTAAGTACTCTCATCTTAATATTATAGGTAAAAGTTTAAGGTTAAGCTGTGTAAGCATTTAGTAATTTTTATTATTTATCTAAAACAACAGATTGTAAGAGTAGCATACTCTATGACTTCAAAGAGAGGCCCAACAAGGTTATACCTTTTAATTAAGTGCTCATTTCTGAAAATTTTAAATTGGCTGCATTTTCTGACGTTTACATACTAATATTATGCAACAGATTATCTATTAATTTTTTTTTATTATTTGAAGGCATCTTTTGTTATTGATTTTTTATTTTAATGGAAATAATAGGATAACACTATAAATAAGTCATGCGTAGATGTTCTATGCTGAGCACTTTTTTTGGCAATCCTATTTTAGATACAGTCTTATCTCAACCATTTACCTGTTAACTTGTTGATGGCACTTCCTCTATGCCATAGCAATCCAACATACTATGATGGGAGAGTGGCTGGCAAAAAAAGGATTTCCGTGCAAGAAAAAACAACCTAATGTAATTTTAATGGTTACATTTTACTTATTATTACTATCTAATTGTTGAGCCAAATATATTTTTATTAATAAAGGCTATTAAAAAAAAAAAAAAATTTAATGGTTGAAAATTCCATATAAAATTTTTACTTTAACTCCAAATCTCCTTCTGGATGTTCATTTCCATATCCTCTCTATTGGCCATCTATTAGTTGTTAGGTCAATGATCTTAACCTTACATTCTTTGTATTCATTCTGTTACAGTACTAGCAGTTGCTATGCTTCATTTGGCTTTGGACTATCTATGTATAATTAATCTAAGATATTACAATGAGACACAGTAGGTCTATCCCAATATAAAATTTGTGTAAACATTACTTAAATTTGTATGGTTCTAGAATAATGATGTAAATATCAAAATTAGAAAAAAATTTACAATTTCTAGATAAAAAATTTCTGTAGTTTATCTTGTAATTTGTTGTGGCTTATAAATATTTATAGAATGTTACAATAACAAATTAACTACTACTTTTAACTATAAACAACTTTAAACCAATCAGAAGAATTCCCAAGTACAAAGTAATAATTTTTTTTCTCTGTAAAATTCTCTGCACCTACTAGACTTAAAAAAATATAAAATTTCTGAGCTGGCCTACAATTTTTAACACGTTGACTACCAACCTATGCGATAACTCTTAATTTTAATGATACTTATAACGGTAGTTTAAAATGGTGATAGTCAACGTATAAAAAAGTCAAGTAATGTTTAGGCATTATATTTAGTAGATTTCAGATGTATGCAAAATTGTTATAATTTTGATATTTTATCAGTTATATTTTGTATACTTTGTAGAATTGACTTGATAATTATTAAATTTCTAAATTTGTTTAATAACATTTTACATTGCTCAAATTTATATTAAAAAATGATGTTATCTTGTATGTGCACTTGACTGTAGGCATAAATTTGCTCTGTAAATTTATTGCAGATAATAAAAAGAAAAATTGATGTAAAAATGTAAATATTTATACAAATGTGCTTATGGTATTACAACTAGTTGGATTTAAAAAATTAATTATCATTTTAGAAACTACTTTTAATAGTCATACAATTCTTAAAATAAATACATACATTGAAAGTTTAAACCACTTTGAATATCCTGCACACGATTATTTTTACTTATTCAAAATAATTTGTCATTGATAAAATATGTTGTTTATTGAGCAATATTTGTGTATTGAGTATGTTTTTACAAGTTTTTTGCATGTTAAATAAACAATAATTGGATACGTGTTATAAACAAGGAAATGACATTGTCATGTGTGTTATATTACAAATGTACAAATTATTTAGACATTTTAACATAATACTGTGACCACAATTAAACATTTTTGAAAACTGTGGTTTTTAATTAAAGAAGCCTTAATGTCGAGAAGTATAAATGTATAGGAAAAATATAAACTATATCCTAGAATTCACACCGTCGCAATTAAATGGTGATGATGCCTATGTTTTAGTCTAGATATTTCTGTTAAAAATGCAATTTTATTTTATTTTTAACCACTTGACAGTTTTATATGATACATTATATATGTATAGTTTTAGGAAACCGAGAGGTAATATTTAAATCCATCTAATAAAATGGGAATTTATGCTATTGTATCGTTGTTGGATACTAAAGTCATGTTTATTATACCAGCATATAACTCATAACTATCTGTAGAGGTAGCTATGATGTTAGTTCTAAGGTTCTGACATAACTAATTAATACCTTTAATTTACCATAAGTGAAGGAAATTTGATTACATCAATATAAAATAAATTATTAATCATTTTCTATATATTACAATTGTATTCGGTACACAGTGTACAAATATTTATTAAAAAATTATTTATTTAGCAGGCTGAATAAAAAACGTGTGCTTAGGCACATTAGAAAGTTAACGACAGGCGCAACAGTGGCTACCGCGGCAGCGAGCAAATGTTTACACCACAACACCAACAACTGTCGCCTAATCGGGCGTCAATTAATATGCAGTCGCCACAGGCTAATAACTTGTCGAGGGGTATCTTTCAAAGAGGTGGATTCGCCACCAATCCAGGAGCAGATAGGCGAGGACATATGCCTGGCATTGCATCGCTTATGCAAGAATGGTCTGTTCTCCATTTAGAAAACTTTTAAAATATCTTTGGTCAAGTTTTCTATCAATTGTAGGAGTTCTACATCACTGGCGAATAATGCAATGAATAATTATGGTGGGTCAAGTTCTAACAACAGCCGATCCACGTCTGGTTATAATCTGTCATCTCAGCACGGTTTTCATTCGGCATTTGGTAGTAATCATGTTGATAATGGTAATTCGGCACCCGCAATACTGGACCCATCTGAATTCCCTTCTCTCACCACTGGGCGAATATCTAGCAGTGGACAAGGCGATGGTGTCCTACATTCCAACTCAATGCCTGCAGGAAAACCTTATGGTAAACATTCACCATTCAAATCATTTGATCAGCTGTTCAGTAGTGAGTTAAAATCATTAAGTTTGTGTGGTATTTATAATGGTAAAATTATATTCAGGGATATCCTACCTGATATTATTGAAACGTTTTGTTTTAAATTGTGTTATTTTCTTAATGTAGTGGGTATGGTTAAAGCACCGACGTCTGAAACTAGTGAATTTACTATGAGTAGTAAAGATTTTCCGGCGTTACCAGGTACGCAACCTCTCAGCGTAACAACCACCTCATCTTCTTCGACCACAGATCCCAATCAACAGTCCTCTACAATAACTACTGGCTCAACGACCAATTTATTGGATCAGAATGGTATGCAATCATCCACCGACCATCTATCAGATCAGAGACTGAACAACTTGAACAGCCAAATGGACAACAATTCCCAAGAAAATGGAGATTCAGCTACCAAGAAAGGGGTGCAAACTTCACCTGATGGTTTGTGGTCATACTTATATATAACTAAAGAGTAATTATAAATCCCTATTACAATGTCGTGTAAACATTTCTTTGTTATTTAGGTAAAGTGACTAACATACCAGGTAGTATGGTAAGAGATCAATTTGGTATTGTTGGTTTATTAACATTTATTAGAGCTGCTGAATCTGATCCCAATCTGGTATCATTGGCTCTTGGACAAGATCTAACAGCACTTGGACTGAACTTGAACTCACCAGAAAATATTTACCCAACATTTGCTGGACCTTGGGCAGATTCTCCATGTCGACCTCAGGATGTCGAGTTCCATGGACCACCTGAATATATTATTAACCATGGAATAAGGTTAGTATTAAATTAAAATATAACATAATTAAAGTAATGATATCAATATTGGGTTTTTATTTCAGGGATAAGTTAGCCCAAATTAAGTTGTCGAGGTATAAAGAAGATTTGTTATTCTACTTATTTTACACAAATTTTGGTGATGCTATACAATTAGCCGCAGCTAATGAATTGTAATTACCTGATTACTAAAACATTTTTATTTAATAAGCTTTACATTATGTAATATAAATTATTACCTTAGATATTCTCGAGACTGGCGTTACCACATGGAAGAACGAGTATGGATCACTCAAGCACCTGGATTAAGTTTAATTGAAAAAACCAGTACATACGAACGGGGCACGTACTATGTATTTGACGCACTCACATGGCGCAAAGTTCCCAAGGAGTTTCTGTTAGAGTACAGCAAGCTGGAGGGTCGACCGACTGTGCCTAATGTGCCACTGACTACACCCAATCCGCTCTGACATAACGAGCACCGTCGGGGCGTAGATGCACTGCCAACAGCGACCGACCCTGATGTACACCAGCCCGCGACGGTCGTACTCGGCGCAGCCATCGTCAACTCCTAAACCCCTCCTTAAACTTTCCCATTTCCCTTTTATATAAAATCCCTTCAGAACAATACCCTCACCCACCCTTTAAACCCCAATCACTCCTAAGAAACATACAAGTATTTATATGTAATCGAATAGATTCCCTATTGTTTCTAAGGCGGAATACTCACACCGTAATAATTTAACATTTATTATAAATAAACAGAGTTATTTATAGTCATTTTATAAAAGAAACTTACGTACAATTTTGTAAAGACAAAATAAGAAAAGAAAAAAAAATCATTCTTCATTTATTAAGATAATGTTATTTGTTTTTAAGTTGATAAATAAATTTTGAAACAATATATTTTTTAATATTTATTATTTAAAAAATCTCTTCTTCCTTATCTACATAATTAAATAAAACTTCATTGTTTTTACGCATATAAGGAGTAAACATTGCATACAACTATATAATTGATCTCAATCATTATAAGAAATTGTTTATATTAATTAGGTAAAAAGTTCAGGTAAATATTTTCTAATAATACCATCCCTACAGGCAGTGTATAAAAACCGACCATCTGTATTCACATCATAAATTGAATCGGAATTAGTGCCAGTGAAATAAGTTTTTTTTCCACTATTTGATCGCGCTACACAAGATCCATCAGCATGTCCAGATACAATTCGATCTTTAAATATGCACATACATTTGACAGGAGAAGTGGTATCATTTACTGTGTATAAAGTGACCAAGTTGTCATCTAGCAAGAGTACACGACCATCATTACACCCAGCAAACAAACGACTGTCGTCATTTATAAGACAAGCATTAACTGCAACGTCTAACTTGGAACTAACTATAATTTCACGTGAATATATTCCAATCATTGATAATATTCCATTTTCGCAACCTATAAACAATACTTTGTCATCTGTCCCAACTTCTGTTTCGGCTGAAATGATAAAACATTATCAGTCAAGAAATTATCTAAAACAATCGCACAGAAATTATTAAGAATTATTAACAAAAAAAAAAATTATTCTTACTAGTTGGTATTTTGCGTTCGCCTAGATTTCTGTGTTTTAGTTTGTTTAATGAACAACAATTTATTGATGTATCAAGTTTAATGAGATTATCTAACACTTTTCCACTAGCTACATGCCACAACTTTGCAGTCCCATCCCTGTCAAAAATAGTTTAAGCCAATAACAATAAATGGTACATAAATATTTAATTGAACACTTACTTTGACACAGAAATTATATTTCGTCCCCTTTCCACAATAGCTAAATCTGTTACAGTACTGGTGTGCCCTTGGAGAGTCATGGCACATTCACCAGTATGTGCACTCCAAATTTTAATTCTGAGGTCGGCTCCACAACTTAGAACAACCTCTACACTTGGAAACCAGCGACAACAGTAAATGTCACCATAATGACCGGTCATTTTTATCTTGATAAAACAAATCAAAAATACGTATTACATAACTAACAGAAGTTATAACTTGAAATATGGGAGAAAAGTGAAGTAGAAAGTAGTAAAACAAGTTTGAGATTTAAGTAGAATAAATTAAAGGTAATACAAGGAAACTCGTGGGTGGCTACCATAAATAAAGACACAAAGTGAATACAAAAATAGTGAAGAATAGAGAGGTTTGTAGAGAAAGCAATATTGGCTGACCAACCCTATTCATATGGTATAAGATAATAAAGAAAAAGACTTTTATAATTTTATCAACTATTATGCTTTAAACAATAAGATTTTTGATTGAATTATATTACTTCTTTTTCCTCTAGGTCTAAACTACTCCAAACTTTCAAAATACTATCTGACGCAGACACACATTGGCCATTGACAACATCTAATGACGTCACCTAAAAAGAGCCAATTTTAATTTTGTTACTATTACATATAATTTTATTGTATAGTACACTCACACTTTTTTTGTGTATTCTGTTAAAAACTCTATAAGGCGATAGAAGAGTAACGAGACCACAAGACGGATGTTTTACTTGAATAGCAAGAGCAGTAACAGATTCTACTTCAAAACTATTGGATCCTTGAAGAACAGGCATCCCATTTAGCTTAAAAGATGAACATTCTATGTGACCATATATACTTGCCATATCTAAAATAATATATGAAATAGATAAGGGTGTTACATTTCTTATATGATACTAATTTGAACTATAAAAATGTACATAGAAACTATTATACTTGTAAACTGTACCTTTTGGTTTAATAGATATCCAAGCTTTTCCACCAACTGATCTAAAGTAAAAATAAGTAGGTATTGTTTCAATACATGGTTGGAAAAATATATTATGGTAAAACTTAAATTATAATACCGAACACTTTCTTCCCAGTCATGCTGTATGAATACGAAATACTGATCCATGTTGGTCCTTTTTAATGTTAAACAATTGATTCCTAAAAAGAAAAAAATACATAGAGTATGTATTAAAACAACATTTTAATAACCTTATTTGAATTACAATACATATTATGAACAAGTTAAGCCTTAATAAAAAACTATAATATAAATATTAGTAACTTATATTAATCATACATATTTCATAAATGTCTTGCTATTGAATGTCAACTTTAAATATACTTTATTTTCGAAATTCTATAATTCACATTTGGTTTAATGCAAAAATTGATTTAGATGGAATCAGTGTTAATAGTATTTTTTTAATAGTATTTTCGGCCACCAAACAATCTTAATTTCGTTTTTCGTGTAAAAAAATCTCAGCTTTCTGAAAAAATATTGAATTTTTTAGAAAGGCATTCCCATGGATTTCATATTCTAAAAAAATGGTTGTTTCGTGTTGTCTCAACATTAATAAATTTCTACTATTTTTCAACAAGCTGGGAACATTTTACAAAAAATGTGTAAATTTCAAATTATGTTCACCAACCCCACTGGTTTAAAATTTAAATTAAATAAAATATATTTTCTATGAGGTTTTTTTTTTAATAAGCTATTAAACTACATAGAGGAATTGTTATGAAACAAAAACAAATTAATAAGTTCAAAGGAAGATTAATTTAGTTTTTTAACTCTTGTTATTCATTAAGTAACTAGAATTATTGATATTTGAAAACCACAATAAAAGTTGTTAAGCCTTCATTCTACATGATATCAATAACATAGTGTAGATATGTCAAAGTGCTCATCTTATGTATAGTAATAAATCCTAAACATAATTTCCTATAACATTGTGTAAACTATTAAACGTCCGAGTTTCATAGTTTTAATTGTAAATAACAATATAGCTAAAACTTCTACGATAAAAATATACATAACAAATTTTCAAACATGGTAATTCTGTAATTTTTTTTTAAAATGTACATTCTTACTCTACTTAACTATTTATATGTAATATTTAAATAAAGTTTAATAATTATAGTTATACAATATTATACTTAATCCAATAATAATAATAATTTTTTTTTAGCTGAATTGAAAGTTACATATTGTAATTTTAGGTATATTAACATTACACTGCATCATCTATCACTTGGATAAAATACTTGTTATAATATTCAAGTCTCTAAAGAAAAAAAAATTACAAAAATTCGATCGAAAAATTGAAAAAACATAATTTACTAAATATAATAAGTGTCGTTTTTAATATATTAATAAACATACATAACACAACACAACTTTAAACTAGGCACTTATAATAATTCACAGCTGTAAATTATAAAAAACTAAAGCATATCAAGTAACTGTATTTTACCTATGTAAATACAACAGAACAATAATTTTAATTAACGGATAACGTTAAACTAAAAACATATAAACCCATATTGTACATACTTGAAAGACTTACTAAAAAAAATACTATAAATTTAGCACTAAAAAAAAAAGCACATCGCCACAGTACCTATAATATTTAAACGCTAATATAACATTAATCGTAATATTTTTAAAATTAAAGTTTTACTATTGTTTTGCTTTTAATAATTTATAATAACTATAAAAATTTAAAATCGTACTTGGCAGTCGGGATTACACAAACTATGTGTATGCAAATATTAATTATAGTCTGTGCCCTGTGGTTGTTTTATTTTGAAATTTGAATTAGCCAAATGTTGTGATTTTCGTCATGTCATAAAATGATAACATTATAACTAATAAACTTACGACTGAAGATAACAAGATACTTATCACTGTTAATTGTACAGCCGTTGCGCGGGGAAATTTAAAATGGCTGTAACCATGACAAAAAATATTTTCACAATAAGATTCTACAATTATTGTTATTTTTTTATTTTTTAGCTTCAAAAATTAGGTTAACAAATTAATGTTTTCATAATTTACTATTAAATTTGTTTGGTAGAACTTCCTCTTCTAAAAAAGTTCTCGTAAAAAATCCCATTTTATGAGGCATATTTTCAAGTGGCATGTGGTGAAGTCGACTACTATAATAAGGCTAGAGAAATCAAACGTGATACTCTTGAATCAAAATTTGCTGCTATCTTCAAACAATTAGATACATTAAAAACCGATACATTCTCAGCTAACAAATGTTTTTTTTTTTTTAATTAGTTATAATAAAAGAGGGAGATCTCATGAACTGACTCACCATAGAATTTTTTTTTTAATTAACTTTAATATTTCATTCTGAATTTTAGTGTAATGTGAATATGTCTTTAAATTTGATTTTATAGATGAAAACTTTCACTTTTAGCATTATTTCATGACGTACGAGATGTAACATATCGTAGAGCAAGACCCGAGACAAACCATTGAAGTGTCATTCTATACATCAATTCAAGGTCTCAAACGTACTTCATCTAAATTTCACTACCGAGACGCCTGAGGCAAGGAGGGAAATGATGCAGTTTTTATTTGCAAAACTACTGGCTCGATTAAAATGCAATTTTTTTTTATATATAGATTACTCTTAACCCCTTATATTTCTCATTGAAAAAGTATTGTAAAAGTTAAAGAAATAAAGAATGTAAGTCGTACAAAGTATGTTTACAAAAACTATTTTAAACAAATTTTCTGGTATTTTTCACTATTGCTATTTTGAGGTTAATATTACTTTGACTCATCTAATTTACAAAAGTAACAATGTCCTATTAAATTCTTCTTCGATTTACAATAATCTGAAGTTAATACTAGCGAATGAATTCATAATAATATGTTTATTTAAATTTCAAAATGTACAATTTTTTTTTTTTCATATTTAACTAATTTGTGTTGTTCATTAATTAATTAAACAATATTAATACATTTACATAAGACATTTATACACTATGATACAGGATCCCACTTTTTAGTATCCTTAGTCTTGAATAAAATTTCTGATAATTTGTGATACTTTGGATCATAACCTTCTTCATGAGTATTTCCTGGAGCCTGGGAAAAACATTAAATAAGTACAGTATTTGTTTTTAAATAATGATAAAATAAGTGTAGACAAAAGTCAGTCATTTTTAAAAAATGCTGCATCAGGAATAAATAAAATAGTGTAGCTGCCACTAAGGGTTGGCAATTACTCAACTTTATAGCCAATTAAAAATAATTATTTAAATGACTATTATTGTCAATTAAATATGGAAATTATTATTTCAATTCAAATAACCTTTCTGTAAGATTACTATAATGTTGACTAAATAAAGCTATCAGATATTGTGTTTTAAAAATTTTAATATTATTAGAGCGTACAACTTTATACTTAGTTATTTGACTAATACAAAGAGGCCAAACGGTGCTCAGTTAACCCTCTGTTAGTTGCGGGATTTTAGGTCATGCCTAAATAAAGTTTGACTGGCCAACATTACTTACTTGAGTCACAGCGTGACTAAATGTGACTGGTTTACAACTGTAGACCACCCGCTCAACAAAGGGTTAAAAAACATATGATTCAATACACCATAATTACTTTTTTATTATATTCATTATAAATTAAATTTTGAACGGTTAGATAGCAGTATTGTCAAATTACATTTAAAATTTTGTCAATTTTTTCAGAGATAAAATCTAGTTTGACCACTTTTCACTCACTTAAACAAAACAGTATGTTCATACGTTTTGTTAAAATCCTTGTTTTGAAGATTAAAAAGTATAAATTTTCACAATTATTAATTTCTTTAAATAAAAAAAATTGGTTTTTTAAAAATTAATAATTACAATATGTTTGTTTGTATAAACTTTTTGACTATAGAAAGAATAGTAATAAAAGTTAAAAGTGAAAATTGAGCTTAGGAAGTACCACTAGAAGAAAAAATTAAAGAAGAATAGAAGTCTATAAGGGACAATAAAACATTAAGTTTATCTTTTTATTTAATTGTATATAGCTTACTGTAAGAACTTCTATTTCTTCACCAGGTATGTTAAGTTCTGGAGCATCAACTATTGGAACATCGAAATTAGCCATCAACACATCTTTATCATTCGTATATCTAAAAAAATAATTAATAACTATATTTGTCTTATGAGAATTAAATATAATTTACTTCATTCTGACATCAGCCCAGTACTGTTCTCTAGAGTAACACCAGTCTTGAATTTTTGGACTATCAGCTGCATAATTATCAAAATCAAGACGCTCTATATCTTCTACAATAACTTCGGCATTGCCTCCTTCAGACCAATCATAAACTAATACTTCAGATTTTAGACTAAACAATATTGTCATTGATTAAATTAGTTGACTTTCCATTAATTTGAAAAGTTATAGTATTATTTTATTACCTTATCTCACGTAAAAATTTAGATTTTAATTTATCATCCATACATTCTAAATATGTTGTATTCATTGCCTTTGAGTTAACTTTTTTTTCTTTGGCTTTTTCTAATAGTTTTGGTACAGGTACATCCAAATAAACAACCAAATGTGGATTTAACAAGTCCGGCAAAGCATGTCGATGTAATGTATAATAAATATCATATGCTGTTCTGCTAACATACTTGCATTTGTACATAGCTTCCATAAATACAAAATCACTGAATGGACTACGTTCAATAATAACACCATCACCTGTATTTAACAGGTGAGCAAGTGCATCAATGTAGTAAGCATAACGTAGCTTAAATTTTATTATTTGAAATGCGGCTGCATTAAAGTGATCAGGAGTTTCAAGAAAATTTTTTTCATCAAAGCTTCGACAATTAACTGGCAATTGTGGGTCTAATTTTCGCATGTCATATCCATAATCATTGATATAGTAAGAATCCATAGTAACGTCTGGCATAAAGTGCATTCCTAATTCATCAGCTAATTGTTTTCCAACTGCTGTCTTACCTAAAATTAAAACAATATTTTTTATTAAAAATGTTTTAATGACAATCTAGTATGAGGCGATATATAACAATACAAAAATTATTGTTTAAACAAAATTATTTTAATGCTATTATAATAAATATTAGATATTCTTAGCACTTAGGTGTTATCAAATTCAATGAGTATATATGTAACACATTTTATAAATTTTAAGTTTTAGATATAATGTTAATATGTGTTTTTTAGTTATTTGTAGATTTTCTTTTGCTATTACTCATGAAGATAATACTCACCAATACCAACTGGTCCTTCAAGCAAAATAAGCTTAGTGTTGTCATCAAAACGTTGGGTCGTTTTATCAAATAGACTTCTCAAGAAAGTATAGTTTTTCTCTTTATAAGGAAATGGTGCTGGTTTTTTTTGGTCCGATAACCCTAATGAAGCTCGTAAAGCCTTGCTAGTTATATAACGTTTAGGCAATTGCACACACATCGTTTGCCCGAGTATTCTGTTAAAACTAGTAAGTACCATCATTGTTGTAAGTCTAGTTCTAGAATTAAATAGTAAATACAAATATTTCACACAAAATTCTGAAAAAAAGTAAAAATATGAAAATTGCTATCGTGTTATCAGTTATTATAAATTGTATCGTAGCAAATAAGTAAAATAAGTACTGAGGTGAGTATTGACGGTCGTCATATCATATGATTTTTTATCAAATTACTGCCTACATTGATACCGAAAACAGTTACCAGCATTTTATTTTATATACCTTACACTACCTTGCCCCAGACACTAGTAAAAATTAACACAGGGAAGATACTTATCACACAAAAACGCGACAGCCATCTTCTTAAGGCTACACTACACAATGTTATATCTATACAGTGCTGGATGTGTGGCCGGTGGCCCGCCACACATTATTATTATTATTATTAGTCGTTTTTAAATAAAACCCATAATACTATGTAGCAATTACAGGTCTTTGCAAAAGGAGGTTGCTGTGTGATTAATGACGAATTTGTCAATTCGTATTAACTTAAAAGTTAAAATTAATTAGATCAAACCACAGATATCTTAGGATCAAACATACATAGATAGCCCGCTGGAATATTAAATACGACACAGACGCAACGAATATAATAAGAATAATGTACGTTTGCATCCAAAATCGGGTTAATTTATGCATGTTGAATTCATGACATGTTTAACCTTACACCTTGATTCCTTGAACAAGATATCAGCTGACACGGATGTAATCAAATGTAATCATTGTGGAACAGTGAAACCGCAGTTATAATAGTTAATGGCATTGGCTATACCGAGTACCAGCTGATTTTTGCCCTGCCTTTCAGTTTCCTTCGTAGTTCGTAATACTTAATATTATAAAAATCAAGACTCGCACAATATTTATAAATATAATTATTAATTATTATATATATATATAAATGCAAATATATATTATTCCATAATTGCTTCAATAGTTGCATGATATTCCGTCCCCACCGTTTTTTGTCTACAGTGTATATTGTTGTCTCACTATAGTCTGTTAACAGGCAGCTGCTAGAATAGCCACATAATCACTCACTCTACACGCGTACATTGGTTTTGCGTAACGTAATCTCCATTGGTGACTAGATGTTTTAAAAATAATATTGTTTTTTTAACGCGCCAGTATAGTGTGTGTTGCCCATCCCGACAGCTGGCATGATGTGCATGGTTTTCAACAGTCGCAACAAACATATAGTATTATCGAACGTGACAATTATCACCCTCGAAAAAACGAATTTTCACCGACCGTCGTCGAAGAAATCTGATTATACCACAAACGCCATATACGCGCGGATACGACAATGCCCCGAGGAAAGCGCAGGCAACATAGGACTGCTATAGGTAAAATTTAACTGAACAAACATTATTTCAATTAAAAAAAGACGCTTTGCCGTGGGTTTATTTTTTTAGCCCCGCTGTCTTGTAGGCCATGTTATTTCGATTGTCTCTAAATTCCGACCACCATTTTCCCGCCACAACGTCTACACGTGTCTTATATATAATAATAATATTGTAAAGTTGCAAATCATTACCCTCAAAGGAGTTTTAACGTAAAAAGAGTCCATTTTCCCATTTTTTTTTTGTTTACTCATATTTTACACGTTGGCAATGAGTCATATTGGTATTTGATTTTGTTGCAAGGGAGTACACATGCGCTCGAGCAGTAGTGTGTAGTGACTTGATTTAAATATACTAGGTTATTGCATTTCTACCCCTTCTTTTTCGAAATTTTCGACGATAAAAATAAAATGGCAGCGTAAGGGTTAGCCAATCAAATTCATTTATTTTATAAAGGTATTATTTATATATTTTTTCAAAAACAATGATGTACCCTTATGCTGCCATTTTATGAATTTATAATATAATAAAGTGGGATTATGCAATATTCTTGCATACTTAAGCCATGGGTGAGAGATTACTAATTTTGTCATCAATAGTTTTTCACTTCCAATTCGTACATTTCATATGTATATTAGTAATGACCATGAACATCAACTCAAATATCAAGGTCCATGAGATAATGATCGCACATCATGTTTCTCACAATTGCTGTGCATAATATAAATGTCAATTATCTTATTTTAGTACAATGTAAAGCATAAATATAATATAATAACAGCTGCTGTAACTAAAAACCATAGATACAATATTAATTGTATCTGATTTTAAGTTACAGCAGCGTTTATTTTATTTATATATTGGCATAGCATATAAAAATATTAATTGTAAACTACATTATTTTATTCTTGGGGGGCTTTTTGTTTTTTTAATATAATATTATGTCAAAAATTATGTTTTAGATGTATACTACAAAGTGTATAAACTTATATATTTAAGTACACATTTATTTTAAAACAAAAATGAACTGTTTTTTTTAAGTTGCTATACATATAGATTACTCAGTAATACAGACATAAATATGTAATATATTTCACTTGCAAGTAAAAATAATTTTTACAAAAAAATTAATTTATCGAAGAGTAAGATGTTATATCTTATATCTCACTTTACTTTTATATTACCTGGAGTCAAATATGTTACTAAAACATAATAATTTAACAAAAATCTTTATTGGTAGTTTTTCTATTATTAAAACACATACTATGTTTAGATGCAAACATTCATGTAAATTAAGTTAACACAGGATTATTTTATATATAAACCTATTTTCAATGCACATTACTTAATAAATACATAGTAAATCTTGTTTATTGACTAACACACATTTAATCTAAGCGTCCATAATACATACTTATTCATGTCTTACACTCATCAATATTAAAGTTATAATACACTCAAAAAATAATTCAGTATTTCATTAGATCATTAAATAATTTGTTTTTAGATGTATTAGGTGGAAAAGGACGTGATATTGACATATCTGATGATGAATCATATAATGATAATGCAAGTGTAATCAGTAATGCCTCTTGCAGCACATCAGTTGATGAATTCTCTTGTGAGTATTACTCTTATAATTTTCTTATTTATTTATTTGTACCTGTTAAGATTAATTAAGTCTTAATTTAAAATTTTAAATGCTATATGTAAGACATGAAAGAGAATAATTTTATGGAGAATATATTCCTTTAAGTATTTAAAACAAAAAAAATGATACTAGCCTTTGGAACATAATAACTATTAACTGTGCATACTATTTATTACATAAAAAACAATGCAAATATAATCGATGGCACTTTTAAAAAGGATATATTAGACTTTACATCAACAAACACATCGTGGTTGAAAGGGTTACTTCTGCAGTGCTTCTACGAACTAGTCGTGGTTTGAATCCAGGTCGTTGGTCGTTCCTTTAGCTGGCCAGTCAACCGTCTGGAGAGAGAAATGTGTACCCAATTGGTGTGGAAGGCAACAGAAAACCACCGCATTTTATCTGATAGTAACTCTATTGCAACGTCAAGGCAAACCCTTTAGTAGAAGAAGAAGAAGTTACCAAACAAGGGATATAAATAGAATAAAGTTTCCATAAAATATAATAGGAATCCTGTTCTACAAATTGCATAAAATAATGAATTGTTTTTTTATGAGTTGATGACAATAATAGTATTTTTTTAAATTGGTTAATTTAAAATTAAATGTTTTAACAAATTTAAATAGGTTTTTGTTTGTAAAATATTAAATAATTAAATATAAAATATAAATATCTTAATTACTAGGTGCAGCAACAGAAGATACTGAAGATCAGCTTTTAAATGATGCTTTTGAAGAGAAATTAGGTGATGCAATTGATGGTTTGACACAAAAATCTGCACAAGGCCGTACGACTAGTTTTGAATTTGTTTATAATGTCTTTTGTAAAAAGTTTATTCCAGAATACATTATTAATAGGTACTTTAAATATATTTTCAAATTTTTCAACTAATCGTATTTAAATTGTATACAACTTTTAATATATGAAATAAACGTAAACTCATTTTTTACAGACGTATGACAATTACTGATTCTATTGAACGAGCTCTGAGAAAAGGCGGAGATAATGAAAAAGCAGCTGCAGCTAATTTAGCTTGCCTTTTATGTATACAGTTAGGTTCTATTGATGTCGCGGAAGATATATGTCAAGAACTCTTACCTACTCTAATGTTTGTTGCTAATGATGAATCAGTTCCTTTGCTTGCACGAGAAAAAGTAAAATATTGTTTATTATTATTGTTATATTTTAGTTAAATAATAATTATAATTTATATTTAATTTGTCTAGTGCTGTTTAGCTATAGCATTGTTAACATTTATAACTTGCAATGAAAAAATTGATGCAGCAATGCAGCTATTGCGTAATTTATGGAATCGTTTAATCCATTCAACTACTATTACAGCCCCTGCAGCTTCCTTATATTCAACTGCTTTATCTTCTTGGTGTTTACTTTTGTCAACTATATCAATTAGAAATTCTTCTGCAATACCGTAAGTTATTTTTTTAAAATTTTAGTTTTTACAACATAATTACGCAATTATGCTTTGTTTGAGTGTAACCAACTATTAAATACCAATGTATAAGCCATCTGGCTTAATTTAAACCTTTTTTTTTATCATAATGTAACTTTATGATTAGGTTTTTTATTTTAAGTGTAGACTTTGTCTTTAAAAAAAAAATGTATATATATTGGTAATAAGTAACTTAATGGTCACTACAAGTCGAGATAAATTGGATAGGGAGGTTATTATTTAATAATAACTTTATCTTGTTTTTAATTATTATTATCTAACAAAGCAAAAATATAGTACTCTTTCAGAATTGAGCGTTCTCTTGGACTCTGCATATTTAGAAGTAAGAATGGCTACTGGTGAACTATTAACAATTTTATTGGAAATGGCACGTGAATGTGAAGATATGGATGAATATGAGCCTGACGAAGAACTTATTACAAAATTACGTGAACTAGCGACTGATTCACAGAAGTCTAGAGCTAAAAAAGATAGAAAAACCCAAAGATCCAATTTCAGACAAATTCTTCATTATGTTGAAGTATGCTGATATAATAAAACTAATAATTTATGTTAACATCTAACCATACATTTAACTTTAACAGTTAGATGAACCTCCTAACATTCAAATTCGTTTTGGACAAGAAATATTATCTATGAACACATGGACAAAAAAAAAAGAATATGATGTATTATGCCAAGCATTAGGTTCGGGTATGAATCTACATATGACTGAAAATGATCTTGTGCGAGACATTCTAAATCTTGGCCCCAAATTATGTCAAACTAAATTATTAAGCAACAAACAGTCAAAACTTGAAAGGGTAATTATTAGTAAATCATCATATAACAGGTTTTCATAATTAAACATTTATATTTATAAATAATTGTTTTCTTAATAGCAACAAATTAATGCAGCTAATTTCAAAGTACGCACCAAATCCCGAGCAAAAGTACGTGACAAACGAACAGCTTTTATTGATTAAAACATCAAAATATACTGTTATTAAAAATTAAATAATGTTTTAAGGTTTAAGCGTGCATGTGATAAATATGTTAAATTCTTATATATTTTGTTTACTCACTTCACAAACTTAATATCTTTATATTAAAAAATTCTTTTTTCAAACTGTTTGGGGTTATTTTATTTGTTATTTACTTTACTATTGATTTTTCAAAAAAACAGTATAAAAACTTACTCTGAAAAAAAATTTTAATAATGGTAAATTATTTTAGTTTGCTAGAAATTGTAGTTATAATTGAAATACATATAATTAGTAGCTGGGTATTTTTTTTTTTTTGTTAACCACACCTTTATGCATGCAAATAATAATTTGTAATATTGTTGTAAGCTCTTAGCATCTGTTGTAACTTATTACTGCCATTGATTTTTACATAATATGTTAAGACTGACAAATATGTTACTGATTATTGAACTAAAAACCTAATCTCAGGTAATGGGATGAAAACGACTCATTAAATATCTTAAAATATACTGAATGAAATGAAATTATTTATTATTTGTAACTTTTTAGTTTGTTTCCATAATATCCTTGGGCTATTTTTATAACGAAAAATATTTTTAATACTTAATAAAACAAGTTGTAATGTTGAAAGAAAAATGGTACCTGAGAGTTATAAAAAAAATTGAAATAGTTTATGATGCAGACATTATTTGCCCTAATTTAAAATTGTATTAATTATTTTATTCGTTAACAGTTCATTCATTAAACTGTTAATAATATGAAGTTTAACCCAAAATTGAATGACCACTATTTATTGTGATATGTCCAATATATTAATGTTCATCCATTAACTAATAACCTATGTGTTTAAAATTATGCAATTTTATTAATTAATAATAATATTTTTTTAGTCTAACTTTCCACAATACCTTTCATTTGTTAATAATAAAAGTATAATTTATTATTTTAAAATTGTGAATTATTTATTGAATATAAATCCATGTGCATTTTAAAATAACATGGCAGTTTATTAATATTTGGTGATATACCTTAACTAAATTTACACGTAAGTACATCCAATAATTATGCTTTATATTGTTATTCAATATTTTATTAGGAGAACGGTAATATAATATATTTATAGTGTATATAGATAATAGTTACATCAATAACTACAATCTATGTAATTTGAGTATTAAAAGATATTTTATTATCATTTTTCAATATAGAATTTTTTTTCCATAAAATGCATTTATCATTCTTATAGAAAAGTCAATATAATTATATTTTTAAAACCACGTTAGATTTCAATATTTAATACTTATAAAACGATAATTAATTTATAAAATATTTTTTAACGTTTACAGAGTATACATGTATACCATTTTTTAATTGTTAAAGAGTTTTAAATAGTTTATAAAAAATTATTATAGTATATTATTTCTAAAAAATCATAAATATTAACTATTAACTTTGATCCACTGACCTATAAACATATTCTTTTGGTATGTTGCCAACTTCTATTTTTAATTTTCTTCATTTAATGTGAATTGCACTTTCAACGTTTAACAATGGCAACTTCTGATATTGGAAATATCTTTCATTGGAATGATAGAAACTTGGATAAATTTCCAGAAGATCTAAAACTATACAAGAATAAAATAATTCAACTTTACATCAAAAACAACACTATAGAAACACTAGTAAGTTATTGTTCAATTAAATGATAGGTTATTTAAAACATTTTTTTTTCATTGTATTTTTAAACATAAAATTATCAAATTGTAATGTTTAGCTCATTATAATTATTGATACATATGTATAAAGACCTTTCATTTTATTTAAAATATCCAGTGATGGATTAGACAAAAGGGTGTTCACTCTTAGGGCTAGTAAAGCTTTGGTCTACTTAAGCTTGCTAGATCCATTATTTCTAAATTTACTAATAGGGAAAGACTGATTTTTATTTAATAAGTGGGCCAATATTTTATCCCAGTTCAACTTTAAACCTTTTAATTTTATGAAATATTATATTAAGCCTAATTTGCTTAACTTAAAGTATTTAAAATTAAAAAATAATTGTCACATAGTTACAAATTAATTTAATTTTAATACATAACATAAATAGATTATTTTAATAGAAGATAGCCATGTGTCACAGTTTAGGTATTGTGGATACAAGGAACAAATATTTTAGTTAAGTTACAAAAAAGTTAAAATTTTTTATATCGTAATAATTATGTATTTCAGCCAAGATGGATAAATTGTATGAATAAACTTTCACACATCTACCTGGACAATAACAAACTATCTAGCTTTCCTGACGAGTTTTGTCAATTAACAAATTTAGAAGTTCTATGTGCACCTTATAATATGATCACATCAATCCCATCAAAGTTATCCGATCTTCTGCGATTGACTCAACTTGACTTGTCACACAATTATATTAAAATTGTTCCACCAGGTATATTTTTATTTAAACTTAAAATTAAATAAATTTAATTTATATTGTGTAAAATAAAGAAATTAATTATTAAAAGAAATTATGAACATGCGGTCATTGTGGTTGTTGAATTTATCACATAATGCAATTGAAACACTACCAGAAATAAACAACCCAGAAGAATTATATTTTGGTGAAATATTATTAGACAATAATAAATTAATATGTGTACCTGATAATTTAGCCCGTTTGAAAAACATTGAATACTTATCGTTAAATCACAATAAACTTTTGTACGTACCAGCTGTTGTGTTTAGAAACGAAGCTAAAATCAAATTGGACCATAACCCTTTTTTGAACTATATGGTTATAAACATTAAGTATAATACAAAGTTATAATCTTATTTATTATATATTGCGATTCAATTAAATCTCTTATTCTTTTTTTTTTTTTTAGTGCAAATTATTGTGGTACAGAAAAATTTCTAGAAGCGCAATTATTGTCAAATGTGATATTAATATGTGCAGGCCGTAACTTGGTTGTATCACCAAAAATTAAAAATGTTATTAATTCTCAAAATTATGCATACTATCCTTCATTGTGTGAATTTGCACTTCGATCGTTGTACGTTTGGAAGACTCCTTTTTCAAAAAATGATACTCCAAATTCATTGTACATCCAACTTAAATCTGGCCCTGCAGCTACGTGTATGCAATGCTTAAGACCAATGTTCACTTACAGTTATATTTGCTTAATTTTTAATGAGTAAGTCTGCACTTAATCATTAATAATACTATTAGTCTTTAAATTATGTAAAAAAAAAATAATGTTTAAAAATTATCCATACTTGTGATATGTTAAAACTATGTAAATACAATTTATTTCAGAGCAAAAACTCATCTAAATGCCCAATATTTCTGCTCAAAAGCTTGTCACAGTATATCTAATCAACTATTTGAAAAACGCTATAAAATAATTTTACAAGAATTGCATTTTTCAATCAAGCCATTTGGAAATGTATCAAATTTATAAACCTAGATCGAGTTTGATTTATGTATTTTCTGTTATATTAATTTATATTGTTTTATCAATTAACGTCTCATATAATCATTTTTTTTTACGAAACATAATTGTTAATACAACATAATAGTGTTACAGTTTAATACATCATAAACATTTGTGTACATTTGAATACAACTACTATTTTTATGTGATTATGTAATAATAGATATTTCATTCAACATTTTCAAGAAAACTGCATTTTTTTGTCCAACAATTAGTAAATACAAAAAATAATAATTCATTTTTTTATGTACTATGCATTCTACAAGTATTAAATACTTTTAAGGGGAACGGAAAGCGCTATTTGTTAAGAGGCAAAGGATAGGCAATATTTTACAAAAATTGAACTAATAGCCATTTTCATAAGTCTACTATTTTCAAGGCGAACACATTACGATTACAATTACCTATACTACTTTTAAAGATAGATGTATTAGAAAAAACTATAAAAAAGTAAAAATCAAAATGTTTATAAACATTTTTTAAAAACAAAAATAAACAATCGGCCTTCTAGTCCCATAGAGAAGATGTTAAACTACAAAAGAAAATTATTAAAATCGGTTCGGTAGACACTCCAAAAAGTGACTCCGCGTTTTATGTAGTTTTTATTTGTAAAAAAATTTACGCTTTCCATTCCCCTTAAGTAAATTAAATTTAAAAAAAATTTTATTTTATAGATATTCCTGGTATTTTGAGTTATATTATTATTAACAAATAAATAAATTATTTCGTATGAATACATTATTTGTGGCACCTTTCACACATATTGTAAATGTAAGTCTTGAGTTTGTGAAGACAACATCTCCTTATTTCAAAATTATATATTTTGGTTGAATACCTACGACAACTGGACTGTTTAGTTAAGTTAAACAGGAACTATTTAAATTTTTAACTAACAATTTAATTAAAATATTAAGGAACTCCTGTCTAGTGTCAAGTTACAAGTACAAAGTAGCAAGTTGCTATTAACAATTATAGCAAAATACCCAGAGTCTATAGACCCGGGATCAGTAGTCAGTAGTAACTAGTAGAATTAAAAAATGTAGTTGAACGTAGATAGTACAATTATTATTGTAAATAGTTACTGTATTTTGTAGCGATAACGAGTAAATGGTCACACTGTTGTGATATACGGTTGACTACCACAATATTCTGGGGTGAACGCTTATATTTATGCTCTAGATTACACTGTACGATTTACAGTTTTCCTTTTTGTTATCTTTATTTAAAAGTAACAATTGACAATTTATTTACTACAAGAGCAAATAGTTTATAAATATTATCGTAAATTAATTTATAGTTTATACATTCAGTATTATTGAGAAACAACAATACAAATTAATATTATTTTATTTAGCGTAATCATTAAAATATGTTATTGTTTGAAGAAAATTTGATTCCATTGTTTACCCTCAACTGACAAAATGATGTCCATGCCGACTAACAATCTTAAAATGGCTGTTGAAATGGCAAGTCGAGTAGAATCAGCTCTTGCAAAGCGTGTTGGGGATCAGCCCGAAGTAAGTATCATTATGCAGTAGATAAAGCTGAAGTGTAATTTAACTGTTCAAAACAGATTCAAGGACCACCCCCTCAACAGTCGTCGCCACAGTTAAAAACTCAATTTGAAATCAACGATTTAGCTGATACAGACCGAATACTTCTTACTAGCAAGTCTATACAGAATGATATTGAAGAATTTTCTGGTATTTAACTTGGATTGATACCTGTCTAATTTATAATGTTTATAGTATTAAAAAGTATATTTTGTATAGATAACTTTGTAGCAGATGGTCATTGTTTAAATTTAATTTTAGTTTAAATTAACAAAAACTAGGGTTTTGAGCCCAATCCTTAAAGCTTTTTCAAGTGTACTTTTTAAATCTTCTGAAAACCCATACTTTTGATTAAATACCAAACATTGGATGGATTTGAGCGTTAAATCCCTCCAGTTTTTTTAACTAAATTTTATATTTATTTTTATAACTGTGTGTTTGAATTTTTAAACAGGAACAGTAATTGTTACTAGAGGACGTTATTTAACTCCTAAGGAAAAAAATCAAGCATCTTCAGAACGGTCATTACATTTGTTGATCAAAGGGCCAAAGAAACAAAATTTAGACCGTAAGAATTTGTTTTTTTTATATTTACTTAAAAAATATAATTTTTTAAGTTATTAACAGTTATATATATTTTTCCTTAAAGTAAAATTTTGATTCTGGATTTTCACATGAATGTATGTATGATATAATATCAGAAGACGAGTGAGTAAGGACAGTGTTTTAGTGTGAGCCGCTATCCCCTTTGGATATCCTCTTTGGTGAAGGACTAACATTTAAGAGGACATTATACACCCAATTTTCCAGCGTTAAAATATACCTACGCGAAATGCATTTTACTCGCTTCATGATGATTTAGAGCAAAACTACCTAACAAAAACGAAAGATGACAAGATTTTGGAGACGATGTCATATCAGTTTTTGATTAACCTAATATTTAGCTTAAAATTTAACATTCAAAATAGCAAATTTTTACTTTTTTTAAATAGTTATCTTTTTTCACATTTTTTTTTAAATTTGGATATCACATTGTCTCCAATTGTTGTTATCTTTCATAATAGATGTTTTTGCTCTAAAACAACCATGGTCCTAGTAAAATGCATTCTACGTAACTGTGTTAAGACGAAACATTTTTTTAAATCGCTGTCAAGGATGCTGCGCGATAGTCCCAAATTTTAATTAACTACCAAAAAGAAGTACTAATTACTAAACTAATAATTACATATTGTAGTTAAGCTTCAAATTAAGATTTTGAAAAAAAAATTGTCTATACCTAGGTTCTTAATAATAAGGTTATATCACGTCCTCTTTATACCTGTACTTACCTACTAGATAGGCGTTTCTTAGTCATGTTAAAATTATTATTGGCCAAATTATATCTGATCAAACAAATTCGAGACCCTTGCAGGGTGTGAGTGAGGTATTTTGATTTCTAGATTGCCTACATTATCCGTACTCTTACCAGAGAAAAATACTAGTGACCAAAATTGTTGACTTGAATAGAATACTGTTTTATGCTGTTTTTATCCCATTTGGCTAGTTAATTGTTAGACCCTTCTTCAGCCATGCTATCATGTTCCCAGAAATAATATGTTATATTAGTAATAAATTTTATTGTAATGTTATAGTTGCAATCCAGAAAATTCAATCGCTGATTCAGCGTGACAAGGATATGTCAAAACATCCAAATTTGACATCTGGTCCTTTAATTAATGGCGCTGGAATAGTAATATAGTACTATTTTTTATAATATTTAATGAATAACTTAATTTTAATTTTAGGAAAAAGTTTTAATTGGATTAGACCATGCTCCACCAGCTTTTGATCTACGAAATAAAATACTTGGTGTGAACGGCGCTAACCTTCATTATATCATGAATGAAACAAAAGCTGTAGTAACCATGCGAGGTAGAGGTTCGGGATTCATTGAAGCTAATGGCCAAGAATCAGTTGAACCCCTACATCTTTGTGTTGAGTAATTACTATTTCTTTCATTTTACTTTTAACTACTCTTTATTATTAATGATTTAAGACTAAGGTGCTATATAAATATATCAAATATGTATATTACATTAACATTAATCTTTTTTAGACATGCTAAAAATGAAGTATTACAAAATGGAAGACAATTGGCTTTTAATTTAATTGAGACTATTCAAAATGAATATAGTGCCACTTATGGTTCCAACCACGTTGCACCACCACCTAATGTTGCCCATCAAACTTCTACAGTACACATTCAACAGCCAATCCTTCATCAGACTATACAGACAAATAATGGGCATATGCAACAGATAAATCCAGGTAAACGTAAAATTTGTCTGTTATTAATACATACTAAATAGTTGCAATTTGTATTTTTTTTATCAACAGCACAATATCAGACTGTTCAAGTAGCTGGTCAACCAGGTATGATGGCATTGCAGGATAGTTCACAAATAGTTCAATCTTCTATTGCAAATGTTCAAATGCCCTTGTTTACCCAACAAGCTGGTAAAATATCTGAACTTAAAATTTTGTTTTTAATCTTATTAAAATATGTTATTATATTTCAAAAAAAATATTAAATTTTTTTATATTTTACAGTACCTCAAATAATGGCTGTACCCTCTCCTGTTATTGGAGGTCATCAGCAGCAACAACAAGCTCAAAATCTCCAAGGGCCTACTCATATTGCTCAACAACAAACACCTATTATGCCTCAGATACAAGCACAAGTAGTTAGCCCGCAGCAACAACATCAAATTCCGTTATCAATTACACCTGTCAGTTACTCTACTATTCAACCTCAACAACAGCATCAAATTCATCAACAGCAATCTGTATAATTTATATATACTGTTTCTGATATTTATTTATTACACTTTATTATTATTTTGTTATAGAAAAGTTTAGAAAACGTACAACACACACCTTCTGTGACTCATACTACACCTACATCTTTAGCTAATGGTGTCATTCCACATACTCAAGCATTTATGACTCAAGCTGCACTTCCCATACAAGTAAATATGATAGTATTCAAAAATATACATAATATAATATATACATAAAAAAGTACATAATATAATATATAATACGTAAACGTGTAAGATTAAATAATATAATTTGGCCATTTTTTTGTTTACAAAAACTTTAGTACATTCAAACATCTAATGGTCAAATAATAGCCTATCAACCTCAAGTTCAGTCAAATGCATTTCAAATGACTCAAAATCCAAATGTTGGTCAAGTCACACAATTAAGTCAACCTACAAATGCTGGGCTAATTGGCACAACTTATATATTGGGTAGTCAAATGGCACAATATCAGCAGCCAACCGGCCAACCTGGTCAAGTAATGATTGTTCAGTACCAACAACCACCAGCTGAAATTCAACAGCCCACAATGCAGACTATTCATCTTCAACATACTCAATCTGGTCAACTTATACCTGCTAATATTCCGAACGGACAATTGGTTGTACAGCAAACACCTGGGCAACCCGCTCAAATCCAAATGATGATGCCTCAGTTAAACCAGTTTCAAAATATTCAACCACAAATAATACAAAATTTGCCTAGCTTATTACAATCACAAGCAAACCAGGCTAGTACGCAACAATTACTTCTTCAGCAACAAAGTAAAGCTTTTACTCAACAGACAGCGCAAGCTAATGGAAATCAAATTTTGTCGTTACCGATATCTCACCAAATTTTGCAAACACAAGGAAATGGTATTGTAACAATGACTCTTCCACAACAGCAACAACAAACACTTAAATCACAACAACAAATAATTCAAACACAAATGTCAGACAAACAGCAGGTCATCTACAAACAAGATGATGGTACACATCAACCAATTATGATTCAACAAGGACAACAACAGTCCATTCAGTATTATCAACAAAGCAATCAATTTCAATATCAACCAGTAAAACGATCTTACGAAATGGTAAGATAGCATAATTAAAAACAATAATTGCTTAACTTAACTGTTTTGTCTTCATTATTATAGGTTGTGTCAGAAGGTGGTGGTATGTCAGGAACAAAAATTATACGGACTGGACCATCTACTGGGCAAGTATAAATACTTACCTTTACATTTAAAATAACATGAATATTTCTTTTTAATTTTATTACAGTCATGGTTACTAACAATTTATGTTCTAGCGGCAGTTATATTAATAAGTACTAGCTTTATTATTTCCAGGAAAACAGAAGATAGAACATAGCTTTTATATTTTAATAACTATTTTATAATTATTGTAATTATGCCAAATTTTTAATAGTAATGATGGTAGTGATGACAACCAAGTGCGCCATGTGACCATAAATGGTATAGTACAATCTTCAAGTACGGGCAGACTTACACCACAGACTAACTTTCAACAACATTCTACAATAAATGCTACAAATATTTCAGGTTAACTTTTGAAATAATATTAATATTAAACTATGTAGTTTTATTTTTCAGCTTGGCAAACAGGGTAGCTAATAAATATACTAACATTTATTTTCAGAAATAAAAATAATTAATAATGCCTTGTACTTTTTTTTTACAGGAAACATTATACATTAAATAATTAATTTTTTTTTTTTTTATGTTAAACATTGTATATAAAGTAATAGCTTTACTTTTACAGGTGATATAATGCGTTCAAAAGACTGCACCAACATGAACTCGAAGGGTAATTATATTTTAAAATTAAGTGTACAATTTTTTGTTATACTGTATAAATTATCAAAGTACTTTCTTTGGCAAGACATTGTAAATAAACATTACAATTATCTAAAGATAATTATTTATTACATGTTTTTAAAAATGTATCACTTAAAAGAATTTTTGGCTAAACAACTTCTGTTAATGAATAATATGAGCTGTGTTCTGAGGAAAGTATTGGATAGCAGTCGTTTCCCTTTGGGTTATTTCTCAAAACAGGCATTGTGTCTAGTGAGTCTCTTGCCAACTGACACAGCTATGTTATTCACCCTTACTCAAACTGTACAACTTAATATTTCATACACTTATTTTTGATTAATTTAATTATTTAAACTTGTTTTATTAAAAAAAATAAATGTATATATAATTTTTTTTAGATGATATGAATAAACAAGTTGATCGCAACAAACAACAGCAACGGTATCAGTTTTATCCTGGTAAGTTTTTTAATTTATAGGTGCACATAAATTTTTTTTTTAAAAAATCATTAAAACTCAACTTTTAAAGATAATGAATTACCAAACTTAATAGTTATTTTTGTTCTTGCTATTTTGTATTTTTCATGGATAACATATTAGGATGTTTTTTTTATCATTGAGCATGTTTTTATTCCTCTTCTCCTCCTTCGCCTTCATCCCTACTATTTGGTATCGGCCACTCTTATTCTAAACTTCCACTTTTCAATGTCATGACCTCCCACATCATCCTCTCATATTGGTATAAGCAGCCCTCATATTCTCAACCGCATCCAACCACCTCTTTCTCGGTTTTCCTCTTCCTCTTTTATTTTTTATCATTAAGGTGGTAAACATAAAAACTATGAAAAATTATTAAGTATAATTTTAAAATTTCTTTAGGTAGAGGATATGAGCCAGATCAGCGATCTGGAACCCCAGTATCGGAGAACAATCGACCACCATCAGTAACGTTCACAGTACTACCAGATCCAATGAGAAATCAGACATTCACGCCTGCTCAAGCATCTGAATTACAACAACAGCAGCAGCAACAACAACAGCAGCAGCAACAACAACAACAACAACAACATCAACAGCAACAGCAACCCCCACAAGCAACAATTACTTATCAGTCACAACAACAAATTCCTTCGTATTGGATACAGCAGAGTAGTAGTCCGCAAGAAAATACCATTACTGGTACACCACCTCCTAAAGAAGGCACTTTACATTATGTTGATTAATATCCTATTATTTATTTTTGGACTAAAATGGAAAGACTACATTTTTTATAAATTTTATTTTAATTTAAAATATTTCTTAAGTCTATTTTTAAAAATAAAATGAAAAATCTGTTTTTATTATCATTTATTATTTATGAAAAACAGTTATCAAAAACAATTAACAAATATTTTCTTGTGTATAATAAATAATATATTAAATTTAAAAAAGATTCCGGCAAATAGGACAAGTGGATTTGTTGCTTGTTACAAACCATTTATACTGAAACATTTTGGTTATTGGAAAATTAATATTTAACATGACTTTGGATTAAATATTACAATAATAATACTTACTAAACATGAACTATGGAACTTTTTGTGACATGTGCGGCAGGCTGATTTAGGCAACTGATAGTTAGAATTATGTAGTATGGAATAGCATATGTAACATTCCTCAACACCATCGAATTTCTGTGAAATATTTAGCTGCCACAATGATATACCATCAATTATTGAACCATTTTGATGAGAAAAAAACAATGCCAATTGTTTTAGCCATAGTTTCCATTGAGACATGTTTATCATGCTTCTGTCGCTGCTTACTCTGATTAAACCCAATGGGTGATTACTAGCCATTTGTATTGTTATGTCCACTGCGGTTTCTTCAATAATATAGGACACTACAAGAATACCTCTATTCTCATACAAGGTTACCTACATTGTTAAACAAAATATATCAATCGATCTTACTGTTTTTGCAACTATAAATAAATTAGAGCATACCACAATGTTATCAATTTTTTTTGCTTGTTTTATATCTTGGAACTCTTGAACAATCAAACTCTGTGACACATATTTAGTTGTGAGCTTATCAACCAAAGTAGACACTTTGTGCTCGCTGTCGACCCACCATTTACGTACAACTGCAGGTAATGTGTGTAATAAGTTATAGTAAGTCCAACATACTAAGTGCCAAAGTTTCTTGTTATCCCAGTAGTCATTTGATGAACACGAAGGTTCCAAGTTGAATAATCCTTTGATAATCGGATTGACATCATTACTAGCATAAGTCTTAATAATAGAATGAGGCATTAACTTCAGCAGGTTCTCGGTCAAGCAAGAAATAGAGTTTTCATCGCTACAAAAATATGTATTTATTAAGTACTCATTAGAAACATTTTTTTAAAACAACTATTACACAGTCTTACTTTAAATGAGAAATGTATTTATATCTTTCTTGAGATTCGAGTTTTGAACATAGCTTAAATATTACATTCCACAACAGTAAGTATACTCTAGTGTTTTTGAAATTTTCTGTAAAGGGGATGGGTTCATACGTGTTTCCAATTCTGAAAAAAAATTGAAAATGTAGAAAATCAAAATGGACGTAAATTTATTTATCAAATCCGTACTTAATATCTGCTAATTCAAGTGTGACAAGGTTTTGAAGTCGTTGCAATGGTAGTACACTCAGTTCAAACGGTACTTCATCAGATTCTTCATCTGTTTCGACACTCACTTTATGACATTCACATAATCTATTATGAAATGAATATTTTAATTATGTTGCAAAATAATCAACTAAAAATTCTATACACAAAATATTTACAAGGGATGAAAAATTATAAATTGTTGTAATAGCTATAACAAAAATATAAATTTGGTTTTCTCATTATATCAATGGGCAATGAAACAAAAATTAATTTAATTAAGTATACACAATAACTTAAATGACAATAAATGTGTTCAGCAGAAAATAATTTTTCCTTTTACCTTAAAGTACTTACTTTTGTAAAATAGTATAAGCCGTAATTTCTATAGCATAACAGTCTGAACATATTAATTCGCAACACAAACTAAACATACATTTTTCATCAGTATTCTCCAATTCTACGTGTTCTATTAAATTGCTGAACGACTCCAACACCAATTGCTGTGTGATATCATCCTTATATCGTCTTGATAGTTTTGTCCAAATGTTAGCCATGTATTTGTGTAAAATTTTAGTATCCGTTTTAAATTTTTTCATAGTTTCACAGGATGGGTCAATATTTTTATAGAACTCTTGATTGTAGAATTTCATAGTATTTGCAAACAATGAACCAACATTAATAGTCAGTATTCCAACTGGTAAGAATGTAACATTATCAAAATCTACTGTCGTCAAAGTCAGAAGCCAAGAATTCAAACGATTAAATATCAGTTTACTGTATTTTAACTGTATTGATGAATTTGCCCGTGTGTAGATAATATTCAAGCATTCAGCATTTCGCACCGCTTCAACAATTTTTTTATTTTCTGTTAAGCATCTACAAAAAAGTGTAACCATAATATTTATGAATTCCCAGACAGGCTGTTCATTAATTTATACATTTAAAACCCTACACCACTGCATACACTCTTTTTGTCATTTTTCTTACCATTTCTTTCGCCTTGTAATGAATAATAAAAAAGTTTAATATCTTACTAGTGATTACGCTAATGTACAAGGTGTTTGCCTATTCTTACCTTTCTTACTGAGAACATCCTATGTAATGTAGAGTTCCACAATAATTGTAATATAAATATAATATTAAATATATTGTAATATAATTTTTTTGTCCACGCTTTAAGGTTTTTAATTTAAAAAATTAGTTTTTGACTATGCATAAATGCAGTGTAGGGATAAAGGGTTGTTACTTACTCAACATCATTTGTCAACAACTTCTCTTCAGATTCCAACACTCTTTCAAATTGAGATATTAATGTTTCATTAATATCTGCTCTTTTAAAATGCCCATTCCAAATACAACGTGTATTAGGCAGTGTCAGATGATCATATTCCAAGTTGCCCATACCACACAAATAAACAAATATCTGAAAAATAAAATTTTGAACGACACATTTAATTGATGCACCCTATACAATGTTAAATTCAATTTTCTAAAATGACTAAATAAACATAAATAATCAGTCAAAAAAATAAAATATGTACACATTGATATACTGTTTTTGTATAAATTAATGCTTAATTTAGTGATAATCATAAAACTATAATTTTCAGTTATCTTTACACTATTTACACGACTTGAGGTTACTCCCACTTGGATGTGGGAGTACATTGAAGTGGGAGTAACCTCAAGTCATGTAAATAGTGTAAATATAATACCCCACTCAAGTTTGAATAATTTTTCAGTTATCTGTTTTCATAATATCTTAAATAATATGAACACATTATACAAGCTTTAACCAATTTCTAATATAAGTATTATGCATAAAAACATTGAGCAGATTTATAAATATTTCAAAATCACAACCATGTCTAATAATATTGTAATTGTTTAGTATGTTACCTGTATGACGTGTATCATATTTGGACTATCGCTATACTGTGACAATGAAGTTTTATACAAATTTATCAATTCTTCACTAGGCAATGAAAGTATATCTAAAATTGATTCTAATGATTTACTCCAGTATGCACTATCTTTAATAGTTCTGGAATTAGGTACATTTACATTATTTATATGATATTATCGTAATTGCACATGCTAATAAACTGTTATAATCATAATGATTTCTTACTTTTCTATGATATTTTTCACAATATTTGTAGCAACGTTTTTGGTCTGCGATTGTAAAAGTTCAGCAACACATGTTTTAGTATCATCAACAATGCTACTAATCAGTTGGCAGCAATATTTCCTCTAATTACGGTTGATCATTAGTTATAAAATAAAGTTATTTGTAGATTAAGTTTTCCATACTCACATTTGAAAAATATTTTAGAACATCCACTATTATGTTGACATTACAAACTACATTAACCATAATGTCAATAAATTCTTGATTCACATCTTCCATTTGATTTGATAAGCGTTCAGTTATGTTGAAAAATTTCATTATCAACTTTGAAAAGATGTAAGTATGCGAGTACAAAGCATACACTGTGTCAAAACATTCAGTTGTGTAATCAACAGTTACGTTACTACTTCCAGAGTACAATAATGATCCATCAAAATATGAAGCCAATTCACAACATTTAACTATTTTTTCATAGTCTTTGTTTTGTTTAAACAATTCATAGAACACCAACGAAGGAATATTTTCACATTTAGTGCAGGCCAACAGGTCGTCAACAAACTGATCTACTGTACTTTCTACATGTTCTATGTGGTTTTCAGTAGTTATAACGTAATCTATTACAACGGAGCAACATCTGTTCACTATTTCCATACTGTAATTATCTAACATATTATTTAATATAATTTTCCATGTTTGGTTGAGTTCGTGTTGATCTCTAGATTCTCCGTCCAATGATCTTTTCAAGTAAGTACGGATTAGACACTCTAATGAGTCAAAAATAAGTTTCAAATGAGAATTTAAAAATTTTTTATCATTTAAATTCTTCTCAAATATTTGTCTTAGCATGATGACTATTGATGGACTAGGATTTTTACAAACCATGTCTAAAAGTATATTGGTCCATCTCTCGCATACTGTATTTTCTGAAAAAAATACAACTTACTGAATAATTCATTGATAATGTTAATTATTTAAACAATAAGTACCTTTAAGTTTTAAACAGTTTACTAGTAAATTTAATTTACTATCATCTACTTCTTGATCAATAATGAATTTTTTAAACTCGTCTTGCAATGGTGCAGTTTCTAACCAATTACAAATAACTTCAGGAACAGTATACCCTTCATTAATGTACCTCATTATTTCTTTAAGCACAACACTTAATCCAAACTAAGTAAAAAATAACTTAATATTAGTTAACACCTATTTATTATAGTTACATTAAAAGTTTGTATATTACCGAATTCAAGTCTTCAGTTATAATAATTTGTTCTGAAGAATCATCAATACTTTCCAATAATCCGATAATCAACGATATCAAATTATATGTTAATATTTTGTCATCTTTTAACCAGGTTTTTACATAAGATTCGTATAATTTATATGAAGGTGACACTTTATCGTTTGAAACTACCAATGTTTTTGACAGTTTTTTTTCGATACCATAATTTTTGAACGCCGATATCACCTGGCACACGTGGTTTGCATGCAAGTAGCCAACTTCGGGACATGATGATTTATCTAAATAAAACTGCAAAAGTTCATGTACAAAATCTGCTAAATCATTTTTATAACTCTCATTAAACAAAGGTTTTGCTGGTTGAAATACATCTCCCTTTTGTTCTTCAAAAGTCACCCTTAGATTTTTCTTCTTTTTAATTTCTGGACTTTTTAAATGATTTAACATGATTAAATGTACATGCAATTGATTTTGTATATTCTCAGTGATAATTTCTTTATTCACTCCATCAATCAAAATGGTGTTAAGATTACTCCATATGATAAGTTTTAAATTGTGTAATGTACTATCATTTGTCAAAACTTCGAGTAGTATTGTCAAGTGAGATATAACAGGAGGCGTCATGTTTTTTGCCAACTTTCCAGCCAGACTAAATTTAACTATATTAATAACCTATTGTTGTAAAACAGTACACATCAACTTTAATAATACACTAAAATCCCTTATCTAGATTACTAAGTTTAATAAATGCATACCTCAAAAATCATACATTTACAAAATGATTCATCTTGATGATTATTTTTTAAACAATATATAATATAATCAAAAAGAGTTTCAACACCAGTTATAAAATTAGTTCGATCAAACCGTGTAGACATTTTTTCCAACCTTGACCATCAAAAAGAATAAGATTAATTTAACACTTTATTAAGATCTTTTTTTATATAAGATATTTACCCTTGTACAATCGATGTTACACATTTTAAGTGAAACTCTGACATAGTCATGGATGTTATAATTGGATCATTTTTGCATAAATCTAAAATATTCGCATAAGCTGATGATACACATCCTTTAGAGCATGATAATACTTTCCATAGCTTTGGAAGGAAAATTTTTTCAGCGTTTGTATTAATCCAAAATGCATTTAACTGAAAAAAATAGTACATATTATTAAACGTACTTTGAAATTATTAAAATAATAAATTATTAATTTATTTCCATTTGATAGAGCTGTTATTATTATTACTCGTAAGACATTCTCGACCGCGAGTGCCTAAGTGTTGAATTGGTTAAAGTTAGCGTTAACACACTGCCACTTTTATACACTCGGCCACTCATCCTCCTAAATAGTTGGCTTTCAGTGTTACAAATTACTATATAGTTATAAGTTAAATTTTGTGGTTTTTATTGTTATACAAAGATAATTTTGAAAATGTTAAATATGGTGCACATAATAATAGGACAATAGAATGTCATGTGATTCCTATTTACGAATATGTTTTATCATAACTTAATAATTACTTCAGGTCTTGAAAAAATAAGAAGAATATTTTTCCAAATTGTCAATGAAACTGTAACATTATCCTCATCAACATTATCAAAAACAGCAAAAGCCACTTTTTTACATTCGTCTTGAAAAAAATGTTGCAGTTTATCAAGTACAGAATGCATTAAGGTATACCAAGCCTGACGAACCTAAATTAAAAATGTAAATAACATTATAAACATTCAATAATTAAATAAAAGTATACAATAAAAATAACAAACACTTGGAGTAGGATGTTTGTTCAGTTTCCAATAAGTGGAATTATTAAGTAACGATAATTTTAATTCACTCTCAATATTAGTAACATGTTCTTTAGGAAGAATATCTAAAAACATTGCAGTTGCATACAAACAGCTGGTTGCCGTTCTAATTTGCATTTCTTTTATTTCATCAGAGTCACCCCTAAAATGAAGATATAAAAATAAAATTATAGAAAAAAATGTATTGACACTGCATACAATGTGCAATGGATGTTGCCTTAACAGGTTCAGCACCAGCAGACACCGGTGTTGTTTTAGTTTAATTCTCCTAGGCCATAATGGACATTAGAGTACGCCTGAAATCTGATAAGTAATATAAACCTAAACTGAACCTAACCTAATTGTATTATAAAATGATGTGTATAACATTAAAAAGTTACGGTGCCCGCTGAACCTGTTAAAACAAAAAATGTGTTCATACTTAGTATTTAATAAAACTGGGTTAGTTATATTGTCAATTAAATAATCATAAATTTCTTTTTGGCAAAAAACAACAACTTCTGTTCTCTTCTTAGGAGGAAAAGTGTTCTAAAAAAAAAAAAAAACACAATATGTATCATATTATTTATATTAATTTATCATAGGTACACATAAATCTTAATAAGTGTAAGAAAATATAAAATATTATAAATAATTAGTACAATTAGCTTAGTAAGGTTAAGCAAAATAAAATACCTCGAATGTAGATGTTGCAACAGATGCAGTTGGAGGGTGAGTGTCGAATTGGGCCACAAACCAGTACGCAAAAAATCTTTTAAGAAATGGAGCTACATTACGATGAACACGGTTCAAATAGGATCTTAAAGATTTTTGAGCACCTTCTCTTATTCTTGGCTCATTATCCTTACACAAATTTACATACTGACTGATCCAAAGAGCTGATACTTCTTTAACTGTATCTTCGTCTTTAGTATCGCATAGAGAAGCAAACTCTTTCAAGGCCTAAAAAGTATTTCGTTACTTATAAAGCAAAAGGTCGTTAACGACATTTTTTGTAACTTTATAGGACAGCCAAAATAAAAATACAGTACTTCTTCTGTTGGGAAATTAATTAAAGTACTAATTTTTATATTAATCCATTTATTTATCATATATTATTTAAACTGTCGTTTGTGCCTAACAACGTTTGTTCACTACTGACAAACTTTATAACCGTTAAATATTTAAACATAAAATAATCGTAACAATATGAAAGTCGGCAAAATCGATAGAAAATCTTGGTGTTGACGCCAATATATTAAAAACTCATTCGTTTACGACCTTTTGCTTTATAAGCATCGGTTTGTTAACAGACGTCCTATAAGTACATATAAATAAATAAATGAAATCATTTCATACTTTAAGTTTAGTAGTGGAATCTTTTTTATTCATTTTTTTTAAAACCACTTGGAAATCTGGACTGACATTACAATCAAGTATATCTGCAAATAACTTGAGCTTATCCGGAACTACTGAATATGAGTCACTTGTATTCAATAACAACTGGGCTCTAGCGCTGCTTGATGGCTAAACAATATTTATAATTAAGAATTTGTATTAATTATATCGTATCAAAGCCATGAAAATAATTACTTTATAGTTATTCTTCACTCTTTGAGCCACTTGTTTTTTACCCATTGTTGATGAAACTGTGGTCTTAAAAATTTGTATACATCTATTTCTTTAATATAATAATAAATAGTAAGTGTTTATACTGCTTTATGTATAGTTAATACCGTTATACACGTCAAATATAAAAATTCAGCAACTTATTGGTAACGTATATCGTTTAGTAATCCTAATCAAAATTACAAATTGTAAGATTAAAAATGAGAAAATGAAAAACAAATTTATTATTAAAAGTTTTTGATATCATCAAATCGGGTTGCTACCACTATTCCCAAATTGCATAAATGACAAGTTTCTTATCAGTGGGCGGATTTTTTTACTGATACAGACAGCGCGGCAGCAAATACTATTTATAGTATTTGGCGGCAGGTACCCGGGTGTAGGGTACCCGCTCGGCGCCGTGCCTTCGCTCCGCTAAACCAAAAACCGTTTAGGTTTGCAGCTCCAGTCTATGATGACGTTACAGATTTATAGTTATGACTTATGTTAAAAAAATCTGGTAATTGGAAAAAATTGTCCTTGGTAACTTATGCAATTTGGGAAAAGTAGTGTAATCCCACGGATTATACCATTTTATGTAACATTTTCTCAGCTTCCTAAAAAAAATATTAAACAAATTCTTAAATTTTGGGCAACACAAAAAAAACAATTATTTAGAATCTAAATTAAATTTTAATGACTACACGAAAAATATATCAATATTTTTTTCAGAAAACTGAGATTATTTTATAAAAGAAACTGATTTATAATCATTTTTTTGATGACCGAAGATATTATGGAAAAACTATAAAAAGAGGTCTAGAAAAAAACTAAAAATTATTTTTACGAAAATGGTCAACATTATCCAAAAAAATTTGAGAACATTTTTTTCATACTTCATAGTAACAGACATAAAATGTTATAAATAATTTTCAAAAAAATCATTGTATTGCAGATAATCACATTTTATTGAAATTTTTATACTTCTCCATAGCTGTTAAATATATAAGGTTTCAGGTGTGTATCCAAATTCGTTTGAAATTTAACGCAAGTCTTTAGTTTTCTCCTAATAACATTTCATGCTGATTTTTCTCACAACCCTGGTCAAGATTCCGGAGCAGTGGTTAAAAATGTTATTTTTATACAAAATAGGTATCCAAAAGGCTATTGTCACCATTTGATCAAGTAAACATAGGACTAATATATGGGGAACAAGTTGAAAAACCAATAAAATTATAGGAATCTAGAGAGCAAGAGAAGAGAGAAATAGAGTTCTAGTGAGAGAAGTATTATTCAAATAAGCCACATTTTATATTATGTTTCAATATGAGGATATAACTAATATTAGTACAACTAGTTAAAAGTAAGTGCTAATATAAAAGTAATTTTTAATTAGTAATACTAAATAGGTTTTTATGTAAACACAATAAATAACTTATATTTATGTTTTAACAACTTATGTTAAAACATATTTATAATTTAATAATGATTTCCATGTTTTACATATTTCGATCTTCAGGTTTTTTATATGGATAATCCAAATACTCAAATATATCTTCTTCACTCTGAACTTCAACAGGCTCACCTGGTACTCCTATTGAAAAAATCAATACCAATGATTAAAAAAAATTGTATTTTAACATTTTTAATTTCTGTGACAAGCTACATATTATTTGTGAAATCTACATTTACCAGTTGAACCAATAGGTCTTAACGTGTACTCATTGAGTGTAAAACCTTTGCTTAAGGCATGATCTCTCATTTCTTTATTAAATATATCACTTCCCGTAAAATAGAGAACTGAACAATAAAACTGGTCATATGGATTCAAGCGAATATCCAAACGCCTTGATAAAGTTCCTACTTTACAAACTCCCTAAAACCAAATATAAATTATAGCAACTTGGAAAAAAAAAAGTTATTTTGCATAAAGATTTGTAATACCTACCATAAATTTTGTTTCGCCCAAAGAAATTGTTTCAGTAATTAAATTATTTTTTTTCAAAACATCTACAACCATATGTAATTTGTTGTTTTTTAACTTTTTTGATTCATTTGAGGTAAATGCTGGATGAGTAATTAAAACATCAATATCTCCACTGAAATCCTTTCCACGTCTAGATAAAAAATTAAAATGTTATAGGTAAAAAACATTAAAAAGCTAGGCATTCGTTTAACCCACCTATAGCTCCCACAAATTGTAACCTTAAATTCTGAATCTATACTAGACAAAGTACTGTTAATGATTTCCTCTACATTTTTTATTTCACTCCTTGGAATTTTTGTTTCAAAGTCATCTAAATATCTAATAAATAGTATTAAAAAATTAGCATAATAGTGTTTTTAACAATATATACTACACTAAAGTATAAGCAAAAGCAAGGAAGAAAGCTTAAACAAGTTCTAAAGGATCCGATCCAATGTAAAATATTTTATAAATTATGATTATTGACAAATAAAATAAAATATAAAGTTTCCATACAAATAATATATTGGCGTTATAGCTTAAGTAATCCATTTAGGGCCTTTGCTACCAAATCCTCCAGGGATGAGGTTCCATAAAAAATTTGTATATTCTAGGAAAAGTTGTTAGAAATTCTCTAGAATAAATGATTATGGATAGTAAAGATTTAATAAATTTAATTATTTTTTTTAGACTTATTTTCTTAGTTATTTAATTAAATCACTAAAAATAGATAATAAAGGTTAATTTATGAATTAAGACGTTTAGTAAAACTGTGAATGAGGAAACATATAATAATCTGGTAGATTAGTAAAACAAATGTAGTTAAAAAAAGAATCTATTAAAATTATTTTTAATATTATACAACAATTAACTTAATTAAGGTTAAAACAAGAAAAGAATAATATAAAGATGTAACAAATATATTTGTATTCCTTGTTGATACAATTATTAGCTATACGAACTATATAACTTCAATCAAATTTTATAACTATTTTACTGGTGAAAATATTCTTCCCAGAAAAAATTCTAACATTTCGTAGAGTAGTCTAGTTATAATCATTTTTTTTTTTTTTTTGAAAAGAAATACTTCCTACGGATGCATTGGAAATTAATTTTTGTTTACTTTACTAAAAAACCGAAAAAAAGGAATAAAAATTAAACAATTTTTTTTTAAATAAGTAAAACTTGTATGTTCATATTATAAAGGTTATAAATATATTTTCGAAAATTGAAGTCAAATACATTTTGTAGGAAATCTTCCTTAAATACAATTTTTTTTTATTGTTATCACACTATTTTATAAAGCGTGAGAGTTTTTCTCATCTTATAAAACAACCAAACGGTAGCGCGGAAGCCCTTTAAATATTATTAGATAGATATAAATAAACATACTTTAATCCCAACTTTTGGTGGTGATTGAGTTTGTCTACATTATTAGACAAATGATTAATGTTTGTAATACCCAAATCATATAATTCTTTTGCTTTAGCTGGACCAATACCACTAACTCTAGTTAGCTCTTTTATGGCTGTTGAAGAATCATCACTTCTAATCTTTAATGTAAATAAATTATACTATATTATTTATTTATATATATATATATATATATATATATATATATTGACATTATCAAATGTAGTATATGTTAACTAATAGTACATTTTCTAGTTTCCTTAATTTGCCAGTTTCTAAGAACTCGTCTATTTTTTTTGAAATTTTATCACCAATTCCATCAAGTTTGCGTGCTTCTTGACCCGATTTGATACGGTAAGTAAGTTTTGCTAATGTGCTCGCAGCTTTCCTATAAGCATTATATTTATGTATGTTACGCACTACATTTTTTTCATAGTCTGCCAATTCTATATGAAAAATGTTCAATATTTAATTTAAGTGTTTCAAACACATTAAGCGTTACATTTTTTAAATGCCTCACCTGTTAAAAACTCACAAAAGTCATGATTCGGATCACTATCGTCGCTAGGGGCTTTTCTCTTACTCATTTTTCAAGATAGAACAAAATATCAAAAGCAATAGCACTTATCTACAAATAATTTTTCTATTTAAGATCTATCTTAAACCATAGTTTTATTGGTTATTCGTTATTAATTAATAATAATTTATAATATAAGTATTACATTAGTGGGCATTAGAACTTATATTTTTATTTAATTGTATAGTATTTTTATTATAATAGTATAGTATTCATATTAATTTTTTTTATTACGTAATATGTAAGTATCATAATATTGTTATTTGTTATATGATCATGTAGAATTTTTCAATTTAGATATATTATCATGGTACACATAACATGTGTTTTTACGATGCCTGATAGCAAACACTATAAATGACATTTATAATATTTGCTGATAATCAAAAATAATATTGTTATCACTTCTCGTGCCATAATAATTTGATTTCAACATGTTGAGAACCAATAACGTCAAAAAATGTAATCTATTGTTGTTATCACATACTCCTCAATCCCAAATGGCCAAATCCTGATTGTTACAATTCAGCTCATTTGATACTTGTTAGTTGTTAGTTAAATACGTAGTAGTTTTAGTTTTAGTGGATTTCCTCGAGTCTAAATTGTTGACTGCCCATCCGGAAATTGAACGCAAGTAATGTTTAAAAATAAGTATTCTATTCAAAGGTCGTGACGTTTACCTTAACTGTCGGTTTTATCAAATTATAAAATGTCGTTTTGAGTTTTAAAAATGACAGTATTGTAATAAGATTGGTTTCGATATGGCTCACTGGACAGCTTCCACTACCGAAAATTGTATGTTTACTTTTACCACTTTGTAATTGTTCGTAATTACATTATTTATTTTTTGTTGACATGTTTCAGCTCCAAAAATTCCCAACAGACCAGCGCCACCGCCTCCAAAAATTAATAAATCTTTGTATGTAAAATTGTACAATAATATATTCCAGCCTTATATGCATATTATTATCTATTTTATAACTACTCTATAATTACATATTTTATTCCGCAATAGGTCACAAACAAGATTAGCTAAAGTATTGTCATTGAAACAGTCAAAATTGTTGAATGGGTTTCAACAGCCCGTAAAGAAAAAACCTCCTCCTAGACCCCCACCTCCAAAATGTATCCAACCATTGAAAAATCAGGTAGTTTTTTATATTATATACTTATAATTTATTTAAATGGTATTTACTATTAAATATTGAACAATATTATGACATGTAGTTATAGTTATATCATGTATAGTTATAAATCCATATTATCAATTAGCATTAAAATATCTAAATAAGTTGTTTAAAAATAAATTAAATAATGAATGAAACAACAAAATGGTCTATATAAAAACTGTGTAATAATAATATGTAAGTTGTGACATAATGTATTATAGTTTATCATATAAACTGCTTACGAAAATTAAAAATATAATTATGTATAGAAAAATTCTGATTTTTTATCTGAAGGATAGTATCTATTATTTTTTTTCCTAATTACTAGAAATTATACGTAGTTAAAGAACTACTACCTAACTTTAATATTTATTATATTTAATTATTGTTTTTCTTTTATAGAGTAAAAGTGGTTTAACATCATTAATTGGATTTAAAACAAAACATAATGTACCTACACCTCCTTGGGTAGGAAAACAAAATGAAATAGCAACGTCCTCTAGTGTTTCTCAGGTGGGCTGCTTAATAGACCTGAGTTCACCTCCGACCTCTCCGACATTGACGCACAAGTTTGTATTTACTACAAATTTTAAATTACTGAGCTTATTATTATTATTGTTTTAATAGATCTAGTAGCGATGGAAACAGTGTAGATAGTTTCAGCAGTGACTTTGGGCCTTGGAAGGAATCTCAAGCAGAGAGTAGTGGTTTTGAAGATGATTTTGATTTATTATCTACAAATGGAGATATGGATTATTTCAAAAAACCATTTTTATTTTCTCAAAGTACTGAACTATCACCACCACCTCCATCTTTGCCGCCACCTATGTTACCGCCAGATGCATTAAATGTTTTATTAAATGGCCCTAAATTGCCTCCTCGGCCTATTAAATACGTAAGTTAAATAATTTATACTTTTAGGGTCAATTGGTTGTTGATCTTATATTTAGATATGAGTGAACAATTAATGAGTAACACACACAAGTTTATATATTATGTGTACCTGCTAGAATTGAAAGACAATAATAACTACAAAAATAACACAAGTTTAGTTTTTTTTAGGGCCAAGCATTTTTTAATATCCCTGGAATTATTGTGAAATTTTTAAAATACAAAATTGTTTCATTCTCACTGTCTTGGCGTGTTTTCTTATTGTTAAATGATTTTATTGATGCATTTAGTTACTTGTTTTAAAATAGTTTAATTAATAATAATAATGTTGTATATATATATAACAAATAATATATATAATGGGTTTAAATTGTATAATCTACTAAAATCAATGAATGATGAATCATTTTGAAAAGCCCTGTATCTAATACAAATTATTGCAATGTTATATTAGTACTTTGACTTTTTTTGCATAACATGTTTTATATACGTTCAATACTTCAGACTTTTTATATCTATATAAATTACATGTACTTGTTTAATTTGTAGTCGAACTTATCATCAGAATCACAGTCAAAGTGTGTTGCACAATTTGATTATGTATCCAACCATACAGATGATTTAGCTTTTAAAGTAAGATTTTCATAACAATATTAATCAATTTGACAACTTTTGGTATTAAATTTAAAAAAATGTTATGTTTGCTTATAGCAAGGGGATGAAATATTGTTAACACGTAAAATTAACGACGATTGGTTAGAAGGTGAACTAGATGGACGTAGTGGTATGTTCCCCTCAAGCTATGTAAAAATAACAAAAGCTTTACTTGAAGAAAATGGTATAAATAAAAAATGCTATAAAGTAGTAGCCGTATTTACATTCAAACCTGAATGCTGGGAGGACTTAAGCATACAAGTAAAGAGTTAAATTAATTGGTTCAATCAATAAACAAATAATATGTAAACATGTTTTTTTAAGGAAGGTGATGAAATTCAAGTTCTGAAAAGAATTAATAATGATTGGTTGTATGGAGAGTGTAATGGATTGAAAGGCCAATTTCCGTCCAATTTTGTTACAGAACTTCCTGACGATTTGTGATATAAAAATAAATGCACTCAATATTACCAAAATTATTATTTAAGAAGCATTAAGAATAATTAATATGTGATAATTGTTTTGATTTAAAAAAAAAAATTATGTCAAAAATATTTTTCGTGTGTACCGAACAAATTTGAACAATCTTTAATGCTCAATGTGCGAACGAAACAGGGTAAACCAAACCTAAACAAATTAGAAAAAATATATTAGTTTTTATTGAAACCTGAAATGCTTTTGCATATATTACTTGGGTTAAAATTGTATTACTGTATGATTTTTATCAATTTATCTTAAAGCCATTATTTATATTATTTAGATAATCTATTATTATTATTTTTTAAACATTATAATCTAGTTACTATGTGCATTAAATTGCATAATGTATGTATACCTTTTATATTCTCTCAAATGAATTGTAACATTGCATATCTAATTAAATACACTTTTTTTGAATAATTTTGTTTGCTGGTTAACTATGTACAGAATTTTTATTTTTTTCATAATAATTTTAAAGGTTTTGCATTTTTATTGAATAACTAGTAAAATCTGCTTTCAAATTTTGAATGAAACGGGTCTAAAGTTCAGTTTAGGTAATTTGTTACAGCACTACACTACACATTAACATAATATTGTATTCAAACTTTAGCTTAAAAACAACTATTGATACTATATAACTACGATTATATATATTATATAACATTTATTGGAAATAGTATTTACAACTTAATTATAAACAATAAAATAATACACATAAACATTGAAATACAAAATATTTATAATTTTATACACGTAATATTATTTAAGAATTAAGCCTCAAAATGCTATGTTTTGGAAGCATTGATGTCGGATACTTTAACAGAAAGAAAAATCATATAATTTAACTTATCAGTAATTTGTTCAATAAACACTATCATTTATATAGGGATAAAGTAGTTTTAGGTGATGCTGTCATGTAAGAAATATAAATTTACAATTATAAATATATACATAAAAAAAAAAAAGATAAATATATATAATTTTTAAGTACTAAGTTGAATTAACATAAACTGGCCTAAACAATTGTTTAAATTTGTTCGTCTAATTGACATCTGATAATGGGACTTAAATCCTAAACGTAAATGATATAATTGATAATGCAAAAAATTAACATGTCAAAAATAACAAGAAACGAGAAAGCACATTATTAAGTACCCGACGAGGGTATCACAAAGATTCATATCACATAATGAAAAAAAATACAACTTTAAGATTAAAGAAAGACTACAAAAGCCTCAAATTTATATGTATATATAAGTACATACATATTTAAATTCATTGATCTTGAAATAAATTACTCATTGTTGTATTTAAAACTAATAAACTACAATAAAAACTAATTCAATTTCAATCTTTTGTATTGTTTTATTCATGTTTTTTTTTTTTTTTTTGAGCAAAATTTAGATTATTTGTGTATAGTTTCAAGGAGATGAAATACCAACCAATTGTCCAAAATAGTACCCGGTAAATTGAAGTTGGATAATTTTTTTTTATAGGTTTATGCACATGGTGGCCTTATTCGAATATTGAAGTTCCAAAATAATTGAGAATACACAATTTATTAAGTCCGTTGAGTATTAATTTAGTCTGGTTTGTAAATTGGTATTTTTGGAATAAATTCCACCAAAAGTACCTAAAAAAAAAAAAGTTCTATTAAAAATATATGAATGCATTTTTTACATGAGTTTTAAACATTAATATACAGAGTCATGAATTCATGCCCCACCTAATTTTTCAATAATATACTAAAATAATTACCTATGTAAAACATTTGTGATTTTTATCTAACAATAATAATTTTAAGTTTTTGTATTTTTTTTTCCAGTCAGAAGCCAAATTAAATGGTGATTATTTTTTTGACTTTTAAATTTAGACTAATTTGATGACAATTTCTTTCAGCTCTCAATAATCAGTTTTGAATTAACAGTTTTAAAGTTATTAAAGATTTAAATTAAGGATGGGAAAAAGGGTGTGGAGTAGTATTACTTTTATCTGTCCACATGACCTAATCACACTCCACTTCCAGTCCTTAATTTTAAACTGTATTATCTTTAAAGCTTATGACTTAAAACTAATTACCAACCAGTCAACAATTTTAGCATTTTATTTTTAATTAAAACAAATGAATTGAATCTATACGTTACCATTTAACGTTTTTTCAAAAGTTATCCCCGTAAATCTTGCTTCCAATTGAAAAAAAAAATAGAAAAACTTAAATTAGTTTGATAAAAATTAAAAAAGGTTTTACATATCATGGGTCATATATTTATAATTTTAGTAATCATTGAAAAATCAGGTAGCCCATGAAATTTTGAAGACCTTGTTATTAAGACTATATAAGTAGTTAAATGTTTTTGTACGTTGATACAGAAATTATTTTGGAAAACAAATATTGGAATATTTTAGTAAGTGGCAGTATTTAATATTAAAATATCAATTTCATCTTAATTTGACGATTATTTTTTCCCTTTTTATAAATCCTAGGAAAATACATAATATATTGATTTACATGGTTACACATGTTAGATAAATACAAACAATAAGATTTAGCTGACTGAAGCCACACATGTAAAATTCATTTATAATGACTGAAAATACAGAATGTGTACATTTTGAAGTATTTGGTCGAGTACAACAAGTTAACTTTCGGAAACACACACAAATGAAAGCAAATCAGCTAGGTCTGAAAGGATGGTGTAAGAATACCAGAAGTGGAACTGTAATAGGTATCATAGAAGGACAAAAAGAATATATAGATTTGATGAAACACTGGCTGAAAAACACCGGAAGTCCCAAAAGCGTAATAACTAATGTTGTTTTTAAAAACCAAAAGAGCGTTTCTAAACCACTTCATACATTTGAAATAATACGTTAGTTTTAATACTTAAGTAATTATATCAAATCTAAAATATTTGTATTTAATAAAACAAAACACTATTATACTATTAAAATGTTGAATCAATTATCATTACTTACATATTCTGTTATTGAAGAAGTATCTACTCTTTGTTTATTTAATCTCCAATGCAAACCAATTTTATGATACAGATGGTTATTTTCCCAATCAAGTAATTTATTTAAACTATGTTGAGTCTACAAAAAAAAAAAAAAATGGATAATTTATAATATTAAAAATGAGTTTTTATGATACCGTTTTCATTAGTTAAATGAATCATTTACCCTTTTGCTGAGGCATATAACTGGCCAAAGTGAACAACCTAGAGTACAGCAACAGCACATGCAACCACAAAACAGCCATTTAGCATTCATTGGTAAACTTTTCTTTAACACAGAATTGATTCGACTCATAGTTTCTTCAAATTCTTCAGGGGCAACACGTGACACCAGGGCACTTGGGAAATCTGATTGGAATCTGCTACTCAGCCCAAAACTGTAAAACAATAATGATATGTTGAAGACAATTTTAATTTCTGTAACAATATTTGGTTGTATTTAAAGACTAGGTATTTCAATTAACATTACATTTAATATAAATTATACTATAATAGAGTTCAACTAATCGTAAGAATTAAAGGCTATCTCATCTGGTTGAAAGATATATTAAAATAATTTCAAAACTGTGTCAACAATTTTGTAAGACTTGATTTATTCATTCTGAAAAACTGTTCTTACTACAATTTCACTGTTGTGTTCCATAATTATAGTAATTTTTTAAGCATTGCTGTTTACCAACAAAATAATAGATGTCATGTAACATTAATTAATAAGTATGTACTATTAACAACAAACAAATTGTTTTAAAAACAAGGTTGTTACATTGTTTTTGTTGCATTGTAACATTGAATATAGATAATATTATTGTTTTGGACAGCGTTTAATACTTGACATACTCGTTATGTATTGTGAGACATAAAACCTATATTACTATAATATTTGTACAAGAATTTTTTTTTTACATGTATTTATTATGTTTATTAATTTTAAATGCTCTCAGTAGGCACTAAACAAGTTGTGGGAGCTCGATAAATACACAAGACATACAGCCATTCAAACAGTTCGATGACCATGTTCTTGTGTACGAGCTGAATCATATTCTTATACCTCCAGAGTTACCCTTGAGATCCAAATTTGAATACTCACACTGTAAGATTGCCAATACCCCGGATAAGTATTGGGTCTTGAATGTGTGTCAGGTATGCTTCATCCATAGATGTGCAAGCAATTTCTTCATCATATCGTTGTATGTCGTCAAATACGGCCATGACATTTGTAAGGAAATAGGCTAGATAGATGACGAGTTAAGGTTAGAGTAGACAGGATTCAGTAACAAACCATCTGACATGACAAAGATGATTTACCAAGAAAAAACCAAACTGCCAGACGTACTTACTACTTGGGTCTCGGTGCGAAGCACAACAAAGGATTTTTCCTGTTTCAATTTTCTTTATGCGGAAAACATGTCCTAGATATAGAAATGCAGTGGTATCAACATGTGCCAAAGAAAAACCATATAGCGATTTACGAAACACAAAAATTATTATTATTATATCTATACAACACAATAAAGCATTAAAATTATATATGAGTAGTATAATGACACTTTGTTAAAATCAGATAAATCATAAAACACAAACTTCACTTTACTACTGCGTATTTTTTAGAACATGTTTTACTATTTTCGATTTTTTAATGATGACATAATTGTACCGAGTGTTCAATTATAAGTGTCTGTTTAAGTTGGTAACATGAATTCTTTTATCTGACCCTTCAACTTTTATCAATATTGTTAATGACAATTATGCAAGAATTCATAATGTAAATATTATTATTAATCCAATATTCTAATATAACACATTATATTCTATTAAGCTTTATAACAACATTTCATACTTCTAAATTTTGATTGGACTACACTGACAGTGGTTATCAGAAATTTAAAACACTAATAAATGGTGCAGTGAAGACATTTGTGCACTTGATCAATATACCATGGATAGAGACAGAGAAAGGTCTCCGGATGATAGCATACCTTTAGCGGACGACGATCCCCAAGGTAAACGGTTGTAATATTTGTATCTTTTATTTATGCATTATAATTACTTAGTTATGATTTGTATTTGTAGTTGTTATTCACGATGACCAAGATGTGTCTCAAAGTTCCAATGTTATTGTACGCAACCAAAGTATGGACTCACTACAGTCCTCGTTTACAAATGGTAGCTGTAGTCCAAGTAGAAATAGTAAGTAGGAGGTTCCTAAATAGGTTTTACAACTAATTCCTGATAATATAACAAAACTATAAACAATTAGGTATTATGTCATTTAAACTAATTGTTCTTATTATTTTATGAATAATATGAAACATTTTAAGCTTTTTGTTATACAAGATTTTTTTTCATATTGTATATATGTATCTTTGTAGTGTAATTGACAATAGTTCCAAATAAAATATTTAAACTGTTTTATTCATAAATTTAACTTGTACTATTCTAGGCCTAGACATGAGCCCTGATGAGTTAGAAGAAAAAGCGAGGCTTATAACTCAAGTTTTGGAATTACAGAATACATTGGATGGTAATTATTATAAATTTTAATTAATTCATCTTCATTTTTTAAAGTTCCATTATTTTTAATTAAATAATACTTTCTTAGATTTGTCTCAACGTGTGGACAGTGTTAAAGATGAGAATTTAAAACTACGATCTGAAAATCAAGTGCTGGGCCAATATATTGAAAATTTAATGTCCGCGTCTAGTGTTTTCCAAACAACGTCCCCTAGAGTAAAGAAAAAATAAACATTTCCACTATAATACAGCAATTACTTGTTTATTGTTTATTTGTTGCCAATTGCCATAAACATTCCAAAACAATATTACGCTTTGATTATACAATGCTTCGAACAAGCATTTCATTTCCTATTAGTTTATTGTATACAATTTATTATTTACAATATTTTAACTAAAAATTCATACAATTTATAATAAATTGTTAATAATGTATAATTTATAAAATGTGAATCAACTACCTAATTTTTTATGCTTTGTTTTTAGTAGTGACTTTATGTGGTTTAATATTGCTTAATGCAAAATATATTTCAACACCTGTTTGAACTGTATATTTTATTTATTTTAATATTTTACGGGCAATTCATCCCATCATTTTATGATAGGTTCTTGTTTTTTAATTTACATTCAACAAATTATCTAAACGATATAAGCTTTAAAGATATGATAGAATTAAAAATGTATATTGCTAAAGTTATTCTTTATTTTTTTTATTTTTTTATTGAAAACTCTTAGCAGCAAAGGCCATTGGGTTAGATTAGATGTTCAATATATACAATAAACATTACATTTGGAAACTAAAACATTAAATACATAACAGTTAGTTTTCTTTATTTTAAATGATCACATAAATCATACAGTGTTAAAAAAATGTATGAGGTAGGTTATTGCTTCAGGCTGAGACCTAAGGGTTTCTGAAAGGTCTTCAGATATTCTGTTATCCGTTCGCAGTCTTAGGTATTTACAACATTCAGTAAGAATGTGTTTTACAGTTAACCGAACCCTACATACTTCACATATTTATTCAATTGTTGTTGAATATGTACAATTATCAATTATGTATATTATCAAATGGTTAAAAATTCTATAGAAAAGACCAAAAATAGTTTGTTGTATTAATTATAGAACATAAATATTAACTAAACACAATTAATTTTGGTGCATATCAAATTTAAAACCTAAAAAATATAAATATCCAAATAAAACAATAAAGTGCAGCTATTAATATTAATCTTTAACTAATAATAATACTTAAAAAATGTAGAGGAACATTAAATGATAGTAACAAAATTAATGTAACCTCCAAGCGCTCGCGTATGCGTACTCTTTAACACCACGACTTATAGTACAAAAATTCAATGGCGGTGTAAACACCACTGCACAATACGCCAATAAGACTTTTTAAGACGCGAATGCTTGTAAGTTAATACTGCTAAGTGCTAAAAATAAAAAGAGTTAGATGAATGTATATTATACAGTTACAGGTAAAAAGTGTGTAGCGTTTTGCCCTCTTCTTGTTAGTGTACCCAATTTAATTTTTCCATTCTTTTTGATTGCCACATACCATTTTTTCCTTTGATATTTAAGAGATAAGTAAGCACTATAAGGCCCTTCTGGCTGTTCAATGAAAATTGTGGAATTTTTGGTTGGATTAGGCTGAAAATACCAATTGGCATTTAGAAATAACATATTTTGCAATAAAAAATCTCATAATTACCTCTCCATAGAGTTTGCTTTGTTTATTCATAGCTAAATATAGGTTGGCTTCTACTCCTTTAATGCGTACGTGTCCTGGGAACATAGATGTGAATTCCAGTATACAAAATTTGTTTGAGCTATCATCAGAGCTGGACACTGTCCCATCTGGCAATATAGCAAGATTATAACCATGTCTGCAATTTAATTTCATTCTTCGACCATAATGTCTGGTTGGGCTGTGCAGTGTTGTGCTTCTATGAGAATCCCACGATGATTGGCTAGATAATATACAACTAATAAAAAATACAAATTATTTTTACAAAAATTACAATCTATTACACATTAACAAATTCAAATTTACTTTTGAGTATCTGTTGTACTGTTTTCTTTAGTCGTTGATGTTTGTTTTATATTTTCCATGATCCATGAATTTTTTTATCGGTAACAATAAAATATTATATGGTAATTTATTGTACTCTTTATTAATGATTGGCATTAACGCATAGTACATACCTTAAAGCATCGCGTTTATTATTTATGCTGTATGAAAATATATATTAGTAGACATTCACTGTAGTAGGTGGATGAACATCAAATATTAATTTTAGTTTTTACAAGATGTTTTGTAGAATGACCATAAGGCACATGCGTGAGACGGGAGTGGGCTGACGTGGGCAGAGCTCCAATGCTAGATTCTAATATTAGTAGGTATCCATATATTTTTCCGGCAATTGGCGACATAATATTTATCATAGGATATGAACTTATACTGCCTATTACCAAAGAATGTCTGGTTTTACTAATAATAGTTATAATAATACGTTATTGTACTTAGTTGTTTTACAGCTTCGACTTGCTGTTTAATGATTGTAGGATTCACGGCGGCGGGACGTCTTAGGGACAATAAATAAACAATTTAATTTTAAGAAAAAATTACAAAAATAAAGCGAATCCCATATTTTGGATTGCCGGCGATACAGCATATTAGTTAAATTTTACGTTGTAAAATGCTTAAGTCAAGCTCTTACGTGCTAAGAAACAGAGTAATAGGAAATTCAATTTGAGAAATGCCAAACGTTTAAAACTTTTCCAATAATTTTTTTTATCTAAAATACTCATGTAGAAATGTCTCGATTTTTAATTGTGTATATATGTACTTAAATGGGTCATTTAAAAAAAATATAACTACGCATTATTTTCCCCCGACTCTTTAAAAAATTTTTAAGACCTACATGACCTTAGGATAGTAGCAATTGACATTAAAATTAAGAAATACCTAGATTAAGTGCTTCTAAAGTAATTAACTAATTAGTTAACAATTTTATAATAACATTGTATCTTATGATAATATTGTATTGAACTCTAAACTCTGCTGTACTCGAATTGGAAGGGAGGAAGACTGAGTACCAAAACTTCTTTTTTCAGAAATCATAGCGTACCCCTACTAATTTTTAAAAGCGGTAGTTTTTTTAGGGGTAAAAAAATGCCGGGTGCGTTTTTTTAAATTTTAAAGTAAAAACATCCCCCTAGTTTTGTTATTCCAATTCGAGCAATTAAAGTATAATAAAAACCTCTATTTAAATATGTTTAGTTGATCAATAATATATATTATATTATTATGTATTACCATGCGAGTACTAACACCACCCAAGTCCTAATTAAATTTCCCAAATTATACAGAAGGCGCAAAAAATCGATTCATTTTATTAGGAAATATCGTTTATGTGGTGTTGGTTTTTCTCCTATTTTTAGTGCTCCGATCATCACGCCATGGTGACCATTCGATCGGCCACGAAAAAATACATTAAATAGGGTACCGAACTCATTTTTGACAAAAAATGATTATTACTTATTAGGCGGTGTTAGAACTCAGTACTCACATCACAATATATTATATTAATATTAGGAATCTGCAGAACTCTTTTTTTCTTGGTAAGTGCAAGATGGATTGATATATTATCACTCCAACTTGGTTCAGTGGATTGTACCCGTGCTCTGTTGTGGAAACTACGTTTTTTTAAATTTATATGATTTCCGGGGGCTGTTTGACAGTGGTTCTCAATTTGTATGATATCAATTATGAAGGCTGTGATATTATCATTCTGAATATTATTGTAATATTCAGCAATCAGCAGTTAACATTCATACAGTACGGAAGAGCTGGAGTGATTTATACTTATCACAACATTATTGTTATGTTATGGAACATGGATAAATTAACATAAATAATAACATTTATATTTTGTGAAACTGATTGGTAAAGTTTATTCTCGTCGAATTTTGCTATCGAAATTTTGAAATTGAGTTTTTAACCTTATAATTATTTTTTATTAAACCAATTATTTTAAACATACATTTTTCAATCGCCATGAAGGTACTCTTAGTTGGTTGTGGTTTGACCTCTACAATAACTGCATATTTATTACGCACGCGTAGTTCAAATGTCCATCTGACTTTATGGGATAAAGCTAGAGGCCCTGGTGGTCGAACATCAGTGCGGCGTGGACCAAATGGAACCTTTGTTGATCTTGGGGCTCAATTTATCACCACAGACGAATGGACGTTAAAGAAATATTCAGACATATATAACTTATTGATTTCTACTAAACATCTAGTGCCAATGACATGTAATGTAGAAGGATTACAAGAGGTACAAGGAGAACAACATTTCATTGCGCCCAATGGTACTAATTCATTAGTAAAGCATTTATTAGATAATGCTAAGGTGGATTCAATTGTATTTGAAAGAAGAGTTAGTTCTATATTGCCATCAGGAAATGTTAAATGTACCGATGGATTTGAACAAATATTTGACTTAATTATTTTGACAGTCCCAGCACCACAATTACTGGAATTGGAATGTCCAATAATATCTTCAGTACGTAGCAATCTTAAAAAAGTTACATATAGTACACGCTTTACTTTTAATATGTTTTACGACAAAAAAATATTGGATGTAAATTGGGATGTTAAGTTCTTGGATGATAGCATTTTTAGATATATTTCTATAGATAACAGAAAAAGAGGACAGCTTAATGGTGCTGATTGTGTCGTTTTCCATACCACTAAAGAATTTGGACAAAAAAATATTAAAGAAACAAAAGATTCTATATTAAACATTTTAAATGATAAAGTGTACGAATTGTTTCCGGATTGGCCACAACCTGTATCTTGTAATGCTCATAAATGGTTATATTCTCAGGTAATTAATCCTTACAATAATACACCTGGCTGTGTTGTTCTAAACAGTGAATCAATACCAATATTAGGTGGTGGAGATTCTTTCACAAAATCTACATTCAATGGATGTATAGAATCAGCATTTAAAATTTATGAAACTGTGGAAAATCTTAATTTGTAAAAATGTGTGTAATTTTAAGTAATTAATTATAATTTAAATTGTAAACAGGGAACAACTTATTATGTATTTAGTCGTAATAAAAAAAAAAAAAACTTGATTTTTTATATACTTTAATTTAATTTTATGAATCTTCTTCTAAATTTAATTCATTAAGCTCATCATCTAAATCATCTAAGTCTTCATCGACAAAAAGATTTTCATTAATTGGGATAGCAGCTGATTCTGCCTCTACAAATCTGGTGTTTGGTAGCCGAGTACCTGTATCATCAACTTCACTTGCCTCGGATTCCAATGCTTCCAACTTAATTTCTCGTACCTGTGAATCGTACAAAAGCAAATATAAGTTCTAATGACATAAAAAAATAAAAAAATGTAATATAAATAAACTTTTTTTTCTTAATTAGCCAAAAAATTATAAGTGTTATACTATTATAATATACAGTTAATTACTCTGAAAAAAATAATACAAATATGATAGTAACATACATTTTCATTTTCATTTTCTTCTTCCTCCTCACGCAAATAGGAATCAAATGCTTCTTCTCCATCATCAATTGAATCACCAATTGCCATTTCAGGATTAAATGAAAACATTTCTCGACCAGAAAGCTATAATTAAAATGTATTTCTAAAATCATAATTGAAATTTTATTTTTATCATTAAAATTATTACTCCGATTTGTCTTCCAGCCTTATAATCTGTACGTTTTTTCTCTTCATCTTTAATAATAGCTTCTTTCCTTTCCTTAACTTTACGCTTTTTCCAAGCCAAAAAACTTTCTAAAGTAACTCTTGTAAATTTAACAGAATTTAAAGCTGCACGTTCTCTTTCTATCAAGTCTTCTAATTGGATTTCATCTTTCTTTTCATCTTTTTTCTTGTCCTGAATATTAAAAAATACAAATATAATTTTATGTAAGATTATTTAATTTAAATTTACCTTTTTAAGAACAAAGCCAGGCGGTAATGCATGCCTATAAATGCAAGACGTTCCATTTGGACACGACCAAAACCATCCATATTTGCTTTTTTCTACAGCTTCCAAGAAAAATTTGCAAATCTAAAATACGATAATAGATATCATAAAATGACTTTAAAAAAGTTTTTACTGTTAAAAATTACTATGTCAGTAGTTGGATGCTTCTTTTCACTTTCCCCATGTTTTTTTTCAACTACTTCTTTCAGTTTTTCATCATCCCAATTTTCCATGGTATCATTTTCATCCCCATCACGCATATCTACATACATACTACGTTTTTCGGCCTTTTTCTCCGTCGCCAAATCATGGGAAAACTTGCATTTTGATCCTTTGGCACACTGACCTTGCTTGTAAAATGCACATAAAATTGATTTTGGATCAGCACCTGAAATATAAATTACATTTAATATTATTTTTGGTTTTATTTGGTAGTCGCAAAATTTGTTGTACACTAAAACAATTGGTTTTTATTTTAAACAATATTATTTTACTTATTTTATATTTTACAATATGGAATATACATGGAAAATATCACTTTTAAACATTATTTCCACAACCCTTTTTTGGAAATCGCTTAGTATTGTTTATGTTGATTTCAATACTGAAATAGGTGTACTCCTCTAGTTCAAAATTATAGCTATTTGACATTGAGAATTATTGTAGAACGAGACACACACATATTAATTATTTTAACTCAATAATTGTTTTTCTTCAACTATCATTTTTGTCAAATTCCTATTTTTTTTCCTTGTTAATTTTAAGGGTGGACCTCAGTTTGGACTTGTTAGGTTGGTGACCGCTTTCAGCAAAGTATCAGGTTAGAATTTTCTTATTCTCATTAGGTAAGCTACTTTGTTCTCTTGGAGGGGTTTGAGTTGGCTTCTACAGATAACAGATATAGGGAGTAACTTAAAATAATGATTATACTATAGTAATGTGCACATACTCATGGTAGAGATTTACAAATAAAGGTAGAACAAAAAAGAGACGAATGCGATGATATGGTGAATGGAGTGAATATAGAAATGGTGATGGATAGAGCGGTTTTGGCTGGCTAACCCTATTTTAATGATGTAAGGTGAAGAAGAATAACTGTACATTGCTTACAAAATGACTCAATTAGAGTCAATCAAAATAGTTTAGTAATGCAACTTAAGATAAAGTTATAATAAGAAAGAGTTTTTATCCAAAATATAAAAGTAGGTCTCTAAAAAAGAACAATATTTAATATTACTACTACCTTTTTCTATTTTTTGTACAGGTTTGAAAATTAGTCCTAAATCATCTTTATCGTCTTTCTTTTTTTCTTCAACTTTTCGTGGTGGTATTCCACCTGATTTGACCTGTTTTTCAACTTGTTGAATAAATCTTTGTTGTTTAGCTCCTTTTTTATTTTTGAGTCCAAACGTTTTATCCTAGAGAACAGATTATGCACCAGGCTAAAAATATCTTGATAAGGTAAAATAATAATTAAACTAAGCAATAACACGTACATACCTAATATGTACTAAGAATAATAACTGTTTTAATTTTTAATACTCACTTCGATAACTTTTTCTTTTTTTTTTTGATCAGCTTTTTTGCTAGTGCCCTGAGCCTTTTTAGGAGGCATCCTTTTAATTGTAAGATTAAACTACCTTCAGAATAAAAATGTGTTGATAAATTTTGATGGTAAGTATACTTTCTACTAACAGTACTAATTACTAAATCGAAACAAGTAACAAAATTAGTTTTTTCAAAAAAGTTCTTGTTAATTATTTAATATGTTATCAAATTTCGTACCATAACCTCAAAATAAAATATTATTTTCATAAAGATATACAACGTTGCCAACTTAATATATTTCAACCTGGGTTACATAATGTGATATCGTTGCTTAAGTGGCAACACCACCTTTTACCTATTATATTTTTCCATCGAAATTAGAATAAATATAAAATATATCAAATAATATTTTTCTCTTAACACAGGCAATTAACTCAAAAAAATCGGTTTCAATTACCATTCCAAAACATATGTATTCAATTATTCAAGTATAGTGTTATTTATTGACTTAATCGTAAATCTGAATAATGAGCTCGCCAGTCGATTCCCTGCTAATTTTTAATAAGAGTATTGCCATAAACTTAATTTACATACTAAATTGTAAGATGGGTAGTGTTGCCACTTAAGCGACAATATTGTATCGGCATATGAAACTTTAAAATGGTAATATCACAGACAACAGCTAATGTAATTCTCTGTGCCCGTCGACCGATTTTATTCTATGGATACGAAGTATCAAATATTATGATTTATGTGGCTGCCCTTCGCATTTTGTGTTGAATAGTAGTCTCTCAAACAATGTAATTTTTTTTTTTTTTTTTACAAAGATCAATAACACGTTAATACTTTGAGAGAAGGATGGGTATTAATGCATCTTTGATTGCATTAGCCTCAAATAAAAGGAATGTATAATATAGAATACTAATAAAAGTATGACTCATAAATGGTTTGAAGGAAACGAGAGATGGAGGTAATATGGATCATACTTGGCAAAATTTCTAAATTTAAAGATATCAACTCAAATGTATTATATTTTAAAGAATAGAAGGGTATTATTAAGTTTTTTTTTTAAATAATTAGTTTTATTGTACATATAATATTTTTACACTATTTGATTTTCAAACATAATAAACAAACTACAATGCAGGTTAATAAGGGTTCTCAAGTAATATTTGTTACCATTCCCTTATTTTTTTTTGCTGCACTCCTGTAAGAATATAATAAGCTTTATCTGTGTGCCTTATACTCATTTGTTTATGCTTTTGATGTGTTTTACACAAATTGTACATTCTTTGGTCACGGGTAACAAAATAACAGTCTTTGCAACGTTTTCTTATTTTTCCAAAAACTTTGAAACCTCTTGTAGAGCTTAGTAAAAATCCAAATAAAGGTGTTTGAACTCCCAATACATTTGGACTTCTATTCATTAACGACACAGGTCTTTGCAACATCTTTTGAAATAAATTACTTAATGCGTTCATTCTGAAACAAAATTATTTATTTATAAATCAGTAATATATATAATATGTAACATAAACTTTAGTGTGTAATGTAATATTGTTTAATAATAAAAATAATATTCACAATCCATAATTTGAAAAACAAATGTGTAAGACCTAAAACCACAAATTATTACATTCTTACTGAATTTAATAATATTTGGTTATAATTATTCAAACTTTCTTATTTAAATAGCAATGTGTTATGAATAAAATTGGAATTGCATGCCTTAATGAAAAAAAGGCGACAGACTGTCAAATATTCTAGCAATAGACTAATGCATGGTTGCCAGTTTTACTAATAATTTATCCTTTCGTCGCTGACAACAAGAAACAAGAGGTATTAGAGAATACCAGCCAGCTGTAGTCCTAAACCAATAAAAATTTAACTATATTAAATCTAAGTGCCAGCCTACGAGGAAAAAAGTAGTGTAAATAAATTTGAATCGCTTATTCAAAAAACTGAATAAGTCACCATTTTTCCAAAAAATGTTTTTTGGTAAAACAAGTTTGTGTATCAATAGAAACAAGTCAAAACTAGTCCTAAAGCCTATAAAATATGTTTTCTGAAATCATTTTTATAGTAGTTATAATTCGACTGTAATCATAATTAAGTGTTTTCCCAACATTTTGTATTTTTGACTTACCTATTTCCTTCCTTGATTAAGCAATTCATTTATCATTTAACATGCATATTTCATGTTTACTAAGATTTAAATAACTTACCTTCTTTATTATACTTAAATGCATATACTCTTGATCGTTATTAGAAAGCACTATGAACAAATTAACTTAATTAATTAGGTAGATTCTTACAAGAAAAAATTATATATTATTATTTATTTTAAAACTACCTCAAACGAATAATAAAATTTACAAATCACAATTCACCAATTGATATGAAAATAATACCAACGCCATATATTCTTGGAAAAGGTGATAAGAATTATTGATATCAATAATTAATTCTAAATACCACAGATGAGTTAAAATTTTATCTTATCTGTGTAAATACCAACATTAGAATATAAAAACTAAAAAAAGATGTTTGATTACTGATGAGAAGACCCTCACAAATTAGCTACTAAATATTAAATTTGGCCCATCATGATAAATAATTCAAACAATAAGAAATTATTTAATTTAAATGTTTTGTACATTTATTAAAAATGAATCAAGAATTAAGGAAAGCAACTATCACGGTTTTAAGAAATGTTCTGAATTATGTACAAAAATTAAGAATTAATGCCAAGGTAGAATTATCCACTGCTATAACTTCCGCAAAAGCTCTTTTGAACTAGTATTTGTACTGTCTGCTGACCCTCGTGACTAAGTGTTATCCATGTTTTATACCATGCGTCTATCCGATGACTCCCCATTATTTCCGAATTACTTAATGGAAAGTGGATCCTCTCTAAATCCTCCTGTGAAATTGGGACTTATTGATCCAATCATTTATGTTAATTCCCTGCTCAGTAGCTTTGAATTACAATTAGCACAGGAATAATCCAACGTTGGGACAAAACCATCAATAATAACACCTAATGTCACAGCCTGGAACAAAACATTGTAGTTAATGCTAGACTCAGCTAAAGATGATAAATCCAAAACAGCAATAATTTTATAGGGTTCCTGATCATGAATCTTTTAAGAACTTCTGTCAAAGGAGCACCCTCAGTAGCTCAGCATATATTCACTAAGTCTTATGCAGCTTATAAATCCTTGTGGTAAAATCTGGTTGAAATCAAACTATTTTATCCCCCTCATAAGAATATCATTACCCATTTCTCTTCTGACTTCAAGAGATTTTCTCCAAATCGTAGTTGTACTTTAGCTGTATTAGTGTATGCATATGAGAAATTGAACGTCTCTAAATCAGCACGTGTAACAGAATTTATAAGTGCATGATGTCTCTTTGCACAATGGTGGTATTAACGCATATAAAAAAAACTAACATTATTACTTATAATGTAAAAAGTTCCTTTAATTAATACAAATTATATTAATACTATAAATATGAGTATTAACATTTTTTAACATTAAATGATTAAATGTCAATAAATAGTTTAATATCAATTAATTGTATGTATAATATATACTTAGTTTATTTAAAAATTAAATTACATAAAAAAAAAAATTATAATCAGATTTTTATTTCCATCATTTTTTTTTTCCATAGAATTCTTAGTAAACATTACAAATAAATATTTTAACATACTTTGAGAAATATAAGTAATACAGGCTAGTTCAAATAAAGTTTTAAAGAACATCCAATTGATAAATACACTAGTATTTAGTTATTCTAATGATAACTATGTAATTTTCTAAAAACTGAATAATACAAATGATTATTGTGTGTTAGTATATTTTTTATAGTAGATATAATTTAAACTACAAGTCAAAATATTAAAGCTTAAATTAAAATATTTGTATAGCTATAAGTAAAAACAAATATTACAAACTTTCATTGCTTATGAAATACCCAATTTCTGGAGTTCTTTTTTAAGTGCGGTTTTTTTCTTTTTATGAAGACTCATTACAGTGTTAAGACCCTTTTCAGTTTCTTCCTTTAAAATTCGTAACATTATACTTTTAAGGATATCTAGAAAATCTTCAACTAGAAGGTCAGCTTCTTTTTTCCCCAACTCCACAAACTTGCATGGAGGATCTAAAGTAAGGGCTCTTTTTTTGTGTTCTTCCCAAGGTTTATCAGTTGGCTCCCAGCCATCAAGTTCAATAAAACATGAGAAGCATCTTACCGTACCAGGGAAATCAGACTGTGGACAATAGAATCCGGCTTCGGCCATTTCTTTAGTACTAGGTTTGCTCATATTCCAATTATTGAGTGAATTCATTCTGGTTATTTCCCAAGCGTGTCCAATTCTTTGGTCAAATCCAAAAGATTTAAATTGATCAATTATCGCCTTGTGAATTTCAGAATTCATTTTAGACTACTTTATAAAACTTTTGTAAAAAAAAAAATTAAACCGTTGTCTTTATTCTTATATGTATGTATTATATGTATTGTATGTATTATATGTATTGTACAATGACTGATAGTGATAGTTAAAATTTAAATTAACCGACAACGACAACAGCTTACGCCTCACAGCTGACAAGTTACTCAAACACCACCAGTCACCACTGACCACACAGAATACCAACTCCAACACAATAAGATGTAAGAAACAAATTCCGTAATCAATTCTCTAACAATATACAGTATAGCCAACAGCTTGTTATGGTCAAAATTTTGGAAAAGTGGTACTATCCCGTGACGAGCATGAAGTTAGCGGCGGGCGGCCGTAGTTTCCAATTCCCATTACGATTTACGATATTAAAAAAATTATAAAATAAATGATAAGAATTAAGTAACAAAACTTAATAATTAATATAAAATATAATTAATAATTCATATTCTGAATTTTTATCATATAATATTTCCTTTAGCTCTACAGCTACAGCCAAATAAAGAATAAAATGGTATATTATCAACCCTTAAATTTGTTAATATTATTAGAACAGTCCAATATTCTGTTTTGATAATTATTGTTTTATTTACTGTTTCAAATCGTAGCCATAAACTATTAAATTTATTTTTAAATACAAAAAGAAATATTAGATTTTAGATACTGAGTATTGTATTCAAATTAATATCATGAATAAATCGATTGATATTTGTAAAGCTTCTGTAAGTATTTATTTATGTATATTACTTTGTTTTTTATAATTATTTGTCTTTTTCTTAAGTAAAATTCATTATATTACACATTTTTTGTTGGATAACCTCTGATTGTCGAATGACTCGGTGAAACCGACTAATGTTAAGATCAAAAGGAGAAACATTGTTATTAAAGAAATTGATAAAAAAGCTTAAAGGGTGTTAATGTAAATTATGAAATCATTATTGGATTAGAATACTATAAAGATGTAATGCATAACTTAAAGGTTTAAAAGTTATAGCACAGGACCTAGAATAAGATGTTTTGTGTTATTTTTATACCAAATTGTGTTTCGGGAGTTACAAATTTCTGACATGATGAACAAACCAAATATCAAGAGCTTATCTGTATAGTTCAAATATACACTTATAAAGGCTTTTATCGATAAATATTTTTGCAATGAAGGAATAAGCTTTGTTAAATGAAAAATTTTATCTCACCAAAACATCTACAATTTCATTCATAGTAACATTATAAAAAAAATCTTCATAGATAAACTCTCGTTTTTTAATTTTACCCCATAGGTAAATATGTATACAAATTGCTTAGTTTTCCAAAAAAGCACATTTCCAAGACATGGTTTACTTGCCAAAAAAATGGTGATGCCCTTCTAATGATTTATTTTTACTCAAATCCGTAATGCACTTACTGTGACCTTATTTGGTGAACAAGGAAGTAAATTTGTTAGTAATGTAGTATTATAAATTAGTTTTTTTTATTACTACTTTTGTTGATAATGTATTATGTTGATTAGTGGTATCCATTGATGCTAACATTATGTAAATAGTAACTTTTTTGTTATTTTACAGCTGGTTAGCTTAAAAGCAGAATTTTTGCGCAAACAAGAAGAAGCGAATAAAGCAAAAAGTTTTTCTGGTGATACATTCATTCGTCCTGTACCTGGTGCTAAAACACCTACATGTCTTCTTGAGATTAATAAAGGTGTTGAAAATAGAAATGCCAAAGATTTAGAACAAAAATTCGAACCAAGTGATGATAATAGCTTAAAAAAATCTCGGTAACATGATTTTTCTTTCTTTCACCAATATACCTAAATTACTTTGACATTTCTGTATTATTAGAATTTGGAATAATTTTTATTATAAACACTTTTTTAGTTAATATTAGTTCTAAATTATAAAAGTGTAGGAATAATGTTATTATTTAAATATATATTTTAGGGATATATTGGCAATGAAAACTTTACTTTATGATAAATTAGTTAATGGCGAAATGATAGCAGAACAAGATAAGACATTTTTAGTTGATTTTAAACAAAAAGTAAAATCTACCAATGATGCACCAGCTAAAAAAAATGAAAAAAAGACACAAGAAGATACTATTTCTGATTCAGAATTAAATAAATATGATTCTGAAGGGGATGATGATTGGTATGTTTAAAATGTATTACTCATTATGATTTTTTTAAAAGATGTTTTCCTTATTTTTAGGATTGATTACACAGATTTCTTTGGTCGTACTAGACGATGTTTAAAATCAGACTTAGAGTTTTTTAAAAAAAGAGATCAAAGAATAGAAAGTGAACTAGGACCTTCTCCCAATGATATAAAATCAACTATTAATTTTAAAGCTCAAAAATTTGTGAAAGAAGATGTGATTTCAGAAAATATATCTGAGGTTGTCTCTTCAGATATACGTAGAGAGCAATTTCGTCTTAAGTGGGAGGAAGAAGAACAGAAACTGGCTGAAAGAACAGACATTCATTATGAAGACATAAGATTTGACGGTGAGTTTAATTGTTATACATTTTTCTGCTAAAAATACATGTATAGGTGGTTAAAAAGTACACTGCTTTGAATATTTGTGAGGTGTAAAGGCCAAAAGGACCTCTTGTTGCAAAAATCAAATTTTGAGTTATTGGTTGTTCCAAATTTTGAACATGTTGAGACTATAATCGGTCTCCTATCTTGAAAATTGGCTGAGTTATATTTGTTTGAATTATTTTCGAAAAATGGGTTTTTTTAGAAAAAACCCTTTAAAGTTTTAAATGTTGCCAAATTTTTATTTTACATACTTAAGTAATGGAACTGAACCAAAAATTTAAATAAAACGTCATTAAGCAGATAATATAATTTTTCTTTCTCTAATATTTTTCCAACACATTGTTTTGGCCTCTACTGCGATTTGGATTCTTGCGACAAGTGGTTCCTTTTCCTTTTCCGCCTCACATTTATAGTAAACATAATCTGGCCGCTTGGTAAGACAGTGGAGTATTTGTCTCAACTAGAATGTTTTTTTTTTTTGAAGAGTTGACGAGAAAATAAAATTTGTTTCAATTAAAACTAGTTGAGACCAAAATAAATTGGATTTGATTGTAATCTTAATCAGTTGAACCATATTTGGTCAGGGCTGATTAAACCTATTTTGGTAAAATAATCGGTGTATCAATTACATCAAAACCAAATAGTTATAACAAAATATTCAAGACTAGTGAACCGAACTAAAAAAATACTTAGTCAACCCGAACAGCTTTAGTTGAAGTGTTGATTAAGACTTAAGAATATAGATTTGTCACTAAAATTTATAGATGGTCACCATCTGCACTCTGTAGTATTATTTAAAGTTTTTGAAAATTAAAATGTTTGAAAATGAATTATTTGAATTTTAAATGTTTTAAAATTCAAACTATTTGATTATGAACACATGTACATAGCACATGTACTAGCATGTATATAGTTTTTTCTACAATAAAGAAAAATATATATTTTTTTAGGCAATTATTTCAGTTACAAACCCTTGTAAAAATGATTTGATATAATATATTCAATATTTGGCATTTCCCAATATAAATGATAGTATTTGTTTTTTTATTAGTGTTATCCATGAAAAGAAAATATTGTACTTGGCATTATTTTAGGTGTAAATTCATCTTTAAAGTTGGTGGTCTTAAGTACTAGTAAAAAATGTATGCCTCACAAAACTACAATTCTAGATATAATTATTGTACACAGAGAAAAAGAATACAACAAATAATGGGGGGGGGGGGGCTTATGTTGCAATGGGTACTGAGGGCGCCCTTATGACAATTTTTCAGGAGAGCACAAAGTTAGCTATTTTATAATAAGAAGTTCCAATAGCATTGTCATTCTTTGTTATATTTATTAAATTATAATATTGATAAAATATCAAAATTCACTTAAATTTCCAAATTCTTGAAAATATTGATTAATTTAAAATTAACATTATTGGAAGGTGGATAAAAAAAATTTTAATTTTTAGAGTATTAAGAGGGTAGGGTCGATCTCTCGAGTACCTAACCCCAAATTGTGTAACTTTTTTTTTTAAGGAAATTAATTTTTGTAAAAATAATAGTGTAAACAAAAAATAAATTATTTCCAGATACTTTCTAAAAAAAATTATCCAGTTATTGATATTTTTAAAGTAAATATTTTTATTTTGCTTAACTTAAAAAATAACAAATAAAATATTTTCCACAGCCTTACTTATAAAATAATACAAATTTGTACATAATCACATTGGCTTTTTCTTTTAGTAATGTCAAGTCTAGTCTAATTGTTTTCAAAAATTTCTAAGAAAATATACACTTAAAGTAAATTAATTAACACTAATTATTTAAAAAACTGATAGTTAATATGGTATTTAATATTATACAATTTATTATTATGAATTTGGTTGGAGTTATTAATTTTGCTTCAGATTTATTAGAATTTGTATTTTCAGTATTAGTACTTGTGGTAATGATGTTGGCTGTATTTTGTTTTTTGTTTGATTCGGTCCAATTATCAAATAATCCACTTCCATCTTCTATAGCTTGATCTAAATCTTCGTCATCTGATAAAATTGGAACAGTTGTTCCTACAGTCGCATTATTGCATTTATCATTAGCACAAAAACAATATTCAATATTATTTGCTACTTTACAATCTTCGATTGAATATTCATTGCATAACTTTATTACACTAATACCTTTAAATAAATATTGGAGTACATGTATTAGGCAATGTTAATCATAATTTAATTTACTAATTTAAGCTTACTTTACCATAAGTTTTGGTGAGACATCCTTTATATCCCAAAGGACATTTTAATGTAAAATTTGTAGCTTCGTTTGAGCCACAACTTGGTATACTTTGTAGATCGATATCTGGAAACATGTTGTGGATTTCGGAAGCTTCAGTGTTATCAGATAACTGCTGTGGACTACAAATATAACATATCCTATTGGTTTTTAAAGACGCAGCATTTGAAAGGCCTGTAAAATATTAGTAAAATTAAAAAGCAACAGTGGTGATAAATATTAATTAAAGAAATTGTAGATGTACGGATCAGGTGTTTCGAAAAAAGATTAGAAAACATTAATATTAATAAGTAAAGGTCATAAAAAAAAAGTTGTATTTTTCAAAAAAAAAAAATCTCCACTTATTACACAGATAATGTTGCAATATCACTAATATTTAACCCCATTAATAAAAAAAAAACTACAACAATACTTACTCGTTTTCGTCGTACAAATATAAAGAACACTGCATAATGCATAATATTTTGCTTTTAAATGACCTGTGTTTCTAATGAATAACGACCATTCTACAGATTAATATAAGCTCTACTTAACATTAAAGATGTAATTTTTTTGTGTGATGCTATTTCTTATAAATATTATATGACTAAAGCACTCACGAAGTGAGCAGTCCACTTGTTTTTTACAAAATAAAGTTGTTTATATATACTACCTTTTTAGGGAACATTAAGATTTTGTGCTTTTTTTCGAGAAATTATTTTTGTATAGTATGAAAAATAAATAAATTTATCTTCTCTATTACAAATATTTGAGTACCTATATAATATTGATTTAATCCTTAAAACGACTAATAAGTTACTTATTTTTTGAAAAATTAGGATTCTCTCAAATTTGTTTAACATTGATGCGGAGCGAGAAGGTATTGTTTTTACATGGATGTGTGTTTTTCTTGTTCTTTTTTGTCTGGAGTCTGGACTTACGATATTCATGCTGAACCGATTTCTTTGTATAGCAAAATTATAGATCAGAAATCTTATCTTAAAGGTTTTTTGCATTACTATTACTGTTCCTATTTATAAACGTGTTTTGATATTGTTTATCGTATAAGTATAAAATTATAAACTTGTGTTATCATCTGTATATCTAAAAAGTTATTTTAAAATTGTTGTTAAAAAGTATTAGTTTGTATTTTTTAATCGTATTTAAGATTAAGTGTTCCATTTTTAACTATAATTTTACGTTTGAGTGAAATATTTTTTCAAAAAAAAATGCATGGTACTTCGTCGTAGTAGGAAGTTAAGCTCTGGTAGATAACTTACGGAATACATAATATGAGAATGCGTAAACGCCAAGAATTGTATTTTATATTTCACTATAGTATGTATGTTTTATATCACTAAGATTCTACGTTATACGTTAAGTCTATTACCCCAAGGCCCAAACCCCTTCCATGATCCTTTTAATGTTGCATTTCCTTTATTTTACGATGCGATTTATATTCGAAGGAAATAAGGACGATGTGTACACATTTATTATGATGTCGCAGATCGTTAATTTCTTGCTCCGTCGTTATATTTGCGTTAGATTTACTAGAATATATATTCAGGTATAGTTTGGTATTGAGTGTGATGTTAGAGCAGCCGACTCCTCACTAAATTGCAAAAAAACGAAGAAATTAAATCGTATACAGAGTTATATTATACCATTTACGAAAAGACCTACTCATTTATTAAGCGTATGCGTAAAGGGACTAACTAAAATACACTGTTGTAGACAGTAGTCAGTTCACAATTATTATTGCCTTAATGACTAGTCGGTTTAGGTATTCAGTGTTTACACAAGGGAACGCATACTCGCCGTTGTAATGTCCTATAATAACCCAGCTACACGGAAAATAATTTTTTTAGGTATTTAATTTTGTTTTCTATGAGTCACGGATCCATATCGATATTATAATAGGCTGCACATTGAGAATCGATCACTGCGGCGCTATGTGATGGAACTGTTAAAAAAAGTGGTCTGTCTACTTTTTGTTGCCGTTAGGAAATTTACATTTAGAAAACCACATTATTGAATTACATTGCATTATTATGTTTAATGCGAAGAATTGACCAATAATATTTATATTTGAAATAATTACCTATTTTCCAAGTTAAAAAATTTGCTTTTTATTAATGTTCGTAATAGCTTTGTAAATTGACATAAACTAAATTATCATAATAAAAAAATAAAAATAATGAGCATTCAATCATCGTTAACGTGGATGATGAACGACTTATCGTATGTTTTGATTAGTGGGAGGCCCACTTAAAATAGAATTCTTGATTCTTCAGTATACCTTAAGCTTCACAATGAGATCATCATATTATGTTAAACATGCGTGTTATCATGCGTGTTTTGGGTAGTATTAACGTTAATATTTTATTTTAATTCGTTGATTAGCCGAATTCCGGTTATTTGCTCATTGTTTTTTACGGTTTTAAATTGCATTTCTCGTCGTAACCTGTCCGATGATAAATTATTGGAATACTTAAATTTACGACGTTACTGGGCCCACGCAAATGAACTCGTTTCTAGAAATATTCAATGAAGAAGTCAATAAATAAAACGTTCGTAAACATTTGAGTTAACATACCTTTTGAAAAAATCGAGTTCCTCGGCTGGTCCGTAAGCGTTAAAAAAAACATTTTTACGACGTAATTCATTTCCCTAGAGCTGTTATATTAATTTGTCAATTATGATTAAATTTCATTCATATCGCTTTTGAGCTGTATTTATTATTCCACCGTTTAATATTTCTGCCAGTCGGATAATATGACCTACACAATATATTTTTCAAATCCTTGTTTTAAGCTTTGAAGACAAAAAAAAATGTTTTCTCGTTTTTATATTTTTAATGAGAGACATACAGGCCTTACTAAAATTATATTTAGTAATTTAGTATGTAGGTATGAAAAAAAGTTTGTTATCTTGAAATTATATCATTTGTTTACTTAAACATAGGTTTAAATAATTGAAATATAAATGTATTTATTTTAATAATTGTAATTTGTCTACCCAATATGTTGTAGTAATATTGTTATTAAATAACATCTTATATATTTTAGCGATGTCTTCATTATATTTGTTAACTCGATTACTTTGTTTGGACAAAAATATACAGTATACTTTGTTAAAAATGTCCTTATGCAAGTTCTATTGTATAAATTAAGTTGGTATATTGTATTGGATATATTTTGTGTTTCTGGTCAGTGAACTCGGTACGGATTAAGCTATCCTATATAAAACGATAACCAAAAAGTTCTAAAAACTTTTGTAAATTAATTTGTTTACTCAAGTTTGTTGTAACTTTTAGCTGACGCCTTGACATTATTCTGTGTTACACGATAACCAGATTAAATACATTTACGAAAATTGCATAGTCACTTACGAAGTCAGTAAAATAATAATAATATAAATAAAAATCGTATTTGGTTGTTTATGAACATAAAATCACACAAAATACTACCACTACCAGTGTAAAAATATTTACTAGTATTATACGTGTACATAGCTAAGACAATCTTTTTTTAATAACTCGGTTTTTATACATTTTTCATACTGGTATTTAGAATGGTAGAATAATATCTAAATTAAAAACGTCTACAAGCACTTATATAGTTATACTAATTATTACTTATACGTTTTACACATTATACAGGGTCAAAACAGCTATGTTTATTTTTTAAACATCCTTGTGTATATGCACGAGTTGTGTGTTCAGTTTTGTTTATAAACCTCAATAATACGTAAATTTATTATAATTGCCGTGTTATTTTAATTTTAAGTTCACTGTGTGGTAATAATATAAACGTTTATTATAATATCAAATGCATTCAACGCATCGTTTTATTGTTATGCTAAAATCTAATAAGGTATAGTTGTGATCTTTGTGTTAGTAACGATTTAATTAATAATATAGATCGACCTTAAATTTCTATTGACCTCTCACATATATGAATTTAATTAGTATTTTATTGTATTGGGGCCCGAAAGTACCTACCTTTATGCGTTAATTATTGTGTGTTTATAAACTACTTAAAGTGAATAAAAACATTATACTACTTTAGAATAACTCATTTAAAATTATAAATGCTTATCTTTCCGGTTTTTAATTGAGCTAAATGATAATATTTTTTTCTCGAGTTATAATATTAATTTAGTTAGGCAGTTCATAATTTTGCAACACTTTATTCCGTTTGGTTGTTAATATGCGCCTTATAATCTATAGAATTTATCAAAAATCTCACCTATTACCACCAAAAGAAATGCACCGTAATAAAAAAAACATGTTTTTCTGCTTATTATTATTTATTTGTAATTTATGATCATCACTCTGTATTATCAAAGAATGCGCCTACTTGATTATATTTAAATAAAACATGTGAGAAATGATGTGGTAATATATTTGTCATTTAATATGTTGTGTATCTACGATTTCGAAAATTAATATTCTGTCAAGTTTGATTAAAATATCTATCTCTCTTTATTATTTATGTCCATAACATATATTTTTTATACGTAATATGTTAGTTATTTGAGGCTAGTAGGTATTCGCTAAAATATTGAATTTTTATAAAAATAGCTTTTTATCTTATTGAGGCATAAAAAATATTGTAAAACATTCTATTTTCGCATGGATGCAGTAGTCATAATATTATTATTAAAAAGAATAATAATTTTTCGTGTGAAATAAATGCGAAGGGCTGGCAAATGGATACGGTAAACAAAACTATAATAATATAATTTTATGATGTGATGGTCCAAACATTTTTATTAGTGGTATTTATTTATTAACGGCGATGTTGCACGATTAAAAACAAATATTTATCAACTTACTAATTATTGTTATTAGCCACAAGATCGCAGATTGCATCCATCGAGCGCCAGAAAACATTTTTCCTTCTGAATGATTTGGAAAACCTAGCGATAAATCTAAGATGTTTTTAAAATTAAAACAAACATACTTGGGTGCAAAAATAAACTAATTTGTTTAATAGCACGATACCAATTTAAATGTCATAAAACGTGTAACACTGGTAGATAACTCGACTCTACGGTTCGCACGTTTACTGAAAACTATAATATATGTGATACAATCGTGTGTTTAGGGAACCAACGGAGGAACAGCTCCCTCTCGCCAGTTCCTTCTCTATGAGGCCGGCTATAGTGACGGCGGGGCATACCGCCACCATCTCGTGGGGTCGGCGCATAATGTTGCTACACAAACAATCAATTAAAGTGTAAGGCAAAAGCTTGTTTCGTTTATGGCCTACGGGCATTATCGCATAGCCAATTTGTCTAGTGTTTGCCCGGTAGTGGCTATAAATCATATGGCATTGTTTTAACTGCTAAGAGATTTATACTATTTGTTAAATGAAACCAATGAAAAATTGTAAGGACTAGGTTAGGGGTAGAGTTCTTAATATGTCTAATAAATCGGCTCAATACTATAATTATTTTAGTTGCACTTACGCACAGATATTGATTTTTTAAAAATGCGGCCGGTGTTTATTTTTTTATGCTTTTGCAAAATATAGTAATATATTTAATTGTTGCTAGCAGTGGTGTGCGCAAGATTTTGTAATAGGGGGTGGGCTAATCTAATCAGGTGAAGGGCGTAAGCGTATTGTAAGAATACATATTTTTTAACGAAAAAATATACAAGAGATTAATTTTTTTTTTCTTGTAACTTATTTTTTATGCAACAAACGACGGTGAAGTACGCTAGATAAATTATGATTTCACGAAAATAATTTTCAAGTATAAAAAAAGAACAAGGAAATTAAAAAAAAACAAATTAGATATATATTTACTTATTAGCGTATAACATCTAATGTAAGCAAGTTTTTTAATTTCAGTCTAGCATCTATCCCAAAAGTTATTTTATTCAGTTATTCCTTTAAAACTATGAATGTAATATAGTTGTTTGACGTGAGTAACTAATGTAAATTCGTTCAGCCGTCGAAATCTGATTTCGCCATCGTGTTAGACATAAAAAAAACAAATCAATTTTTGAAATTAAAAATTTTAAAAATCTCATTCGTATTATATTAAATATGTATGTTAATATATTATTAATTATATTACTATTTTGTCATAAGTTGATAAAAAAATAACACTTTACAATTTGTTTTCATACATTATCAAAGCCAATTAAGAAGGGGGCATTGATTGTTGATGTTGAGCAATCGAAATCTACGAATAAAGTTTTAAAGCATTTTATCTATAATTTAAATTTATGAAATTTGATAAATATATACGTCGAATAAGAAAGAATATATAATACGTAGATTGAATAAAACTTATTTATGAAAAATAAAAAAGAGAAATTGTTGGTTATATTTATTTTGTACAACATTGTTGACGTCCTACAATATTAGAACAATGCTTTTGCACATTGAAAAAAATAGGAGAACGTTATTGTAGATAATAATAGATTATTATCTTGTCTTCTGATATAAAAATGTGTAAATCAGTTGTTATTTGTATTGACAATCATAAAAGTTAAACTAGAGTAATCTAAGGTAATACATACATCCATAAATAATCGTTAATAAGAGATCAGTTAAAGAATTTTATGGGCGTAATTAGATCCGGGTATTAGGACGAAGGGGGGGGGGGGTGAGAGAGGGGCTGAAGGTCTTTCAGTACACCTACAATTAAAATTATTATTAGTTATGCTCTTCAGCCTAGGGCGTCTTACAATTATGCAATTTTTACCCGGATATAAATTGATTAATTATTGTTTAACATTAAACCCTTTCTCGTTAGATTAAAAATTATAACTGGTATCTAGCTTATGAGTTATGTGTCTTAATACAATAATATAAATATAACTTTAGACGTATAGTATCATGGGATTTATTAGTCTTTGGCTGTATTATACTCGTAATTACCAGGTATTCTTCATTTAAGATACTAATTAGTAATTATATCCATTTTTTGTAATTTAGAGGGTTTAACAAGACGTATATAATGAAACATTTGTTTAAAATAAAATATTGAAATATAAAAAAAATATATCCTACTTTTGATCGAATATGTAAATGCATTGTTTAACTGTACCAAGTATTATAAAAATTAAATAATTTCATACCTACAAATATATTATCATGTGCATACATAAAACACACATGTGTATAGTGTATATTATTATATTATATTTATGTCTATTAAATGGTAAAGCGTTTATAATTAGTATAACTGTTTGCAGAGGTTCGAGAACATGGAGTTGGATATTATGCATTCTCAACAGATGAAAAAGAACGGCATAGACAGCAGGCCGAACTTAAAAAACTACGTGAACAAACAAAAACCTCACAAAGTACAGTACAAAAATTAAAAGAAAAGCGTGCAGCACAAATGGCTGCACGACTTAAAGCTGTGAAACGAAGAAAAAAAGAAAAATTAGGTCTTCCTTTAGATTCCAGTTCTGGTTAGTTTAGAAATATACTTTGAAATAAGTTATAAATGTATTATACGCCAAAAAATCTAAGTATTTAAATTATTATAAAATGCTACATAGTTTTTTTTAGCTGATATGGAGTTAAGAAGGGTTTAATTTAACAAATAATAAGGTTATATTTTTTTAGATGAAGAAGAGGTGCCGCCACCCAAATGTCCATCTCCTGAAATTATTGAAGATCTTGCAGCACAACAGGCCTTTGAAAAATTAAGGAAAGCTGCTCATGTTAGACCATGGGACATTGGAAAAGATGGTGTCCAAAAACCAGGTTTGACAATTGTGTTCAATAAGTTTAATATTACTATACGATTATATTTTAAACATTCGGATTTATTTTTAGTGATGACTCAAGACGAATGGAATGAAAAGCAACGGAACGAAAGGCAGACAGAGTTTGCTTGGGATTATGGTGGTACATCAAAATCTGTCAATAAAACAGATCAACATTCTGATGAAGAAGATGACGATGAAATGGTAGGACCATCGTTAGACATGTTCACAAAAGCAACAAACCCCAACATACAAAGTACGACATCGTTCAACAGTTTTAAAAAGAAGCCCATACACAACGAGTTAGATGATGAACCAAATACTGTGAAAAACAAATCTAGTTTTGACGACAGTTTTGACAATTTGGATAATATTCCATTGCCTGCAGAACCCAAAAAAGGAGCAGAAATTGCTCCGCCCCCTACATATGAATATTATGGACCTAGTGGTAAAGGACCTAGGGTAGTTGATCGCCTTGTAAGTGCGAATGAAATGAAGGATTCAATTTCAGTTGGATTAAATAGTATCGCAAATAGTAAAAGTAAACATCGAGAAGTCAGAGGTATTGTTGAGGAAAGCTAAACTTGTGATAACTTAAATAATATTTTTATTTTTTTTGTAATCGATTGAAAATTATTTGATTGTAATCGTGAAATATGAAATAGTGAAATGTATAATAGTTGTACTATAAATACTTTATTTTATTAAAACAATTGTGCTGTTTTAAGTTCTTAAACCCATTATCTAGCTTGTATTTATGATATAAACCAAAAATTGTTTTTAGTCATACAATAGTTTTGAAATAAACAATAATTAAAAAATAATATTTTTACAAGCGACATAACATTAAAATAATTTATTTTAAGAGTATTATTTAATATTTACTGAACAAGTTTAAGCTCTTTAGATCCATTCAGTAAACTCAAAAATTATGCAATGTTTACGGAATGAGAAAAATATAGTAGAGGTACTTTAAACATGTATTATTATTTTGCTAAAATATTATAATATTCATATAAACTGTCAAATCATGTTACATTGTTGTTATCGAGGTTGCTCAAAATGGCTGTATAATTTTTACAAATTTTATAGGATAAACTGATATTATTTAAACAAAACTCACAGCTCATAATAAAATGTACAGAGGGTAATTTCCTAATATATTCATGATATATTGTTTGTATAATTATTAGTTTTTGAGTTTTACTTACCAATTTAGTGTAGCAATTATTAATTTTCATTTTATATAGAATAAAATATTTTAACTTAACTTAATGTGATAAACAACATGAGTTAGGAATTGGTCTATATATATCCAAGATGCTTTCTTTTTTTCGAGGTTTTACCAAGGTCTATTGCATCTTCCATTGTCATGTTTCATATAGTCTGTGGATCAGGGCAGTGTTGGTGGGGGGGGGGGGGTGGACAAGTGGGGCTCATGTCCAAGGCATCGCTCTTTAAAGAGCATAAAAATCCAAAATGGTAATAACTAGAAATTAATATTTTCAGAAATTACATTTTGGAGTAAAAAAGGCGTGTCGTCTTATTAAATTGTGTTTTCGATCGAGGCAGTTATCGCTTTATACTTTATAGTTTATAGTACTAATGAAGTCTTAAAAGCAAACAAACTCATGAAAATAAAACAAAATTTGATTTTGTTTACTTTTATATGCAATATGCAGGGTTGACGGACCTAACCTAACCTAAGTGTCCCATTCAAATTTCAAAACATTTAAAATGATGAAGGAATATATCAATTAGTGGGAAATTTTCATAAAATTAGGGTCTTGTTTTAGACAAAAATGTATGAAAAAGTGCACTGGTCATTAGAGGGGGTCACTATCAATTTTACGAGAAAAGGTTAAAGGGCCTCGCTTCGTAATTTGCCCAGAGCCTCGCAAATCGTAGCATCGGCCCCGCTGTATATTATTACTTTTGATAACTGCTACTGAATACTGATTATATGAAAACACAGACTTCTATATTAGTTTAGTGTAGACTGTAGAAGTCTGGTGTATCAATCATAATTTAAATATCGCCGCGTTTTCCAGGCAGTACACTTATCAGTTACTGTACACTGCAGTAGTCCGTACAGTGTTGTCGTTGTCACGACTCCATACGGCAAACGGCAAACCACAGGTCACTGCATACTACTACCACTGCAGAGTGCAGGCTGTTGTCGCCTGTCCCTTAAGAAATTATTCACGTTCCTACGTTACCCGTCCCGTTTTCTCGATTCCGGTCGACCCAGACCGACCGATTACCGTTTTAGGTCATTAGTGTCGCGCACAAATTCAATTTTCCGCCGCCGGCTCCTCGTCCCTGGACCCTGAATTTATCAAGGAAAGGAACCAGGACGAGCACGAGATTAGTGATCACAAAATTCCCATCACCCCGTCATATCCGGTATTGCGATTCCCATTATAAAAGATACTGGTAAGTTCACCACATTGGTCTCGTCGACGGTGTCATTGCTCAATCAAATTTATTGCATTTAAAAAGGTACGATCGAGTTAAAAAAAAATTGGATTTTCATTTAGGTTATGTTTGTTCAATATAATAATTCAAACGTAGGTATAAATACTATTAAATTGGAATGTATCTAGTAGGTATGTGCCATAGACAATAGTTTTAAACTTAAATTTTAGGATATAGTATCTGGTATGATCTTGGTTTTGTATACATTTCATATGTCATGTTTGGTTGTTAAATCATTAGGTTATTGTAAACGTCACTAGTGCAATTTGTTAGTCGTACTTGAAATAGTAATCTAGCTTTAGATTGTTTTAACGTTGATACTTAATTTAAATAATATTTTTTCAATGCAATAGGAATTTTTTTTAGGTATTTATGATGAATTCAATTTTATATATTATAGTGTATCTTCAATTTTTATTTTATGAACTTGGAATCTGTTCCCCATTCATAAAATTCTCTTTCCCTACTAATTTATATTTAGTAAAGCGTAATACATATCTAGATTATTATTGAAAAAAATTATATAGGCTGTTAATTTGTACGTACTGTAGTTGTATATGTGTAGTAGTAAGTATACGTATTGTTTTATGTGTTAATTTCTTATTGATTTATGCAACATTGATACTCTTTTCTCATTAATTATTTATTTAAATTATCATTAATATTCTAATAGCCAGATAATGGACAAACATTTAAATTATTATTTTCAATTTAAATACAGGTTTTACCAAATTAGATGTATCATTGTAATTGAATTCAAAATATTTGGATTTGTACTGTTTTAAAATGGAAGCTGCATCTCCTGTTTTAGAAGAATCTATTGCCAATAACTCTAATCAGGTAAACTACAAGTACGATTGTTCTCGACTTAGTTACGTTTACTATTTAATTATTTATAAATGTTTTAGATGTCTGCTAATGATGTTTCGTGTGGTGCGAATGATTCTGCATTACCTTCAATAAAGTGGAATGACTCTACTGATAGCAATGTGTCCGTGGCTACTCAGGCTTCTCAGGATGTAGAGATTGCTGATACAAATGTGCCGTCCAATGAAAAGAATCGTAAGAAAAAAGATCGCCATCTTGCTCAAGCGTTAAAAACAGTTTTAAACAGTATGAACTCGCTCAACACTCCGGAAGAGAAATTAGGAGCTCTCTGCATTAAGTATGCAGATTTGATGGAAGAAAATACTAAACTTAAAGTAAAATTTAATATATACAATCAAAACAATCTATGATTAAAAAATGTGTATCCTTAGACAGCTTATAAACAATCTGAAAAAAAGGCATCTCAAGCAATCACCGAACGTGATGTAGTAAGAGGTGAAATGAACAAAGCCATAATGACTCGAAGCCGATTAGAAAGCTTATGCAGGGAGTTACAAAAACAAAATAAAGCTATAAGAGTAAGACAGTTTATATAATGTTTTGATTTTGCTTTAGAGTTAACCACATATTGATATGATATATAGGAAGAGAGCCTGAAGCGTGTTAAAGAAGCTGAAGATAAACGTTTGGAAATGACTAATAAGTTTCAAAACACATTGGGAGAAATTGCCACAGTGATGCAACAGAGCAGTGAGAAAAACAACAAACTTCGAGATGATAATATAGATATGTCTTCTAGGCTTAAAAATGTGTGTGAACAATACGAGCTTAGAGAACAGGTAAATGGCGCTGTAAGCACAATACAATTTTTTAATTTTTTTTTATTACCTCAAAGTTATTGGCAAATTGTGTTAGTCAATTTGTAAATTTATTCAATTTTTTAGCAAGTAGTTAAGTTAGCAAAACAAATTGAACTCGAGACTCAATTATGTGATGCCAAATTGGCAAAAGCAAATATGGAAATCAGTGTAGAAAGAGAAACTCTACTAACCGAAAAGACACACTTATTGAAAGTTAGTAGATAGTAACATAGAAGTTGCAACTAAATTACTAAGTTAATTATTTCAACAGGAAATAAGACAATATCAAACAAGAATCGAAGAAATGCAAGCAACTGAAATTGACCTCAGAAATCAAATATCTTTGTATAATGAAAAATATGAGGAATTTCAAAATGCTCTAGCACGCAGTAATAAAGTGTTTGCTGGTTTTAAAGGAGACATGGAGCTGGTAATCATACAAATTTAATATCTTGCTATGCTTTTATATCAACTAAAAAAATTGTTTTTAATGCTGAATTTTTTATAATTTTATCTAGATGTCAAAAAAAATAGTCAAACAAGAAAAAGAATCAGCTAGTTGGAAAATGCGTTATGAACGTTGCCAACAGTTATTGGATGAAATGACTAATGAGCGTGGGAGAATGATCAGTGATCTGTCCGTTGCAACCAGACAGCTGAGTACTCTACAAAAATTGTGTCGCACATTACATTCTGAACGACAGACATTATTGTCTAAAATAGAAGAGGGGAAAAAATCATCTGAAGTGCCTACTGAAGTAATATCTGGAGAACTAGCTGAACGACTTACAGATATAAGCATGTGTACAATGGCTGATTGGTTTGCAAAAACTACTGATCCAAAATCTAAACGTAAATTGAAATCTATAATTTTGGCTGGCAATGTGCTTATTTGGTGATCATATTTCAGCTGATGCATTAAAAGAAGAGCTACAGACAGTCATGGAAAATGAGTTAAGATTAGTTAAGGAATCAATCGAACAGCAATTCCAACAAGCAAATGGCGAAGAAAATATATCACCTGAATCTCCAACGTCATCTCAATCACATTTGTCTGATGAACCAGCTTATGATACAGGAGTAAGCAGTAGCTCATCAGTAAATGGTGACAAAGTGGAGCGTCCTATAGAAAATAACATTAAAAGTGATGCAATAGATGATGATCAATCAAAAGAAGATGACACACAAAAAAAAAAGGTAGATAATTGTTTATAACTATTGATAAAATCATCATATTGTGGTATCTCCAATTTTAGCACTTTTGCTAAAATTCTTATATAACTAATTTATGTCAACATAAACAAGTGATGTAAAGCAAACTTAAATATTTACATTCTGTGTAGTTTAATGAAAAATGTAAGATATATCCGTATTCACGGGAAGTCAATTTTCATTAATAAAACGACTATAACTAGTAAATCATTAAACTAATACAAATAAACCAAATGTTTGGATGATATAATCAAAATTAAAATATTGCTCATAGTTTTGTGACTGTAATTTTTGTTTCATGGAACCTTAGACGACACAATAAATTTTAAAACAAGCATAAACGCCAAAACTCTTATAAAAAGGGATACAAATTTTGATTATGAATTTTTTATTATTTTTCAATTTACATAATATATTTTATTAGTACAAATAAATATAAAGTATTAGTTATTATAACCACAATCAAATAAAATCCTTTAATGTGTTTTTTATTTTTTTTATTAAGTTATTTTGTCCCTAAATAATGTATGTTTTGAAATACTGCAATACAATTATCTTGTGATGTATAATTAAATTGAATTAATTTAGTTGTAATTATATTATTCACATAGAAAAAATATAATTAAATTGCTGGGTTTTTAAAAATTAGATTTTGTAATTCTGTATTATATTCTGAGCCTATAAATGTTGTGTTTGACTTTTTTCATTTTCCAAAAGTTTTTTCAAGTAAATTCTATTTACTAATGTTTAGGTATTATAATTTATCATTACTTTTTTTTTCATTACTAGTTATCAAATCAAGTATAGTGAAACTTATCTAAGAGGATCAACGAATCTGAATAAATTAAAAACCTATACAGGTTGAAATTTTAACATGATCCTGCTAAATGGCTTTGCAGTATAACTAACTTAGACTGAAAACTGCTTAATATGGAATTTTCTTTCTGTCTTGTGTGATTTATTCTTAGTCAGGTTTCACGATAATAACTTATTTAAAAAAAAATGATTTGTTAATTTTTAATGTTTCGAAACTATCACACATGTTTAATTTTTATGTGCTATATGCTAAATAAATAAATAAACCTAACTATTGAACCATTTAAACTATTTTACAAAACATTTATTTGTATTTCTTTTGATTACTTTTTCAGGAATTGCAATCCAAAAGGAAAACTAAGAAAACGTAGAGTTTGACTCAATCATATGTAGTAATTTACTAATGTTAAATTTTTAATTATAAAAACTAAAAACTGTTTTCACTGATACGTTTTTTATTTTATAATATTGGGTTTTTATTTTAAAGCCATCAGAAGTTATATTTTTATGCATACTACGAGCCTTATATATATAAAAACAAATGTTGCAATTAAGAATTGTAATATTAGTATGTCGTTTTAATATTGGTTAATATAATCAGTAATATAAATATTGCTATTATTAATATATTTGTTTTCATTTATTATAATAATAGTTCTTATTATTTATTTTGATTTCCTTATTGTTTAAAACATATATAAAATATTAAACAAATTGGCGTTTATATTTTTAACTATTTATAAAAATACGCTGAGTAGAGAATTTTTAAAATTCATACATATATCTACTGCTAATGTAAATAATAGTAAGTAGTGGAAAATCGTACTTAGCACAATTAATTTATAGTTTATACATCCTAAAAATGCATTTAATCAGTACATTTTAATAAACTGATAAATTGAAGATTTAAATTTATGAAACTTGTGTTTTTTTACGATGCTAAAAATTATTACATCCAATGAGTGTGTTTTTTGTTTTATTTATTTATACTTTTGTGATTGTTAACTTAAGAATTTTATAATAATTGATGCCTGATGGTTAATTATTGTAAAAATAGGTTTGTTAAGTAATTAAAGGTCAGTATTGTACAACTAACAGTTTGAAGTATTACAGCCATGGTATTATATTATACAAATTAATTAAGGGACCTGTTATAAAAAATCGGTCATTGAAGTCGTTATTCCCGAAACAACTAGGTAAATATGAAACATTACTTTTGGGTTATCGTGGAAATATAATTGATTAACACTGTTGCATGCAAATTTGTAAAGTAACTAAAATGATTAAATTACATTTGTTTGATCACTTAGTGTGTTTGTTTTTTATATATTTTCCCATCCAAAAATGTGTTTGTTTTACACTTAATTCTATCATTATAGTGTAGATGAGAAGAAACAACTTGGTACTTGCCACCCGCTTAACTCATTAAAATGCAGGTGTGATTCTTTAATTAGAACAATGGAGACACGTACATTTTTGTTAATTAATGAAAAAAATATTTTGAATAGTAACTATAAACTAATTTTCTTGGTATATAAATAGTATTATGCAAATATGTTTATATGTTTATTTTTTTATCGTTGAACTTTTTTTCGGCTACTTATACTAGTTACAACAACTATTTCAAGTATGATCATAATAATGTTGGCTGACTATACTATTTCACCATTCCATACAACCATAATGCATCACTATAACAATTTTTAATGGCTATTCCTACTTGCAGTCTTTCCAATTAGTTAATTCAGGAAGAAACAACAAACGTACCTAATACCGTTGATTATAAATAATATTATTCATAATCAATGCTAATAACTATACAAGTTTTATTAGGTTTGTTTCAATGTTTTTCGTATTTTAACAATTTTTGAAATATTTACAGGGTATTTGGTTACATTTGCTCTTTGCCAATATTAAACGATTTTTATTCATTTGAATCAACCTTCATATGAAGTACAATTTATTTTAACAATTACAGTTAAAACTAGAGCCGACAATTCTACAAGTGTATTTTAAATACACGCGTAGAACAAGTTCGTGTAGATTTCGTGTAGTTCGTGTCCAATTCACGTGTAGAATTTCGTGTACCTAATTAATACACGTGTAGGACCCAAGATTCCACTAACTTGACCCAATGGCCATAATACTTTATCTTAATGACAACCATTAATTAAAGAATAGTATCACGTAAAATTAGAGGTCTTATTAAAACTAACAAACAGTTGTAAGAATACGTGTAGTTGCAGGTACACGTGTATTTACTTACACGTGTAATCGGTAGCTCTAGTTTAACACTTAACAAAGTAAATAATATATTTGTGTAGTTACACTTACATTCATGTAAAATGGCGATGTTCCTACATACATTTTTAAAAATAAATTATATGTCTAGCATATCAAATTATGGAGGAGGTTGTTAAGAGGCCTCACGACTGTGATCTATTAAGGGGTATTATATAGGCAACTTTTTACTAAACCATTTATACTAAAATTTAAAAAAAATATATATCTGTAACACACAGGAAAGAGGGGTTTATTTTGATATTAAATTATTTTTTAACAAAAAACCCTCGACATTTCCTGTGTTCCCATGAAGTTCGATTTCCTTTCTGAAAAAAATTTTGAACCCCTCATCATATTTTCTGTGGTTTTAAAGAAAAGATTAGCGAATATTTTTTCTTATTATTTGTTTTTGTTTTAAAATAATTTTTGTAAAAAAACTATTTTTAACTTTTCTAAAATATTGGAAAAAGATAACGAGGAATTCATAACAAATAACAATGTTATTATTTATCTTGGGTTGAAAATCCAAAAAGCCTGATGAACCGTCAAAAGCCAAAATTGAATTTAAATGTGACTGCCCCTTCGATAATGAGCCTTGGATCCACCACTGGTGGCACTGTTGTCTTAGTCTTACACTGCTATTACTGGAGATAGGTAAGTTTTTTTGTATAAAAGGAAAAATCATTCATTCACTTTAACTTAAGCACAATATTAATATTAAAGCGTTATGTTCACATTAAAAATTAATCTCGGTAAGTGACATATAGTAGGTACCTAACACAAAAGTATTTACGTACGATTTTACGTCGCTGTTGAGTATTGTGATAGTTTAATATAATATTTAGTAAGCCTGATGAGGCTCGGTGTATTTGTGTCGAAATGCAATTTGCTCTCGTTTTAATACGTTACCACCACCAAGGTGCAAAATATCTACTAATGCCTACTAATTACTAATTAATGAATACTGGTTTGACTTTTTTTTATCAGTGTAACATCACTGTATAACTACGTTATTACTAACTACTGTTTACGGTTTAAAATAAATAAATATTTTTACTCTTCAAAAATATATTCTGATTTTTTATTAAATCAAAATCATTACACACAGTTTCTTACTATCTAACATAATATAAATTAAGTATAATAGTTTACAAATTTAATTATTATCAATAGTAATAAAGTTATAAGAAACATATAAAAATAAATATAACATTTTTTTGTTGTTGTATATAGCTTCCTTCGATAACTTTTACATGTTGACACTGGAAGTCTGTCATCATCTTCAATAATACATATATCTTTTTTTCCTGCATAAATCACTATAACTTAACAATATATTTATATACTTTCACGGTACTATTGTTTATGTATACTGAACACAGTGGCGTAACTAGAGACTAAAAAGCCCAGGAGCAAGACATTTTTTTTTGCGCCCTATAGGTAATACCAATTAATTAAATATGTCATCAAATGTAATTATTGATTAAGTTATGCTAAAACTAACGGTAAATTTAACTATACATGTTTTGAATGAATATGTTCGGACTATTTTATATTTTATTGGTATTCGGACATATAATAGGTACCAATTTGTATTTTATAATTTACCTAGTGTTAAGTATTTTACACATTATATTTAAAATAGTTAACAGAGGCGTATTCTGTAGTTCTTATTTTGAATACATCAAAGTAACTATTTTGACCATCTATCCGTTCATTAGGTGTTATCAATGGTTGATTTTGTAAAATCTAAGAAACACAAGTTCCGGTTATTTTCGTGGTTGTTTTAAAACCTGAGTCAGAAACTAGAAACTCCTCGTCCGTCGAGTATAAATTATGCCAGGAATTCATTTTTAAACGAAAAACGATATCGATGTTCTTACATAATATGTATTTAAATTAACACGGTTCTTAGTCGATTGTCGACCTCTCTTTTTATATTTGTTTATTTTTAGCGGTCGTTACCGGCTCCGATCGCGTTTCATTATAGACCTATGTTTTATATTTTAAGATTTGTGTGAACTGTCCTCAAGAACATTAGGATTTGTCGTGTTAGTTCATATGAACGGTTTAACTATGTTTTTTATTTGTATTTTCTTGATTTTTACTCGTATCCTTGCGGATTGCCTACGGCACTATAACGGTCGGGTTGTTTGTGTTACACAAATATACTTATCGCGCCTAGTGTGTGTGTGTTGGTGTGTTTATATCGGTATTCGGTAATGATTACCGATTATACAATAATAATATAATATAAGAATTATTATTATTGTGTTTGTTATTCGATGGTCACGCGGTTGGTTGGGGGCGCCAGCGGGTAAAAAAAACGGCGGGGTGGGGACGCGAGAACACGTCGGGCGGCCGTCTGTCGGCCACGGACGGCGCGTCATCCGGCCCGCAGAACGCGTCCGTGCCGTTATGGAGACCGCCGTGTCCAACGTAACCGCGCCGTCGCCGCCGCCGTGCCGGTACGCGCCGGGCTTGGGAGTGCAGGCTGGAGTGACCATATCGTACACCGTGGGTATATTCGGCAACCTGTTGGCCCTGCTCATACTGCACCGGACCAGGTCCAGCAGCAATCAAAAGCACGGGTTCATGTTGCGGTGTCTGGCCACTAACGATTGCATCGCACTTACCGGCATGCTGGTGCAGATGTACGTGTCGCTGTTCTGGCCGGACACCACCAAGAGCGTGTGGTCGTGCCGATTCCGGGTGCTGTGGCGTTTCTTCGGACTCGGTTCCGGGTGCGTGGCCATCATAATGGCCGTCGAACGCTGGCTGGCTCTCACCAAACCGTTCTTTTACCAAAAAGTAAGTGACCCAGACACAAACCTAAACCCTTCGTCACTTGGAATATTCGGGATAACTAAACCGACCGCCATTACAATATTTTATACGACTTATTGGTGCGCAGCTTACTGCGATGGTTCAAAACACGATCACACATTGGAGACAATGCAATTATTACAATTATTGTTACTATCAGAGTGTAAACAGTGCCGAGTATCAAAGTGTCAAAGACGCTAATCACAAATCACTATAGCTTAATATCGATTAAAAAATGTTAGTACTTCACAAAGTACTAACGTATTTAGACACACAACTGTTAAACCGAAATTGTTTCCTAATTGTAAAATTCAGTATTACAACGTTGTAAACATAATAATTCCCGTCTCCCGAATTAACACCGATTCACGAAGGTTTAAACAATTGTTTCTTAATCAATAAAACTTCATTCCATTTATGATTTAAAACTATTGTTATGGAAGTCTAAATTGATAAATAATTCATGTTTTTTAGCTTATTATATAACACATCATTAACCGATGTGCAAAAATGTGAAAAATATAATGGCTAATGTGTGGTAACTGGCCATTTGTATATATGTATATATAATATATATTTTACTTATTTCAACAAAATAAAGATGAAAATATTTGATTCTCATTGCTTTACATTTTTAAGGGGTTAGAGAACGTTACAGCTAACCCTTGCCAATATTTGTCAGAATTGTAATTTAACGATACAATTTGAATGTGCTTTTTTATTAGTACATCAATGAATTAATCATCATTGTTTTATTGAAGTAATTACAAAAAATTACACAGAAAAATGTGTATATTAAGAAAAATCGTTAAAATGAACCTAGTAAAGGCATTATAAAAATGTAATTCGATCGATTAATTTACTATATTAATCGATTTGCATCACAAATTACCGGTTATTGGAGAAAAATTTGATTGCATAGGACTGACTAATGTATCAGAAAATAACATGACTCATTTTATTGTCAAAATAGTACGAAGTGAATAAGTAATTATTATCTGGTCAAGCTCTGAAATAAATGGTTTGAATTTAACTAATAATTATTAATTTGTTTAATGAAAAGGTACTAGTGTCCAAGGATGAATACAATAAAATATTAAATAAATTTATTTTTGTTATTTACCCGTCCAATCAGGCTGATTAGTTGGTTAACACTGATTATGTCCAAATTTATGATTGGCACGTTAATTTACTTGTTTGCTGACTTGATTACATAACATAATGTATGAATGCACTGTAGAGTGAATAATTTTGTCCTCGAATTGAATGTATCAGCTAATAACTTAATAGCTAGTTTTAAATTATTTTAATAATAATACACCCAAGTATTGAATACCTATGTTATTTAAATGGATCGAAATGAAAAGCGGAAATTGAGACAGAAACCTATTTGGAATGATACAAATTAAAGGGCTGGAAATATGATTCACGACTAATGACGATGTATAAAATATGGTATTATAGTATATTATATATTTATAAGTCTAATAACATACTTTCAACCCTATAATACTTACCTTAGGGTGAAGTTTCATAATAATAATTGTTAATCTTATAACATGTTAGTTCCCATCGGCTTCCATCGGAAATGTACGTTTACACCAGTTATATAAAATCGAAGTACAAGTTTAACCTCATACATTTAGTACTGTAAAATAACCCTGAAAATTTTACCAAAAAAATAAAAAAAACTGAATTTGTTTTTTTATTTATTTAAATGAATAATTAGGTTAATCGCAACTTGTCAAGCTTGTATTAAAGTTCCACTGAAATATTTTTAAAATTCTTTTTTTAAGTATTTAATACATTTTACCAGAATTTTTCAACGGTTATACGTGTTTTAATGAAACTTTATGGACATTTTATTTATTTATCAAATAGTTCAGAATTTTGTGAATTTTATTCTTTGAAATTATTTTTTTGTTAAAGTATTTCGCTTTTTTACTTTGTATGTATTATGGTAACACTAACACTATTTAATTGTTATTGAGTGTATTATTGTGTCGTAAGTTTGCTATAACGATCTATTTAGAGGTAGGTATTGGAAAGAAATACAATTACTTAACCCATTGAACTTTAGAGTAATAATGAACAAAATAAAATCAAGTCACTAGAATTAATAACTTTAGACTTTATAAAGATAAATTGGTTATTATAAGTATACAATTGAACACTTTTCTGTAATAATAATTCAGCTGTTAGTTGTATTACACACAATCATAATCAAATAGCGCAAAACGGAGATAAACAAATGACAGTATAAAAAAAATGCATTGTAATAAATTGTGAGTAACATAAATACCGGATTGCTGATTGCATATATTATTTGTTTATAAAACATAGCAAAACATTTATTTATATACACGTAAAAAAAAAACATAATATCCAACATTGATATAAAACATTTAATTAATTTAACGTTAAAAAAAAATTGTAATATATTATATAACATGAACATTGAATTAACAATAACAAAAAAATAAAAAAATAATGTAAACAACAAATTGTTGTTATAAAAAACAAAAGAAATGTAATTTACATTTTAATTGTTTAACTAGTATAATAGTATACATATTTTACAACAATTTGATAATTATCTTTGCAATCACCCAATTTTTTTATTACATTACATAATACCATAACGGCTTCCAGTTTATTGATAATTTAATACTAAGAATTACTCCTTAAAAACGTTGTACAATTTTCCTGGCCGCTAGTTTATTACGGGAAAAAATTATGACATTGTTATATTATTTGTATAGTTTTATGTTGTAATCTTCGAATTTAAATGATTTGTTGAATTTAAAAAAATGTGTATAAGATTTTGGTCGGTTGCCTCTTAAACCTCTCAACCCTGATTATCATGTCTACTTCATAATTTGATAAGACAAGTAGTGTTCGTCAAATCTTTCAAAATTTCTTTGATTTTTTTAAGGGTTTCAAGGCTTAGCCGTTGCTGGTTTGTTACTTTACTGGTAACGTTGAAACGCTGTAAGGATTTTCGAGTTATAATATTTTGTATGATCTAGTCTTTGTTGGTTTTGATTTTTCCACAAACATAATAATAAAATATTTGTTTGAAATAATTAGGAAACGTTTTGTCCAGTCTGTCAATCTGATTTCAATTATACAGGTTTTTTAGTTTAAACGATTTTACTAAATTATCATTCTATGTAAATCATTCACATTCCTTCTCGGCTAGCATTTACCAGGATTTGTTAGGATTAAGCGTTGGTCCGTATAATGTATTCCATAGTATTAAGAATCATTTATTTTCATTGCCGTTTATAGGATGGACTCTTAATATTCAAGTGAACGATCGTCTTCTAGCGTTTCGTTTATCGGTTAAATTACATTTTTGTAATTAAAAGAAAATCGCTGTTATAGTTGCTTGTTTAATCCGATTCATTTCTGATGACCCGTAGGTATTACAACAGTTCGGTACATTTATTAATTTTAGGTTAAAACCGATGTACCGTTCTTTAATTTCGACTGACACTTGACAGTTGGGCATTGCAAAAGAACATCATATTAATACCCTAACAACGTATGAACGGTGCAAACAAACTCTTGGCAATAATTTTTTATTGTCAATTTGGTGTCGATTACACCAAATTGATGGCGTAACCCAATGTAGTTACAGCGGCATCGACATAAATTTAATTAAATTATCGATTTTATTTGATAACAGTAAAACAAAACACATTTTTAGTATATAGAAAGCAAAATACAGTTTACCGAAGTCCCACATCCGCCGGATTGTAATTTTTGCCATTAGTCAAATTAATATTATAATTGTACGAGTTTCAACACAAGTCTCTAAGAGTAATAATTACTGCTGTTAATGTTTATATAGCATAGATATAGATCACATTTATTAGGTATTTGATACTCATATTTTTTGTTGTATTTATAACTGATAGGATTATCAAATTATGCACGTCAGTTAAATGCGTGTGCCGTATGAGGTCAATTCTGTAAAAATATGATTTATATTTATTATGGTATAAAATAAAAAATTGCCAATTTGTTCTTCTTCTGAAGTCTTATCAAATACGGACAATAAAACGTAGATCGTAGATATTATGTGTTTTTTTTAAACTTGCTCATTAGTATTAAATCATTACGTATTTTTAGTTTTTTTTTTAATTATGTGCCGTCATATTAACGTTTGTTATAAATTTAGCAGTCAATTAATATCAATATTTTTAACCTACTTTGTAGTAGGTAAGTTTCTGTTTTTTTTTTTAGTTTTTTATCTGTTATGTTTGTATTTAATAGTTACATATATAAATTGTGTTGTGTTGCAAAATGAATTGTCACAAAAAAATGATTTTATTATAAACTGGTGTATCAAAGTAGTTTTACGATTATCTTTTTTGGAGTCTCTATGAGAAGAAAATATATTCAGCAAATTGTATATACTTTGTACTTGCATATAGTAAATACTATGTCTGAATTTTGGCCATGAACTCTTTCAACGATATTTATTGTTATTCTTTGACTCTAAACGTGATCTACAAAATTTAGACAATAACTATATGATTTGCATTAACAATATTATTTATATTTAAGTCTATTATAATTCATTTATGATAATTTTTTTTTACATGACAGATATATCTAAATATTATTCATTATTACCATAATAGCTTACCAGAGACATTCGTTCTTCAGAATATTACATAATTGTTACCAAAAAATAACTTCAAGGAATAGACATTTTTGTATGACAACATTTTAATAAATAAGTTGAAAAAAATAATTAGTGAACACTCATGGATCGTGTGTATTGCGTATCTTAAATTTGACTACTTATAAGATGAGGGATTTGAATCAAATAGCTAACTGATGTTTCCTTATAATTTGAACAAGTTAAAATGTTAACATGATAAAATGCAAACATTGTGGATGAAAATCGATTCTAATAAAGATAGGTTGATAGTTTTTATACATTTAATGCACTAAATGCATTTCTCAGAGAT